ATCTTCTTTGTGAATGACTGCTGGTGCTCTGATGTGACAGTGTTGCAAAGACACTGCTCTCCTGCAATTGAAACGCTTCTCATCCTCTGTCGTCCATTCTATTCCCCCCGTGAGTTTAATGCGTTCCTCCTTGTGTGTGTTTACATTCCTCCGGACGCTGACGTCACCGCAGCAGTGGACACACTCGCAGAACAGCTGTCGGGGGCGGAGCGCAAACACCCGGACAGTTTTGTTGTGGTGCTTGGGGACTTTAACCAGGCTCATCTGAGTCGGGCTCTCCCCAAATACAGACAGCAAGTGACATGTGCTACTAGAGGGGGAAATATTCTAGATCACTGCTACTGTACCATCCGTGAGGCATACCATTCTGTCCAACGTGCTGCTCTGGGCAAGGGTGATCACCATCTCATCCATCTGATCCCTCGCTATAGGCAGAGATTGAAAATATCAAAACCTATAGTGCGTAGTTTCAGAGTGTGGTCCAGCGAGGCAAGTGAGAGACTATGTGCCTGGCTGGAGAATGCTGGCTGTGACCGGGACTTTGTTGTGTGGGCGGGGCCTGAGGCTGGAAACAACCTGGATGAATACACAGATACTGTGACATCATTTATCAGCCTCGGCGAGGAAGTCTGTGTCCCCCTCCGCCACAGGAAGATCTACAACAACGACAAGCCCTGGTTCTCAGCCCATCTCAGAAGGCTGCGGTCAGAGAAGGAGGTGGCCAGGCGGAGCGGCGACGTGGCCCTGTTTAGGCAAGCCAAATATGAGTTTGCCAAAGCGGTGAGGGAGGCGAAACACCGCTTCTCGGAGAAACTGCGGCGGCAGGTCTCTGAGGGGAACTCCTCCTCTGTCTGGAAAGGACTTAAAACCATCACCAACTACAGGCCCAGGTCCCCGCAGGCATCTGACAACCTTCCCCTCGCCAACGAGCTCAATGAGTTCTACTGCCGCTTTGAGAAAGATAGTTCCCCCCCTGCCCCCCACCTCCACCCATCCCGGCCACAACCACTTTTCTCTTTCTCCCCCCCTCCCCTACCCCCTCTCACTGTCACAGAGAGAGAGGTCAAACTGTTGTTCAGGAGCCAGAACCCCCGGAAGGCGTCCGGCCCGGATTCTGTCTCCCCCTCCGCTCTGAAGCACTGCGCTGATCAGCTCGCCCCGGTGTTTACCAACATCTTTAACACCTCGCTGGAGCTTGGTCAGGTCCCCGCATGCTTCAAGGCCTCTACCATCATTCCCGTCCCCAAGAAGGCCAAGGTCACAGGCCTAAATGACTACAGACCTGTCGCCCTGACGTCTGTGGTCATGAAGGTCCTGGAGCGCCTTGTCCTGGCCCATCTGAAGCGAATCACTGATCCTGTGCTGGATCCACTGCAGTTCGCGTACAGAGCCAATCGCTCCACGGAGGACGCCGTGAACATGGCTCTGTACTACACCCTTAAACATCTGGACACTGCCGGCTGCTATGCCAGGATCCTGTTCGTTGACTTCAGTTCGGCTTTTAATACCATCCTTCCACCCATCCTAGAGCACCAGCTGTCCCTGCTGCAAGTTCCTGCCCCCATGCGCAGATGGATTACGGACTTCTTGACAAACAGGTCCCAGCGGGTGAAGCTGGGGAAGAGCATTTCCAGCTCTAGGATCACCAACACCGGTACCCCGCAGGGCTGTGTCCTGTCCCCACTACTGTTTTCCCTGTACACCAACAGCTGTGTCTCTCTCCACCCGTCGGTCAAGCTCCTCAAGTTTGCTGACGACACCACCTTGGTGGGCCTCATCTCCAAGGGGGATGAGTCGGCCTACAGGAGGGAGATCGTGCGGCTGCGTAACTGGTGCAGCAACAACAACTTGGAGCTGAATGCTCTGAAGACAGTGGAGATGGTGGTGGACTTTAGGAGGGACCCAACCCCGCCTCCTCCTGTCATGCTGGGTGGCACTCAGGTGGAATCTGTACAGTCCTGCAAGTTCCTGGGGATAATTATCTCCAGAGACCTCAAGTGGGAATCCAACATCACAGCCCTCCTGAGAAAAGCCCAGCAGAGGATGTACTTCCTTCGTCAGCTGCGGAAATACAGACTGTCGAGGGCCATGATGACCCAGTTTTACTCGGCCATCATAGAGTCTATCCTCACTCACTCCATCATCACCTGGTTCCCCGCTGCAGCTGCGAAAGACTTGGTCAAGCTGCAGCGGGTGATACGCTCTGCGGAGAGGGTGATTGGCCATCCCCTGCCCTCCCTTAAGTCCCTGCACGACTCCAGGGCACTGAGGAGGGCGAGAAAGATCATGGCTGACCCCTCCCACCCTGGTCACAGCCTTCTCACCCTGCTCCCCTCTGGGAGGAGGATGCAGCACCTGGGGGCTAAGACAGAGCGCTACAAAAACAGTTTTTTCCCCTCAGCGGCCAGGCTGCTCACTGACGCTGGTTTCCCTTCTTCCCTTGCCCCCTAGGAACAAGGACTGAACACTATGGCACTTTATTACACTATTCTATTTATATCTCTTGCACTTTTTGTTAAATTATATCTGAAAAAAAAGATGAATGCACACTGTCATGTTGCCAAGTCAAATTCCTATGTGTTTTGCACAATGGTAAATAAAGTAATCTGAATCTGAATCTGAATCATGTTTGAAAGTCCTGAGTGTAGCGTTCTTTCGTGTGTGGAGACTGTGTGGACAGCGCGCACTGAGAAAGCTGTAAATAAAAGAATTGAATTGTATAAACTGGAAAAGGTTGTGAAAAACAGGTCAAAAATGTCTCGAAATTGACCAAATGTATCTAACTTTGAGCACAATTTAACTGCCTTATAACGGGATGTGACAATGGGACAAGCTAAATTATCTTGTTTTTAAAAGATACAACAAATATCTCCCTTGGAATGACGCAATTAATACTTTTTTGCAGTGTATAGAAAGTATATATTTGACACCTCTGTCAAACCGCTACTCGAAGGTTCTGGGTTTTAATTCTAACCAAAGCAGGTGCACACCAGACTCCACCCATTTCCTATAAATCTTCAGGATCAGACTGGACTCACACGAGGAAATGGGAGGAGTCTGTTGTCCTTCTGCTCGAGGACTTTGACAGATCTGGGAAAGAGTAAAGAATAATACCATGGAAAAAAGCTATTTTCAAAAATACATGTTTACCTAATTCATGTACTTATTTTTTCCTTCTTAATTACAGAGATGTTTATTGATGTTATTTTATTTAGTAGAGAGTTTAGTGTAGGGCTGTGTACCTGTATCTTGTGCTGTGTGCTCCTCCTATTCCTAACTTGTGATGCAACACTGGAATTTCCTTGCTATGAGAAGAGTTTTTGGGCCTTCGCCCTGTACATGTCCTGTCATTTTTAACAACAAATGCGAACATGCTCTTTATTCAGAAAGAGCTTGGTTAACCCCAGTCACACAGTGAGGATCAGCTGCAGAAAGGACCCATGAAGGACCCTTTGTCTTTAGTCGAGGCTTAATAAACAACAAGTCTTTTCTTTTGGCTGCATAGGTTTCCTCCAGGTGCACCAGTTTCCCCTACCACTAAAAACATGTACAATAGGTCTGGCATGCACCTCTTGTACTGGCGACCTCGCTCCCATCTCTGTGGAGTGAGAGACAAAATGCAACAACAACAAAAATATATATATATACATATAAAAAATAAACATTAATTGTAAAGTTTATTTGTATTGCACAATTCATACATAAGACAACTCAAAGTGCTGGAAAGATAGAAACAAATAAGATCAAGGGGTGTTGTATCCATGGAACAAAAAAAAAAAACAAAAACAAAAAAGTTTGATAAAAGTCAGATGAGACGCAGAGATGTGTATGTTTGTCTGAGAAGTACCTGAGGTGTGCGTGAATGGCACTAAAATAATTCCAGATCTGTTTTAAGGGACCATGGTGAAAAGCTAAAAAAACACATTTGCATAACATATGTCCTTTAAGTAAGTAATTAGTAATCTTTATTTATATACCGCCTTTTCACTGCAAATCTGAGTCTCAAAGTGGTTTACAATAGTTAATTTTTTTGGGCACTTGTCTCTCACTCCACACAGAGATGGGAACGGGGTCGCCAGTACACAAGGCGCATGCCAGACCTATTGTACATATTTTTAGTGGTAGGGGAAACCGGAGTACCCGGAGGAAACCTACGCAGACACGGGGAGAACATGCAAACTCCACTCAGAAAGGCCCTGGTCCGACCGGGATTCGAACCCAGGACCTTCTTGCTGAGAGGCGAGAGTGCTATCCACTCAGCCACCGTGTCGCCCACGGCATTTAACAATCAATAGAATAGAATTATGTTATTGTGGTCTGTCGGTCTGTGGAAGCGGATCCCTCTCTCAATGGCGGCCTCCCAAAAGAGTTCCTTTGTTTTGGTTTTTTGTCGTGCCTTTTAATCGTGCCTTCATCGTCGATGCAGGAGGTAGAACGGTGATGATCTGAGAGATTTATGGACATTGGTCATTCCACTCCCCACGAAGCAATGGCTTCTATGTGTTTGTTATTATTGCATTGGTCATGTTTCAAAAAAAGAGGACACAAAATACAATACTACAAAAATAATTTAATAAACAATAATCCGAAAAACTCAACTGAAAATAAAAAGGAGCTGGGGATAAAGAGGAACCAGGAAACAAACAACAAGAGAGACACAGGTGCAACACATCAGGCAATCAACAGAACAGGAAGTAAAACTCGAAAGGACACAGAAAAACGGACAATGCAAAATAAAACGGCATTTCCTTTGTTCAAACTGTTTGATTCTCTGTTCTGTTTTTGGTGAATTGACAACTTTGTAAAGTCCTCCGAGACGACTGCTGTTATGATTTAGGTATGATTTTAAATTATTGAATTATTGTTTACGATATGCAGTGATGACAAACTTATTATTGCCTTTACTGTGTTCCCACAGTCCAAGCTACAAACCACAATTTTTCATAGAAATATTGTGTTCCGGTGTAATTCTAAAGTGAATTGTGTGTTTCCTCCGTCAGCTCACGGTGGGAGAAGGTCACGATAAACTGCGGCGTGTGGATTCCAACCGTCGATCGAGGAGCTTCAGCAAACAGCCCAGCACTGGGGACTATTATAAGAGTCTGGGCGACACGGCCGAGCCCCGTGGGAGCAGAGCGATGGCCCCCAACGAGGAGGTACCACCTTCACCTCATCTCAGGGTCATAGAGATCGTTTTACTTTGGCAGTTGGTGGTTTAGAATGAAAATCTATGGGATATTTTTACAAAACGCATTGAAAATCCATGATGAAAAGCCCTGTTTGTCCCATCTCTGACATGTTCTTACCAAGTCCCATTCTGAGTTTCAATAATGTGAACAAATGTAATCCCATTTGTCTTCATTATAATAAGTAATTTGCGTGTGCGTGTGTGTGTGTGTGTGTGCGTGTGTGAGGACTGAATTTTAAATCGAATAAGGCTGAATTCATTTGCTCTTGATCAGTTGCAAACCTGCATATGACATTTATTTTTATTTTTATAAGACTAATGTTTATTGTGCGTTGTCCAAGATAAAAAAATCTATACAATTAAAAAGTTCCGTAGATTATGTTTGGATAAATAATTATAATGGACGATAACATCTGGAGTAGTGTCACGCCCCCATCTAGTGGACAAAGAGGGACCTGACTTTCTGCCTTCATAATACAGTTATTAATAAATTACATTTTAGATTTTTGGGACATTCCTAAGTACAACAGTGGAGGCTCAGTCCAAGAAGTCATAGTTTGAGGATTTGAACATGAGCAAAAACACAGCTTATTCCCCCAAAAAACGCAGGTCACCTCTTCCTTTAGACACTGAGCAACACAATCTGATCGGTTGAAACGACTCGCCTTTTAACCCAACTTGCGACCGAGTATTTTTGCTGAGGCCAAAAGAAACCACACACAAGGAACAATACTTTACTTGATGACAGAGCCTTCAGACAGAAGGTGCGGGGGATGTGTGTGTGTCTGGTGTTAGTTAAGTTCAATAGATCAATGTTGTTAAGTGTTTAAAAACTTTAAGGTATAAGGCATCGTGTGTTGCCTTCATTAATATTCTACTATCAGTGATGTTATGCTGCTTTTAGACCGCCAACACTGAAACGCTGAAGCCTCGCTCACCAGACGCACATTCTCTAGTTTTCAAGACGCAGGGGTCTTCAGAACAGAAGTCCTGGCGCATGCCGGATGTGGCGAAAGTAGCCTGCGGGCTTTGATGCTAAAAGAGTTTTGCTAGCGCCTTCTCGTGTAAAATCTTCTCCAATAATGCAGCTCTGCAGCCTGTCTGTGTCCAGAGACCTTCCACAGACTTTATATAACAGTAGTATGTGTTCACGGAGGTGCGCAATAAGTTTATTTTATTATTAAATGGTACTTCCTCATCGGCGAACACACTCAAAGCAGTTGCATAAAGTCACGGGAGCATGACAACTCACATGTTCACAAGCACTATGCCCCCCACTGTCAACCCTGGTTTAGTCCTGATGTAGCTCCTGTTTTGGCTGTTTACAGTATTTTCAGTCTGCTCGCTCAGTCCGCTAATGTCCCCGTGACCACTTTGTGGCTCTCTGATTGGTTGCTGCACGAGCGTCCCGAGGAAAGGTTGAGCAAAATTCATCTCCTGCGGGCGTCGATTTTTAGCTCCTTCTCCTCCCCATTCGACTTTCCCTCGCAGTCCATGCGTCTCTACTGAGCAGTCTCTACTGAGCAGTCCGTACGTAGGCCTGTCGCGATATTCAATAAATCAATTAATCGCATGATAATTAAAATTAGCTCGATTGTTTTCCTGGCCGCGATATATCCCATTTGCATGCTTGTTTGTTTTCCCGTCTCTCTCTCCCTTTCTCTGACGGGTCAGAGAGCCGCAAAGTGGTCACGCGTGCAGACTGAAAGACCTCAAAAAGACAAATACAGCTAAAACAGGCCCAAAACAGGCCCAAAACCAGGACTAAACCAGGACTTAACCAGGCTTGACAATGGGGGACACAGTAGTTGTTCTCATTCAGGCTCTAGTAGTGACTAAACTAGCTATAGCCCAGCTAGCGTTAGCGTGTTCGCCGATGCGGAAGTACCGTTTAATAATAGAATAAACTTATGACGCACCTCCGTGAACACATACTGCTGTTATATAAAGTCTTTGGAAGGTCTCTGGACAAATTATCTCAGAACGACAATACTATCGCTTATCGCAATAATTTTTGAGACAATTAATCGTCCAGCAAAATTTGTAATCGTGACAGGCCTATCCGTGCGTGCATTCCGAGACGTTTGTGCGTTTTGACGCTTGAACGCGCGTCACCATTGACTTCGCATTGAAAGCCGACATAACGCATGATCCGGTCTGAAACTACTCTACTCTACTCTACTCTACTCTACCCTGCTCTACTTTACCCTGCTCTACTCTACTCTTCACTACCCTACTGTACTCTACTCTACCCTTCTCTACTCTTCTCTTCTCTACACTACCCCACTCTACTCTACCCTGCACTACCCTACCCTACTCTACTCTACTCTACTCTGCTTTACTCTACTCTACCCTACCCTACTCTACTCTATACTCTTCACTACCCTACTGTACTCTACTCTACCCTTCTCTACTCTACTCTACTCTACTCTGCTTTACTCTACTCTACGCTACCCTGCTTATCCCTACTCTACTCTACCCTACTCTACTCTACCCTACCCTGCTCTACCCTACCCTGCTCTACTCTACTCTGCTTTACTCTACTCTACTCTACCCTGCTTATCCCTACTCTACTCTACCCTACTCTACTCTACCCTACTCTACTCTACCCTACCCTGCTCTACTCTACTCTGCTTTACTCTACTCTACTCTACTCTACCCTGCTTATACATACTCTACTCTACCCTACCCTGCTCTACTCTACCCTGCTCTACTCCACCCTGCTCTACTCTTCTCTACACTACCCCACTCTACTCTACTCTACTCGGCTCTACTGTACCCAATTTGACAGGGTTTCTTCTGGCCCTGTTTAACTGGTCCGAAGTACTTTTTTAAAAATCTTTTTGGCCTGGTTCTATCCAGGCCAAAAAGCTGCTGGAAAACATTATTGGGTTGTTGTGGTGTTAGTTTCTCGGATACTATACCAGTTGCTAAAGTGTATTGGAAACGCAACCAGTTGAGCCGAGTAGAGTAAAGTAAAGGGTAACTAGGGCTGGTGGAAACAGGGCTGATGCCATTGTGGCTCTCCTGCTTAAAGCGTATTATGTCTGTGGGAGGCACACAGCTTGGCACACAGATTACACCTCTATCCTATTAATTTTCACAAGGCAGCACAACGGAGAGCTCTACTTTATTTAAATCAGTTTATTGCCAAGTCCTAAGTCATACTGCTGTCCGGTTTTCTCCTCCTATAATATTGTCCAAATTCAGAATATTGTCTTACTAATTCCTCCTCAGAAAGCATTGTAAATAACAACTAAGGCATGACACAAATGAGTCCTATATGGTGCAGAAGTGGAGTGCCATGTGGTTCACCATATGCCTCTTTGGAATCGGAGCTGATTTGTTACTTCTGTGTGAAAAAATGTATGGCTGTAAAAGGATCAATATTATTTCATGTGAATATTAAAGAAAAACAAGAGTATTTGTTCATACACAAAGCTACTCAAAGTGCCACAGGGTTAGGGTTAGGGTTAAATACAAAGTGAAGATGCAATCCTTCAGTTGTCTGCACTGCTGAACAGAACTGTTTTACACCTGGATTTGAACCTTGTCAGATTAGAAACCTGTCTCTGTCTCCTGATTTAGCTGCATATTTGTGAAACCCTGCCTCCCCATTTTTAGTCCTGACTCTTTGCACTAGCAGGAGGCCAGTCCCTGTGCTCCTCAGAGTCCCAGCAGGAGGCCAGTCCCTGTGCTCCTCAGAGTCCCAGCAGGAGGCCAGTCCCTGTGCTCCTTAGTCGGAGTTGGCTCATATGGCACTAACAAGTTAATGTGAATACAACTGAAAGCAGTATGAAGGGTTGAAATATGTTCAGTCAGCGTTTTGTGTGAATATTTAGTGATAAATCAGAATCAGAATTCTATTTATTGAGTAACAGGAAGTCACAAACTAGGAAATTGCTTTGGCTCTCGGTGCAAACAAGATAAATAAGAATACGAACAAGAAGGCCTGCATAAATAAAAATCTTTATACTTCAGTTTACTACAAGTGCACTAGGTGCACACAACAGACCGTTAGGAGTGCGGTAGAGTGCAGTAAAGTGACAGTAGCATAAAGTGACAGTAGCATAAAGTGACGGTCATAAGGTCTGAGGTCAGAGGTAAATTATGAAGAGTTCATGAGTTTCTAGTCCTGTGGTTGGAATAGTCCATGTGCAGGGTGAGAGGGGTCGGCTGTGATACGACCAGCCCGGCCTCGAGCTCGGGCGACGTACAGGTCCTGCAGCGATGGGGGGCTGCGGCCGATCATCTTCTCTGCAGAGCGCACGGTGCGCTGAGAAGCTCCTTAGATGGACTTTCTGAGGAGGACTGTGTGATGTGTCTGCAGTATTTGCCTAAGCATTTGCCCCGTGTAACACAGAACAGGTCCAGGACAGGCTTTTGTGTGCAGCCGCATGCAAACTATTGTTTCATTTACATGGCTTTGAGAGACAGGTGAGTTAAAGGCCGACCACATCAAAACAATGTTGTGCAAAATTATACAAACAAAAGAATCCAGTCGACAGCGTGAGTGTGACTCTAAGCAGGTCATTTTGTTCAATAATACACACATGGATTATGCTCAGGGGCAAACAGCGACGTGTGAGCTAAAGAGAATTCAAAGTTGATAGTAATAGTTTTTGTAGTCGTTTAAGTCACAGATGAAACTGATGAGAGAGAGTTTGACTGTTTTCGTAATAGCTGTTTTATTAATTTTCACATCTGCTATTGACAAATCAACACGTTTGGACAAATGTTGACAACAGGGCCTTTCTTTTTTTTTGAACAATATTTTTTTATTGCATTTTTAAACATAATCCCTACAATCACACAGACATAGAGAAAAAACAAAATAAAAAATAAAACAAAACCAGGCAGTCCCTAAGAATAGTAAAGGATGCAGAAACAGAAAAGGGTTATGAATATGTATATACACACACGTGTTTTGTATATGTATGTATATACACACACACACACCCACCCACCAATGAAAGTAGAAAAAGAATAAATAAAAAAAAAAAATAGAATAATAATGAAATACACATGCATTCATATACAAGAAAATAGAATAAAAATAAAAATAAAAAATAAAAACATAAATAAAAAAAACAACAGGGCCTTTCTGAGTGGAGTTTGGATGTTCTCCCCCTGTCTGCGTAGGTTTCCTCCAGGTGCTCTGGTTTCCCCTACCACTAAAGACATGCACAGTATATATAATATGAATGTAACGGGTGAGTGAATGGATGGTGTTGGTTGGGGGCTTTGTTGCGCCAATATGTTCTGTGCTATATAAATAAAGATGACTTACTTACTTACAAATCTGTATGTAATTTATGTGCACTTCATAATAGTACATATTTTTCACATGTTGTATGTACCAGCAGTAGAGTGTGGCAAAAGTGAAATGTTGTGAACCAATCAGACCACAATATGCTGTATTCATTTCATTATCTTTTGGAACTTGTAAGAAATATCCCTTTGAGTCACAATTTGACGCTTCCGGCTGAGACTTGATGGAGGGTGATCCTCTCTTTTTCACTTTTCTGTCTGAAAAAGCTGATGGAGGTCAGAAACACATGCATGTGAAAACTAGTGATAGAACCAAACTGTTTTAGAGCCAAGAACTAAAGCTAGATTGTTTTTATTATTTTACTTTAAACTAAAATTAAAATTGAGGTAGTGTTAGAGACAACAGGGCACGATCGTCAGGGAAGTTTACTTGAGTTTTCCAGAAAGATTTAAGTTTTTATACGGCTTTTAAACAAGACAATGTGCATAAAATCAAGATGCAACAACACAGATACATGTTGTACTGATGGTCCATAACAGAGATACACCTGGACCTTAAAGATCTAATCTTTGGATATTGCATATTTTTTTGTCCCAAGTTTGATTTGTGAAATCCATCAGTCAGTCTTTTGAGTCTCTATTTGACGCTTTGGGCTGAGAGCTCGGCTGAGTGAGGGTGGTCGTCTCTTGTTTTTAGCTTTCTGTCTGAAAAAGCTGCTCTAAAGATGTGTGAGAGGCCTTGAATACATGCATGTGAAAACTCCTGATAGAACTGTTTTAGAGCAAGGCACTACTGTTATTTGGATTAAATGTTAGTATTTCTATACAGCTTGAACGTTTGGTACCTTGCAATCATCAGTAAAATGTTGACGGCCTGAAACAAAGCAAGCTAAAACATAATACATATGCAATTATATATACAATATAACACTTCTGCTTTTTGTCACAAGATAAAACAAGGAATGACCCGAAGGCAGAACCCCAAAATAAATGCCACAAGGAAAAGAAACCCAAAAGTAAAAACTGAAACCAGGGACAAGACATGGGGAAAAACCAGTGAAGTCACAGAGTCTATACATCCATACACACAGGGAGACATGAGGGCGAGGCAAACAATCAACAGGACAGACAGGAAGTAAAAGTCCAAACCATGACATTTTGGCTCTAGACTGATATCGGCCCTCGTTCTGTAGCCTGAGTCCTGAGTCCATAGTCCGTCCATCAGTCCGTGGGAGCAGTCTGTTAGAGTCTTGTCTGGGTCTAGACTAAAAGCACAGTGATGATCCAGGACAAAAGACATTCAACAACATTTATGGACATCTGCCCCTTATGTGTTTTTTATTCATTGCATTTCTTGTGTTTGAGCTGTTTGATTCTCTGATCTGTGTTGGCGGTTGGTTTTGTTAAGTAATCCAAGAAAACTAAGGGCTACACATTACTAACTAAATTGAATTGAATTGAATTGTCAACATTGCTCCACGCTAATAGACTGTGCGGCCGTAATCTCATCCCCAGGGACGTGTTCTTATCAGTGGGATCATGTCAGAGGGGGGAGTGCACCGCGATGGGGCACCTAATCCACACTGAGCCAATTAGTCCCGCCGTGGGGCCCGTGCTGGTCTCAGAGGCGTCCCAACAGATGCACCTACAGGGACCCGCAGTGGCGCGTGCAGTCCAGACCCATCTGGACATGCCCCCCTGCCCCGCCTCCCTCTTGTCCCTTAAGTCCCAGGGGGGCTCCACTCACAGAGGGGCCCCGCGATGGAGAGCACGCGTCCTGGGATAATAGACTGGGCGGGGTGGGGGCGTAATGTCACGGTTTGTTAGCAGGTTTTGGCACGCGCAGAGAGTGTGCCAGAGAGGGAGGGGGACCGGGGCTATCGCTTACACTGGCAGATGGTGGCTTCTTGTTCCCCCCCCTCCAAGTTTCTCCCCAGAGATTAGGACATATTAGCCGTGTTATTGGTGCGGGACAGAGTGGTTCTATGAGATCATTAAACACAAACACAATCTGTTGCGCTGGAGCGGAGGCCTCCACAGAACAACTGCATTCCATCACAGTCAACTGTGGAGATTATGAAGCAAATTAAACATCAATGTAAATGTTTTAAGATGAATTTAAGATGATGAAAGTCGGTTTAATTATATATATACTTTATATTTAATTATATATATATATATATACTTTATATTTAATTATATATATATATATATATATATTAGTGCTGTCCAACGATTAAAATATTTAATCGCGATTAATCGCATGAATTTCATAGTTAACTCGCGATTAATCGCAAATTAGTCACACATTTGCGTGCTGTGTGCAATTGCTTTTTTTATTGAAAACAATGTGTAGTGTTATATTACACACTAACATTTGATGCAAAATCATCAATAAATGGATGACAAAATAAATAATTGGTAACAAAAAGCCCCTTCAATGTGTGTGTGTGGGTGTGTGTGTGTATGTGTGGGTATAGACCATAGACTGTATAGAAACATCATGGTGTCATTATGATGATGATAAACAATCTGTAAATATTTTGTAAATTTGTTCATGTAAATACTCTATGCTGTTTCTCTGTTTACCTTCGGTATATCTATGACTGTATACTGTTTGCTTGTATTGCCTTTTTTATTAACCCCTCCCCCCATCTCCCACTTCATGTCCCTCCCCTCCTATGTGCCCTTCTGGGTTTCTTCTTTGGCCCCCTGTATCTCCAACTACATATTGTTTGTAATCTCTGTCTACAATGTATCTGAACTAGTCCTTTTCTTTGTTTCTATGTGTTTGTCTGCAATAAAAAGTAAAAAAAAAAAAAAAAAAAAAAATTTTTTTTTTTTTTTTTTTTTTTATCGCGCGATAAAAAAAATGACGGCGTTAATATTGATTTGCGTTAACGCGTTAATAACGCGCTATTTTGGACAGCCCTAATATATATATATATATATATATATATATATATATATATATATATTTAAAGCCTCTATTTCATTCTCTGGCCTTTGACACGGCTTGAGTTGTGTGGTCCTCTGGTGTCTTATGTATTATGTATGTGTGTGTATTTCATATATGTTTAATTCGTAGCTACAGTGCGTATTGTTCATGTATCTACAGTATGTGCATGACTTTGAAAATAGTTTTTATAACGTGTCCTATAATCATTAAGAGGATTGGATAAATTTTACTTTTTTAAATATATAATACTACTTACTGGTGTTTTGTGTATGAAATAATCTATTTGAAGGTAGAAAATATATATATTTATTTCAGAGTCAGACGAGTAAAAACAGCCTTAAATAGTGGTAGACATGGAAAATGACAAGCGGGTAATACACTATAATGATGATAATGAAAAGGAAGACACTTTGAAAAAACTCCCTTTTATTTTAAAGGGAAGAAAACAACCATGACGTTAGTCGTAGGGTTTGGTCAACGCCTATTCCAATACAGAACATTTGGACAGAAGGAACAGGGGAAAGTGCTTGTGCTGGAAGTTCCTGATATTATCTATGCATCTATGAGGAGAGAGTGGAGAGAAACACAACTCCAAGTCTGATTTGTAGAGACACAAAAACTGAAATATGCGTTCTTCCACAGTCTATTTTCTACTTCAACATTTATTCTAGTGGTATTTACTTTGATTTGTATTAAATTAACATAAAATTAACTATAATTTTTAACAGTTCAATTCATTTATTTCGTCTCCAAAGACTTTACAAAGTTGTCGATTTGCCAACAGCAGATCCGATAATTAAACAGTTCAAAAACAGGAAATACAATAATAACAAACATAGAACGGGATGACCAATCTCCATAAATGTCCTGAATCATCACTGTCCTTAGACCTCCTGCATCTGCAAGGAACAACTCACACACACACAAAAAACTGTTGGAAAAAACAGAATAACCTCGGGGAAGCCCACATCGAGAGAGGGATCCACTCCCACTGACAGGCTGTAGATCCAGAACTCGGACTGTTCAACGAGGACTATGGCAGCTTTTCCATGTATTTCATTTCAGTATGTATGCCTGCTGCCTGTTGCTTTGCCACTGTAAAAACATATTCAAATCTAAATTCTGTTGACGATAAATGATCTAAATGAAGTTAAGTTTTGCATAACGCTGTATTCCTTCGTCCGTCTCTGTCCAGGGCTCTGCGTTACTGGAGGAGCCCAGCGACAGACCTCCGAGCACAGAGAACGTCCCAGCAGAGGAGACAGGCGCCGCTCCTCCCGCTCCACCTCCGCCTCCCCCTCCACCCCTCCCCTCCAACACCTCCGTACCCCCTCCACCTCCACCCCCACCCCTGCCTCAGGAGGTGCCACATCAGAACAACACCACCTCCGGGACCCCCACACACCCGCGCCGCCCGTCCTCATCCTCAGGAAGTAAGTCTACTCAGTGATTTCATTCATCTGGTCAGACTTAAGTTAAATTAAAATGAGGTTGGGAGACTTTGAGATTTTTTACTAGCCTGACTCTCGCCAGACCCATGTAGTTTGCTGCACTTCACACATGAGTCTGGTACTGAGCCATAGTGGTTGGATTTCAGAAGGCAGGGCCTTGTAAAAAAAATCCTTGTATGTGATTGGATAGATCACTTGTCCGTTATCTTGAATGAAGTCTGCTTTCAACCACTCACATCGAAGCACACGTCTCCCATAGGTTGCCAAATCCCAGCAAGATTTTCCAACCCAAAATCCACGAGAATACCCCCCAAAAAAAAAGAATGATTTTTTGGCTAAAAACGTAATGTAATCAACTTGGGCTGTCATGATTCTGTTTATTGTCTTTCTGTTTATTTAATACCTACAAGTCTCTTGGAAAAAAATATGCGGGAACCACCAAACCTGGCAACCCTGCTGCATAGTGTGTAAACAGGAACACTGAACCAGTGCTTCAACCAAACTTTACAGGAACATTTGACTCTTAAAACACACATATATCAACATAGAACCATCAACATCTCGCCTCAAATTGCATTAAAAGTGACATCCGTGTCTTAATTTGATCGTATTTACTCTTTTAAAAAGATTCGCGGACTTTACGTCCGCCATCTTGGATTCCTCTCGCTGCTGCATGAGAGAATCTTGAGAAGGCAGTGCAAACCCCACGTAACACCGGTAATCCTGATTGGTCGATTAAAAAATAATCTGGGGAAGGCGTTCGCTATGGCGTCGATACCAGACCCATGTGGTTCAGCCAAACGCCTCTGGTGGAGCATGGCCAGGCTAATTTTTTACATGGGAGGAGGGAGAATCAGAAAATTGCCTTCATCCAATTTCAATAATTTGGTAAACTTGGCTGTTTGATAAAAGAGAGCTGGCTTTACAATGAAATATTGTTCAAAATATGCTCTGGTTAATCTAATACTGCTACCCTGCATGTATACTGAAAGAAGAGAGGTCTGAGTCTGCATGTACAGTGCCTTGCGAAAGTATTCAAAAAAAATTTTTTTTGTCAAGAATCAACAACAAGTGGGACACAATCGTGAAGTGGAACAAAATGTATTGGATAATTTAAACTTTTTTAACAAATAAAAAACTGAAAAGTGGGGCGTGCAATATTATTCGGCCCCCTTGCACTAATACTTTGTAGCGCCATCTTTGACTGCAATTACAGCTGCAAGTCGCTTGGGGTATGTCTCTATGAGTTTTGCACATCGAGAGACTGGAATTCTTGTCCATTCTTCCTTGCAAAACAGCTCGAGCTCAGTGAGGTTGGATGGAGAGCGTTTGTGAACAGCAGTCTTCAGCTCTTTCCACAGATTCTCGATTGGATTCAGGTCTGGACTTTGACTTGGCCATTCTAACACCTGGATACGTCTATTTGTGAACCATTCCATTGTAGATTTGGCTTTATGTTTTGGATCATTGTCCTGTTGGAAGATAAATCTCCGTCCCAGTGTCAGGTCTTTTGCAGACTCCAACAGGTTTTCCTCCAGAATGGTCCTGTATTTGGCTCCATCCATCTTCCCATCAATTTTAGCCATCTTCCCTGTCCCTGCTGAAGAAAAGCAGGCCCAAAGCATGATGCTGCCACCACCATGTTTGACAGTGGGGATGGTGTGTTCAGGGTGATGAGCTGTGTTGCTTTTACGCCAAACATATCGTTTTGCATTGTGGCCAAAAAGTTCGATTTTGGTTTCATCTGACCAGAGCACCTTCTTCCACATGTTTGGTGTGTCTCCCAGGTGGCTTGTGGCAAACTTTAAACGAGACTTTTTATGGATATCTTTGAGAAATGGCTTTCTTCTTGCCACTCTTCCATAAAGGCCAGATTTGTGCAGTGCACGACTGATTGTTGTCCTATGGACAGACTCTCCCACCTCAGCTGTAGTTATCTGCAGTTCATCCAGAGTGATCATGGGCCTCTTGGCTGCATCTCTGATCAGTCTTCTCCTTGTTTGAGATGAAAGTTTGGAGGGACGGCCAGGTCTTGGTAGATTTGCAGTGGTCTGATACTCCTTCCATTTCAATATAATTGCTTGCACAGTGCTCCTTGAGATGTTTAAAGCTTGGGAAATCTTTTTGTATCCAAATCCGGCTTTAAACTTCTCCACAACAGTATCTTGGACATGCCTGGTGTGTTCCTTTGTCTTCATGGTTCTCTCTGCGCTTTAAACAGAACCCTGAGACTATCAAAGAGCAGGTGCATTTATACGGAGACTTGATTACACACAGGTGCATTCTATTTATCATCATCAGTCATTTAGGACAACATTGGATCATTCAAAGATCCTCACTGAACTTCTGGAGTGAGTTTGCTGCACTGAAAGTAAAGGGGCCGAATAATATTGCACGCCCCACTTTTCAGTTTTTTTTTTGTTAAAAATGTTTTAATTATCCAATAAATTTTGTTCCACTTCACAATTGTGTCCCACTTGTTGTTGATTCATGACAAAAAATATTTTTTTAATATCTTTATGTTTCAAGCCTGAAATGGGGCGAAATGTTGAAAGGTTCAAGGGGGCCGAATACCTTCGCAAGGCACTGTATACTGAGACAAGAGAGGTCTGAGCCTGCATGTATACTGAGACAAGACAGGTCTGAGCCTGCATGTATACTGAGACTAGAGAGGTTTGAGCCTGCATGTATACTGAGACTAGAGAGGTCTGCATGTATACTGAGGTAAAAACATGTAAATCTAGCTATAGAACTAAACTGTTTTGAGAGTAAGTAAATAGTTAGATAGATTTTATTAGCTTTATTGTTTATGGTTTGAAAGTCAGGTACCCTGGCTTTACTCCATCCCTTCCCCCAGCGCAGGCCGGTGTCTCGTCTCTCCTCCGCTGTTTTGGAGCGTTTTGTGCGCAGTCCCTCGAAAGCGTTGTGTCCTGTATTAAGGGGATCAGAGTAATCTCCATGGGTAAAGATGCGTCCGCCCTGACCCCGGCTTCCTAAATAACTCATTACAGATACATGAAGCAGATGCATTACCCAGAGCCTGGTTTAGTGTTCAGCCATTTCCTTAAGTGCCCAGTACCCTGCTGCTCTGGGCTGTTCCATGTGGACTACTGTGATAGGAGTGACATCACATACATACCTACAAATCCGAACTCGAGAAATCTATCATGGCAAGTTAAATTGTTGTTGTGATAGAAATGACATGACATCATACAAATCCACTCTCTGTTTAGTTTTATTCAGAAATAACTATTATGCATTTGGTTAATGTGGAATTATTTCTGAAGTAGAAAATATTTGAAACATGAAGAATTGATAATTGTCAATCATCAACACTTGTATCTATTAATGGTGCTTTAGTTTTATAGTTATTTTTTAACACTCAAAGAGGCTTCACATGTCATTAACCATTCCCTCCATACACGGTGGTGATTAAACTACTACTGTAGTCAATATTGTAGTACTGTACTGTAGTACCCAGCTGCCCTGGGGCAAACTGACAGAAGTGAAGCAACCAGTATGTGCCATCAGCCCCTCCGTACACCACCGATCGTTCACATAAACACACACCAGACATTCTAGGCAATGTGGGTGAAGTGTCTTCCCTAAGGTCACAGTGACAAGTTTGGCATTTTACAGCTGTAGTCCCCTCACTGTGGCACCTCTGGTGTTCCCATAGGTCTCCCATCATAGTACTAACCAGGCTCTGCCCTAATTAGCTTCAGAGGTCTGCTTGTATCTGGCTTTCACATGCAGGTATGGCCACAATTGGTCAAAGTGGGGAGTTGGATTCTGCCAGATTTTGATCAGAATCTGACATGCTCTAAGTGAAGGCACACAGTACCTGTTCTTTATTACTTACTTACTCTTTTTTTTCCTGTTTTTCATATTGTTTTGTGTATATATTGTTTTGATCCCTGTAAAACCAGGGGAAATGTGGAAAAATGTGTATATTTTTATGAGGAAGAAAAGGTGCTTTCCATGACATGATATACTAGTGCACCAAGTTTGCATAAAGCACATTTAGACAGAAGGACTGGGACGTGTATGTGACAGAAACTTAGGTATAATCTCACTATTTAAAGTGACTTGGAAATACTTTAGTTTGTCGTTAACTAAACTAAAGTCATTCTCTGGGTTGACAGAAAAGACAGATTTTGCAGATTTTTCTGTTTTGTGATGGCAACCTTCAGCTCTGAGCTGAAAAAGAAAAGATGCGTCTCGACTGGAAACAGTGAGACGACTGCAACAAAGTAGAGTTTCTTTGGTTAAATTATATTAGCGGGTATGATTTGGATATGGAGGCACTTATAGTGACTCATCCTAGTGACTGAGAGGGTTCTTTCTTAGTACGTTAGAACTAAGAAAAAACCCCAGACTAAGATGAAGACTTTTAGGCCTATTGTGGTCTGTTTTTTGACTTACTTTTGGGCAGAATCTTAGGCACAACCATGGGAGGTAAAAGTTAGGTACCCCAGCTTTAATTTTGTGAGTTTTAGATCCGCTTCAGGAGGAGACTCAGGGGAAGACATGGAAACTTCCTGAGACTTCCATAAACCAGGGTCTCTGTGTGTTTGCCAAGTTTCTCAGTGCGACGTTTTGGAGGCCGCTGGTGCGAGGGATCTGGAGTAGAAATTCATCGATATGTTAGAAAACGAGAATGAAGTGAAACATTAGCTTTCCTGTTCCACTGTAGTTTAGAGTCTGATATCATTATCTCTCTCCTCTGGTCTTAGTGATGTGTCTACAGTTTGTGGTTCCAACCTTCACCTGTCCCACTTCTTCTCTTCTGTCTCTTTTCCCTTGTCCGTTTGTGCTGTGAAGATTTGGACATTTCCCTCTGTCAGAAAGAGGAGCTAAAGCCCAAACAGAAGACCAGTAAGTACGAGCAAACGTGCCTCTTCATACATACATCTTCAAAGCATGTATACTAAAGAACTAGAATTAGACGCTAATAGTGGCTTATGTTCATGCTTCTAAATTATGCAATGTAGAAAAAAAGCTATGGCTCCATCCCTTCTAGCATTTTCACAACATAAACAGGCTTAAAAGTGCCACCAAAAAAAGTCTCACAATAAAGTATTTACACTAGGGCTGTCCAAAATAGCGCGTTATTAACGCGTTAACGCAAATCAATATTAACGCCGTCATTTTTTTTATCGCGCGATAAAAAAAAAAAAAATAAAAAAAAAAAAAGATTTTTTTTTTTTTTTTTTTTTACTTTTTATTGCAGACAAACACATAGAAACAAAGAAAAGGACTAGTTCAGATACATTGTAGACAGAGATTACAAACAATATGTAGTTGGAGATACAGGGGGCCAAAGAAGAAACCCAGAAGGGCACATAGGAGGGGAGGGGGGGGGGGGGGGCATGAAGTGGGAGATGGGGGGAGGGGTTAATAAAAAAGGCAATACAAGCAAACAGTATACAGTCATAGATATACCGAAGGTAAACAGAGAAACAGCATAGAGTATTTACATGAACAAATTTACAAAATATTTACAGATTGTTTATCATCATCATAATGACACCATGATGTTTCTATACAGTCTATGGTCTATACCCACACATACACACACACACCCACACACACACATTGAAGGGGCTTTTTGTTACCAATTATTTATTTTGTCATCCATTTATTGATGATTTTGCATCAAATGTTAGTGTGTAATATAACACTACACATTGTTTTCAATAAAAAAAGCAATTGCACACAGCACGCAAATGTGTGACTAATTTGCGATTAATCGCGAGTTAACTATGAAATTCATGCGATTAATCGCGATTAAATATTTTAATCGTTGGACAGCACTAATTTACACACAATATAAACAATGTATAGAAGCAGTCATTTCCCCTCTGCTCCAAACTCATAGCTTTTACGACACGTACCCAGTCGTCCAATGCGCACACGCTCCAGTCGTTATCAAAAGGCGGGAAAGCAATAAACCAGTTTTAAATCAGTCGTCGTAAAAGCCTCCTTAATAGAGTTGTTTCCTTACCTCTGCTAACAGCCGCAATGTGGTCATAAAGTTAATTGAAATGAAAATACAGATTCATTTATGGCACCGAACCATAAACCTGCTGCTCTAATGGTGTAGTGCCCCTTGGTTTCCTATTGATTGAGACTAATTATAACCTGTTGATTTTAGAGCAAAGAGAACTATGATGGAAAGCAATGTCCCACTCTCCTCTGACGAACCTTAAGACCTGACAAGGCTAAATTACCCAATAAACATGGTTTTAATGCCATTGGAAAGAAAAAGGCTATTTCTCATACATTCGATCTTTGCCAGATTTTGGTGAACTCTTGTGGTTGTTAGAAATATACAATACAATCCATGGTTTGCATCTATTACTAGTTTTCACATGTATATTTGTCTATCTGCGATTTCAGTCAGAAAAGTGAAAACAACAGAAACGATCAGCCTAAAGCGTCAAGTAGTGACTCTTTCTTTCAAGTATGTATGTATTGATAATTATTTGTTCTAAACCTTTTACTTTTACAAGACTCTTTCTGTACATGCGTTTTTTATGGAGAAAAAAAGTGAACGTCAGTTACTTTTCCAATTGTATAGAGAATTTTGTAAGTTCCTTTTTGAGCCTTTGTCATTGAAAACAACCACATCAGCTGAAACTGACACAGCCTTTATTAAAAGAGCAGAGTCATTCTCATCAAAGTGTGTTAAATGGAAAATAGAGATTTGAAACCTTTTTGAGCTTATAGATTAAGAGACGGAAATGAACTGTGGTCGTGGTTATTTTCTTTTCACATTATTTTGACCTAAAAGTGATATTGGATCATTTCCAAAGGCCCACCAAACAATATCCCAAGGCTCACTAACATGCCACGTATAAACTGTATATAGATGGACAAACCTATGGACCTAACCCAATAAACACACACTTAATGCCTTTGTCAACAAAAGGCTATTTCTCAGCTGTCGTCTGAGTCATAGCTCCGCCCCCTCTCCTAATGGACACTCCCCCCACTCAACAACACCTCAAGGCACACGTGCCATGCAGAGACTGTATGTAGACGGACAATGCCAACCAACTATAGCTCAATGAAGCCCGAAAGAGAACTCGCTCTAGCTCCTATTAACTGTCATTGAAAAATCTGTGGTTCTGTGATCCTGGTATGCATATTTTGATATTTTCTTTATTGTAGGTAAATTCAGATCATCTGGATCATCACCACTGTCCCTGGTCTCTCTTACACCAGAGGAGGGTCCAACGATTCTAAAAACCCAGTGGGAGAAAAGTGAGAAACCTCGGGGAGGCCCCCAAACCTGAGTAGTGTGACCTTAGAAAACATTTAAAATCAAGTTAAAGCAGTAGAAGTAACCACACTGTGCTCCAGACAAGTTGTACAAACATCTCAACAACAGTAATGTGGAAAAAACATCTGAGCTCAGTATTTTAGCGAACTGTGTGAATACTTATGTCCTTATACTTTGTCCATGTGATATTTTGTGTTTTATCTTTAAACAAATGGCAAAGGCCCCTAAAAAACCTTGTTTCACTTTATCCTTGTAGAGTATTGCGAGTAGATGGACTTATTATTAGTATTTGAGTTATTTTGGAATAAAGCTGTAGTTTTGCAAAATGTAGAGAGAGTTTTGAAGGAGGGTGTGTTCTTTCTGAATCATGCACTGTATCAAAAACTACAGGAAGCATCACATCATTTGCACGAGTGACTTGATCTGCATCTGACAGTTAAAGGGACAGTACGTGATTTCCATTACAAACACAATCGCACTGCTGTTGCCAGAATGTGAATTACCGATGCAATCCACCTGCTGGGGTCTAGATAGAAACAAGAATACAGAAAATTTACATTGTGTGTTTGGGAATTTTGTTATAAAAAAACATACTTCGTGATTTCTTTGAGGCAAAAACAAGCAGAATCTCAAAGCTTATTGTGCCTTGTTGTCACTGTGTGTGTTTCTGTGTGTGTGTGTGTGTGTGTGTGTGTGTGTGTGTTTCTGTGTGTGTGTGTGTGTATGTGTGGTGTAATCCAGATAGTATGGGGTTAAATGCTGAGGACAAAGGTTTTTTCAATGAAGGTTGTGTGTCAATTGCGTATGTTGCGTGCCGTGGGGGATGTTCGCTGCGAGGCTAACAGGATGGGATTGGGAGGTGACTGTGCGCGTGTGTGTGTGCGTGTGTCTGTGTGTGTGTGTGTGCATGTGTGTGTGTGCGGTAATACCAATGGCTCCCTGTCACTTTGCGTTACTGGTGATTCCTTGAGATTTCCCCCGACTGTGAGACTAAAGAGTTTGAATAGAAAGTGGCGTTGGACCCAGGGAAAGTCCAGGGGGGGACGACATCGCGTGAGGTGGAGCCACACTGGACCCGGGGCTGCACTTCTGCTCTCATACACGCAGTTTTGAATGGGGACGCTTTCATTCATGTAGAAAATGAGAGATCGCTGAAGGATTAAAGGCAGATCACTGAAGTTCACAGGCGTTACATCAGGTGAGCGTTTGAGAAGCTTGCTGGGTCATGTTTAGCTCTATTTGTTTTGTCGTCATTCATCACATAGGATTATTTCTATCGGTGTATCAGGCTTTCTCTGTCTGCTGAAGTTTCTAAAAATAATAAAGTAACCGCGCGTGTGCCATGTTACTGTACTTGAAGAATGTGGGTGTCCTTCTTAAACAATCACTACCACAATATGTTTTTTATTTTCCAAATTTCCAGTGGTAACAGGACAACCTGTATCGTTCCACGTATTGACTTATAATGATGTCTTGGATTTGATTTTGAAGTTAAATTTTTAGGCAGTTAAAGTTGTCAAACAGAAAAAGGAACATATTGCGTTTCAATTCTATTTGTATCAAACCGGAAAATAATGTATTTGTCTGTTTGAAGCTTGTTTTTGCTATAAGCAGATTTGTACATTTTCACAAAGGCCTAGTTTCAAGATGTCAGCAGCAGCTTAACTGGACATGAATAGGTCGCTATGGGCAACCTGTCTTTGTGGTCATTCTTTTAAAGCTGGGGTACGTCGCGTTTTGAACCAGAAAATAATGGAACTATGAAATAAAATCCATGTAGTTTTTATTTACTAGTTTTTATGCATGTATTTTTTTGCCTCTGTCACAACTTTAGATCAGCTTTTTTTAAACTATTTTTTTCTATTCTATTTTGAGTTTTTGTTGACATTAGGTTTTAAAGGAAAGAGTAAATGTTGGCAGTTTAAAGTGTCTTTATTCAACCCCCACTGCTACACTGCTAATGTTATAAGTGCTAGAGGTTAAAAGGATGAAAGAAGAGCATGACAGCCTACTGTATAATATTATTTATAACAGTCATTTTATCATATTCTTTTAACCGACTCATGCAGGTATATAAATACATACAATTTATCATCAGTGACAATTTCAAGTCACGACCCAAAATACCCCTCTTCAAATTGGCTTTTGTCTGTATTTTTAATGTATGCATTGTGATGTAATTGTATTGTAATGTAAGGTGTCCTTGGCTGTCTTGAAAGGAGCCACCCAATTACGATTCTGAGTATAATTATTATTTACCCACAAAATATCTTGCTTTAACTTCTCTTGGAAATAGAAAGTACTAGTCCAAATATACAAATATTACTCAAATGTTCATTGTTCATAGTGTTAGCCTTAATGCGGAAGAGGCCAATGTGAACATGAGCTTGCTGGAGCCAATTTCCTTATATGGGTTCTTTTTTTCATATAAGAACCCATAGCTCAGTTGGTAGAGCATTGGCCTTAAGGCCAGAAGGTCGTGGGTCGTCTGCACCTTCTCCATCGACTCCCACTGATGACTGCTGTCGTTGTGTCCTTGGGCAAGACACTTAACCCCACTTTGCCCAAAAGCCCCCACTGAAAGATCAAGGCTATGCTCACACTCAAAAGAGCAGCCGTCCTCCTGTGGACTCACCACCTGCAGAGGGTCAGTGAGGGGCCGGTGCTATGAGACTTGGGTGGCATCTCTGATTGCCACCCCCCTGACCCAGAAATGGATTAAAGGGCAGAAAATGGATGGATGGATGGACCTTGTTAAGGTGCGAAGCTAACGCTCGCTAACGAAGCTAACGTCTTGCTAAGACGGTTGGTAAGGCAAGCTGTAGTTTCCCCTGGGAAAGAAGGCCTCTGATTGGTCAATCCTATATACTATCCTATATACAGTGATCATTTTGACCCCATGGGGTGAGATCTTGCGTGGAACCCCAGATCAAGGGAGATTATCAGTGGTCTTGTATGTCTTCCATTTTCTAATAATTGCTCCCACAGTTGATTTCACACCAAGCTGCTTGCCTATTGTAGATTCACTCTTCCCAGTCTGGTGCAGGCCTACAATTTTGTTTCTGGTGTCCTTTGACAGCTTTGACTTTGACTGTTTGAGGCTGTGGACATGTCTCTTTCATACTGATAATGAGTTCAAACATGTGCTATTAATACAGGTAACCAGTGGAGGACAGAGGAGCCTCTTAAGGAAGGAGTTACAGGTCTGTGAGACCAGAAATCTTGCTTGTTTGTAGGTGAACTTATTTTTAACCATATAAAAAAAAAAAAAAAAAAATCCAAATTAGACAATGAGATATTTGCACAGTTGGTGGCTGACTAAATACTTTTTTGCCCCACTGTAGCTCTTTTCTAGACAGCGCAAACCAGATGTTTTAAGCCCAAAATGGTGAGTGAAACACAAACAGTTACTGAGCTTGAGGAGTTTACATTTCAATGTAAGTCAATAGGAGGCCGAGCGAGTTGGAGCAAAACTTTGTCCGTCCAAATACCACAGTCCAAATATTGTGATCGGAGCCATCGCCGAGCCGTCATGCAGTGTTGTGAAGCCTGAGCGAAGCCCGGCTGACTCCATCAAATATTCAGCAGTGAAATCCCAGCTGCCAACCTCCCCCCCTCCCCCCTTTAACCACCCGGCTCGCGCTGCCATTTGTCATTGTGTCAATTGTATTTATTTCAACTGCCGGTTTCACTTTTCCTGTCCATCTTTTCTTCTGTAGGCGCAAAATCCTTCAACATGATGTCCCCCACCGGAGACAACTCGGAGCTGCTGGCAGAAATCAAAGCCGGGAGGAGCCTGAAGCCCACTCCCCAGAGCAAAGGCTACACCACAGTCTACTCCAACAGCGGGCCCACCGGCACCAACGTATGTGGTTATTGTGGGATGGAACTACTAAGGAAGTCACTATAAGCAGCACAAATATAATTTCATTCCTTCATTTCAAGATTATTGTGGTTATTCTGGATCAGGGATGTCAAACTGGTTTCAGAAATGACCAGTGTGGCTGCAGGTCTTATTTCTAACCAGGCTGGAGCTTCGGGTTCAGACTGGACTCACTTGGACTGGACTCACGTCTAGTGTGCTCCTGCTTGGTTGGAATGAAAAGCTGTAGCCACACTGATCCTTTGAGGACCGGTTTCACACCCGTATTCTTGATGCATGTATTTTCTGTATTTATTTTCCTTTTTATGCTTAAAATATTGCACTGGTTTGAAGACATGGCTGACAAATTACAAGCACCTGAAAGTTGGAACTTTAGTTTTTTTATTAGGGACCCAACTACAGCTATTCTTCTGGGGGACAGACCATTATAAAGTACATATTACAGTCCAATCCTACAACAATTACAGGCAGAGGAAGTACCAACAGAAACAACATTTAATACAAAGTCATTACAACAATTTTATTTTTTTTGTTTCAGTTTGTTAGACAGATGTCTGACTAATGTCACTGGAGAACTGGAGAAACTACAAGTTTATCCAGTTTTTAAGTTTGTATGTGACTTCCTGGCTGCAGATTTGCCATAACTAGAGGTGTTTATTTACCCTAGCAACCACAAAGACCAAAGCTATGGAATGAGAAAGAGAAATATGGCGACCTCTTTATCTGGTTGAATGCATGTTTAAACCGCTTTTCTTGTGCTCTAATTGTCTTTGAATTTGATGAGGTCACAGGTGGAAGTTTTCCATTTTAGAACCCAGCATTTTTGTACAAACAGGTGAAACTCAGACAGAAAAAAAAAGATTATTATCCAAAAGATTATTTCTGTGATTCAACTTAAAACGAGAAAACCACAGATGATACAGACTTACTACATGGAAATCAACAGATGCCGAGCCTTTGTTATAATGTTGATGGTGCATGGCTTACGGTACCTCTTCAAAACCCCATACTATCACCCAGCACTATCACCATTAAAATTGACTTATGACACACAGACTTATTATATGCAAAGGGACATATGCCTTTGTTTGTTAAAATGATGATGATTGGCCCAGCAGCCTATGATATTCTAATGTTGCTCTAACTTTGTTACGAGCTGTGAGCCAGTTATCAACATGATAACAAATAAAAGATTGCATGTAATAAGTCTTTTTGACAATGTAGATGGAATTTTCAGAGTTTCACCTGTATCTCTTTGTTTTTCTTAGGGGGTTCCGGCCACACCTCCGGAGACGCGTCCCTCCAGCCCACCACCTGCCAAACCACCTTCTCCCCTACCTTCCAACAACCACAACACCAACACACCATCCGTCCGCTCCACCCCAAGTCCCAGCCCGAGCCCGACCAGCGCCAGAGCCACCAAAACCATGTCCAGCTCCACCAGCAACGGCCATCTCCCCTCTAACCCCTCGACCCCCTCTAATCCCTCGAACCCTTCTAACCCTGTGGCCAATGGAAACGGCAGCAACAGCTCAGCGTCTGCAGAGACTGTGAGGAAAACTAGTATGTCCGACGTGGAGGCGCTGGTGCCCACTGTGGACGAGCAGGGGAAGGCCATACCCGAGTGGAAGAGGCAGGTGATGGTGCGGAAGCTCCAGGCCAAGATGCAAGAGGAGGAAGAGGGCAAGCGCAAGGTAAGGTTTGGGGTGGAACTGCTGCGGTGTGGGCATAGCTATCCCATGTGTGGTCTGTAAGTATAGATACATTATACATGGAGTGCTGTGGGTGAAGCTAGTTTGTATTGTAAATAAAACAGGGATATATCTGAAGATAATGAACATCTACAGTATATGTTAGGTTTATGTCTATGACTGCAGAATGTACAAAAACGCATTGGGGATAGCGGTTTCTTTGAGTGTGATTTTGTTGTTTCTGCTTGGACATTTTCTTAAACATTTAGGAGAGTCTGGGATCAGATATGTATGTTTGCAAAGTTGGTGACAAATAATGAAACTTCACAAACAAAGCATGTGTGTGGCCTGTGGCTTGTTGGATTGCAGTGAAGCACTTGGCTACAATATCCATCTTTAGTGTAACGTGATGGAGAGTTGAGTTTCCAAGTCGTTACATGCCGATTCAGTGGTGTGATGTTGGGCCCATTCACACTACATGTCAAGCAGAGAACAACAACCCTTATATTTACTATTATTATTATTGTTATAAGTATTAACTTGTGTTTTCATGTCCTTATTGAGGGGAAATGTAAAGAAACTTCAGGAAGACATGACCATACTTGTACAGTTTTCTACCCAAGTGTAAACTGAGGTGACAAGTAATATCTGCAGTACCATGATAAAACACTAAAATCTACTGTGCAAATAGGTGTCTAAAATACACACACAGACAAAATTGTTCAGGGAATAAATCAGGGAAAACAGTAATATCTTTGTTGTGGGAATCTATAAAGTAGTATTGAAGCATGCTTTGAGGCAGTGCCATTGCACCACTAAATCCATGTAATCCCTGTGTGTGGAGGATTTGCACTGAAGAGTGTTCACACAGGAACAGCCAGCTGAAGGACTTCCCTTCTCTCCTTTCTGTCTGTCCATCTCTAAACTGATTTAGTTTGCTGCCACTGGAAACTACCAATCTCAAGACTGGCACTACTCCCGTGTCCACAATGCCATTTTGGGTCCATTCGGTGAACTGATGACAGAGGCGGACCTGAACCGTATCGAGAAACAGATAGAGAACCTACAGCTGATGAACAAGGTGTCGGAGGTGGAAAAAGAACTGGAGGCTCTGGAGCGAGAGCTGCACCAGCTTTTACCAGTGTCCGCTGCTCTGAACCAGGCACGCTTCTCAGTCAACCCAAAACAGGTGCATGGACAAGCTGAGGACCTGCCCGCCTGGTGTAACAAGATCTCCACCCTCTTAAAAAGTATGGCCCTACTGCTTTCCACGCTTGGGGGAAAGCAAATAGACATCCTTGAGCTTGTTTACGCTCAAGAAGAGAAAAGAAACCCGCCTCCTGCTCAGCCTGCGGGGCCTAACAGTGGATGCATAGGCAGGTCCCTGTCCTTCTCCACCAGGGAAGATGTGGAGAATGAAATTAGACAATGTGGGGTTTCAGTGAAGAACCTTAAGGCCAATTATGAAGTGCAGGATCAACCACAAACTGCAAATGACAAAAGAGTGTACAAGCGAAAAATGTCTCTCCCAGTGGTGAGTGAGGTGGAGCACACTGCCAACACGCTTCCACCTCAGACTAACGGAGACTTGGCTCTAGAGGAGTCTCCCACCGCTTCAGTGCAGGAACCAGTGATCGTGGCCTCTCACGCACCTAAGACTTATATCCAATCTGAGGCTATGGCTCCCAATAACTTAGAACAGTTCAATCAGGTTCTGTCCACTGACCCTATTTTGAATAATGACCAATTCACCAGAAGCTTAGAGGTTCAAACAGACTTCAGTTATGTACAGGAATGCATCGACATGAGGAAAGAAAGAATTGTTTTTCTTTTCCTTGAACATTGGCGAAAATACACAATGGCCGAATGCTTTCGACCAAAGTCTAGAAAAGGATCACAGCTAGTAGTGGGCTGGGAAGAGTACAACCAATTTAGTGCAGAGATTGGATTGGAGGGGATTGATAATGAGGACGACAAACTACTCTTATTTATGAAGTCAAAACACGTGGTAGGGAATCTCCTCGGTCACTGGCGGTTGATCATGAGTCAAGTTCCCACAAGGCAGATCCGGAGACTAAGCCGAGCTCAAATGATTTACTGGCCTGAGCACTTTCTGCCCCATGTAAACGGTTCCCCTGTCAGCTACGAGAGCCTCACACTGGACCTGTTTATGCTGGGATACTTCCAACTGCTCGAAATGAACATGTCCCGAAACGAACGCAAATTTCGCCACCTCTTGTGCTACGAAATGTTTGATCGCCTCGGCAGTCATAAGTGGGAAGTTATCCGGGACTTCCACCGCGAGGTCATGTTAGAAATACAGAAAGGCAAACGTGACTGGGCTGAGGGGTTTGAGGACATAAAACAGAAGTATTTTGGCGATTCTGAAACTTTGGGTGGAGTTTTAACGGCTTCTTTTAACTCCTTCGCGCCCGAACTTGCCCAAGTGCCTGAAACTTTGCCACCACCTCCTTCACATCCACCTCCTCCTCCACCACCATCTCACCCAGCGCATCTAGAGTCAGAACCCCATCAAAGTGCCCCGCCAACATCACAACCAGATCCTGCCCCGCTTGTCAACAGCAATGTATCCGATAGCATTCAGGGAAAGGAGACATCGGATGACCAGAATAATCCAACGGCATCACCAGATGGGACAGTAGTTGCCAATGGGAGCAGCTCGGTACAGGACTCGGGGCAGACAACTGACACCGCGCAAGCTATTGATGCAACATGTAAAGCAGAGGCACTTACAGAAGCCAAGGAGGTGTCCAAATCTGGAGCAGGGACTGAGAACGCCGATAAACCACGTCCGAGAAATGGGTCGGACTCCATAAAGACGATTTATGAGCTCAAAGAGTTCAGCAACGAGGAGATAATCAGATACATAGACCGTAGTTTTGCCTTTTGGAAGGAGAAAGAGGCGGAGATTTTTGATATCTAATACATTGGGGACGGTAAACGTAGTAAACACCCAAATGCTAATTGAAACCGCTAAAGGAACTGGCAGACTGAAAGGAAAATAAAAGACACTGATCCGAGTTGGCTTTAGAAAAACAAGAGTGCTTGGTTTGTGCACACCCAGTGAACATTTGCATAATTCTGTGGTTTTAAAGAAAAGGATAAAGCATTTGGAGATCATTATGCCATGGTGTTTTTTAAGTAAATTTAAAGGTATACTTGCCATAAAGTGTGTATTTTTGATAGGACTATTTTGATGTGACTTTATTACTGACTTTTTTAGGAAATTGCTGTTGTAACCAACAGCGCAGAATGAAAAATGGAATGGACCATAATAACTACGCAAGCACAATCCATAATTTTCAACACAATACTTTGGCCTTTTTTATGTCTGACCCATTATGATCGGATACGAGTGAAGGGGATGAAAATGTTTTGTTGTCACTTTTGTTTAGCCTTCACGAATGAACAGCTAGTGTATAATTGATTATGAATTAGTTCTTATTCTACATGGTCTTATTCAACATCTAACTAACTTCTAACTGATACTTTCCCATGTGGCACTCAAAAAGTATTACCAATTTGTTTAAACTGTTTATCCTGCACATTGTGGCTTATAATACTCAAATTCATCAAAATAAAACCCAATCAAACAAATGTGCAATCTCAGCACCGATATCTGATACAGGTACCGTCTCAGTGCAAAACTACCATAGGACCCTGATACACTATAGCGCCCCCTATAATAGATACAAGACATTCAACAGATCAAAACATGCAAAACAGTGAATTTCCTCACTTTTCTCAATGTGTACAATAACACCCCAACAACAAGAATTGATCAATGCATATTTCAGATTATAATAATATATAATAAAGAGCCACATGTGCCATAGTGAATAAAGTAAATAAAGATTTTTCACCGTTATTCATCTTCACTATAAATGCCTAATCTGGTGAATATAATTGAAATGCAGCAAAAACAGCTGTTGAAAAGCTAAATGCTAACTGCTGACAGTAAACGGTGTGTTGCTTTGGTAAGTAGCACTCGCTCTTCTCTGGTGGAAAACCAGGAAAAAGAGGCTTTAACTCCCGTAGAATGTTGGTTACCAGGCAACAAAAAATAGCTACGTTTACATTTTACCGTAAAATTAAGGGAGCTAAAGTTAGAAGTCCTCACATTTTAAAATGAAAAGATAATTTCATGAAAATAATGACATAGAAATAAACTCCAGAAGACCAAAAATTTACATATGCGTCCAAAAGTAAAAGCCGTCTTATTGACTGCTCTGGGGGTTCTAGAGGTAACCGTGGTAACGCTGTGTGGAACAGTGGATGTGGAAAAGTGACAAGAGCTGATGTTTGAAGCGGCAGTGTTTGTCCCAGATTAGCGATAATAACCCTCTTAGCACCACCCGCAGTGAAGCAGTGACTTATGGAGCCACCGTCGGGTCAGACGCCTCCGAGTGACCGACCCACACCTGATGTTTGTTTGTTTACTACTCCACCCTCTGACCAGCACTAGTATGTTTGAGTAAAAGTATCTGCTTTTGTGTTAAATGGCATTGATTCAAAGTCCTGTCTTGTTTATGTTGATGAAATTAAAGCCCCACTACGTAACTTTTCAGCTTCAGACATTTAACATACTGTTTTACATTATAGTCTAGCATTATGATTTGATTCTTTAAAACACATTCACACACAATGTTTTTTTATCCTCAATGCTCCTACATTATTTAATACAATTTTATTTGTATATTTTTACAAATTTTATAATATATCCATACATGTGTTTTCTAATTGAGATGACATTGTAGTCTGCTCTGGGGCTGTCGTTATGAAACTACACACAAAACCAAAACTATCTCTTGCGTCTATACTCGGAGCTTAGCCTGCCATCTAGTGGGAATTTCTGGTACTGTAATGAAACAAGGCCCTTTTTTGAGGTAGTTTTACATTATTACTGCAGCTTAAACATAAATATTAAATAACCACATTTTAGGAACAGTAAAATTCTCACAAGGTCCATGACATATTTATTATGGTCATAATGATGGTCTCATTGTAGTGTTTCCTGGGACAGTGTCAAGTGTCTGTGTTCTACAACCTGAGAAAGGAAAACACACATGCACATACACACACGCACACACACAGTCACACAGACACACACGCACACACACATACACACGCACACACACACACTGACGTTTCAGATAACGGTTGTGAAATTTACTTTTTGTGGAAACTGCTGCACATATGGCAAAATCATTTTTACAAATATTTCTTTCTAACTCTCCAAGGTGTAGGGATATAACAACAACGACAAAGTTTATTATGTCTGTCACCTAAAGCAAACTCTATCATCCCCTTTGGGTCATATTGTAGGTTAGATGAGAATTATGACGTAATTATAACCTCATTTGAGGTTATTGTTTATTGTACACTGTCCCTGTCATCTTTAATAAATAAATAAACTAAAGGGGAGCCACAATGAATCACAACTATTTTAGTAACTTATTTCTTTTTTTTTTTATTCTTTTTTAAAATATTTTATTATTATTATTTACTATCTTATTAACTTATACAGACTTCTTAAAGCGAGGTACCTTCGTAATTGATACATGTCGTTTGTCCCAGAATTTATTTTTTTCCTCAGAAAGAGCTGTGTAAAAGTGTGAACATACATTCTGTCGGAAAAGGCAAAGAATACTTGCATGAGAAAAGCAGTTACATGGATAGTTACATAGTTTTGGTTTTGAAATTGGTACTTCAGCTTTAAGAGAAGCTGAAGTTGTTAGTAACTCGTATTAGTTATTCAAACCAGGGGTTCCTAAACTTTCAGGCCGGGACCCCAAAGATCATCATTCACTTGAAATATATTTTATGGATCAGATGTAGTCATTTTAATGTGTACTTTTTGAGCTACTGAGTCCAAGTCATGTTCCTTGTGGATCAATGAAGTTTGTCTAAATCCAAGCATAATTTTTGAAATTATTCTGGAAAGCATCCAGAACCCCCACAAGCCCCACTTTGGGACCCTCTGATCCAAACATCTGAGATCTAATGATTATTAAAATGATCATTTAGTACAGTCAGAGACATGTTGAGCAAGAACATTTTATTTTTGTTAGATGTACAAATATGTATTATTATTTTCGGCATAGTTTTAGTATATTAACAACGGATTAGTCATTGCTGAATACTTTTTCTTCAGAGTAGTGCAGTTACAGTCTATTTGAGAGTCTACGACATCGACCCTTGTCTTTTCACTGTGAGAGCTCTGTACTAAAGCGAACGTACGAACCACATGTAACGTGTGCGGACCCCGTCTCTCCCGTCTCTGTGACTGTGCCCAGGCTGAGGAGGAAGCCGCCCGCCTGGCCTCCATGCCGGCCTGGAGGAGGGACATCATGAAGAAGAAGATGGACGAGGACAGGTGAGTGCCTCTGTGCGCTGTGGAACATCACAATATGGTTCAAAAGTCCTTTTAACGTCTGTAAATCAAACTAATACATGAGCCTAACTCATACTAACCCTAACTCAGTACACACACAGAGATCAAGCCTGTTTATGTTATTATGCTGATAATTGGCTCATAGCTTTTATAAAACCCCAAATAGTGTTGTATAAAAGCTAAATGTGCGATATTGGTGCGATACTGTGTCAGTCGACATGAAAGATTGTTGTCAGTGTGGCTCCCACTGAGAGTCTGAACCAATATGGCATCGTTTTAAAGCTTATTTATTAAAGAAAGCCTCCACAGCATTTATAAAACCATAAACACTAAAATAAATAATTCAAAGTAAACATTATTCAGCACAGCGCTTTACAACCCTGAGCCTCGGGCCTTTGTCCAGATTAGTTTCCATCCAAACAGCTGAACTCATATTTGTTCACAGAAATCAATACTCATATTCAATAAAAGTCTTTATTTGGTCACGATACTTTCATGATTATAAAAAGTCACAGATGCAAATTATGAGATTCTTTCCACAAACACTGGATTTGTTTATGTGAATATGTTTTGCACACATTTTAAACATTAATATTTTGTTATACAGTGTAGAAGGGTTCAGCTTCAGTTCAGTCTTTTTTATAGATTATGTGATTGGGTTCTTCTATACCAGACAAATGTAAGATAGCCATTTGTTATCACAGTGACGAGACACTTTCACAATAATAATGTTGCTATCTCACATTATTCCGGATTAGAAGGACAGCTTTTATTATCGAGATCAGATTTATCTACAAATGTAACACATATCCTTCAAATGTTGCCATATTTTCTCATATGGGTATAACACATTCGATTGATACAATGACTGAAATGAAATCTATTGGTATTGTATTTGAAATGCCAGATGTAATGACTTAGTTGTAAATTATATTATTTTTATGCTGGATCTTGTTTGAGTTTTGTAGAGAACTGTGCCAAACATTTACTGTATATTTACATGTTTAATCCCAAAGTCTGCAGAGGGACCATCAGAAAACCTTCCATACTCTCTGTAATAATAATGTGTGTGATGCAGTGAGACCATGGAGAAGATATTTACTTGTTTCTTTCTTTTCTCTTTTCCTGATGTGACAGGGAACAGAAAAGGTAAGAACCGACACACAGATCCTTCACGGAGGACAGAACCTGAGCGTCTGACGTACTGTACTAACAACATAATAACAACACCACTTTGAAATGAGGATTTTTACTTTCACTTTCGTAGCAGTGACCATCAATTATTTATAAAACACTTTTCAACACAAAGTTTGGTTAAAAAGAATCCCATATGTCCATGACTCCTTCACCCGACCAGTGACCACCCAACAGACCCAAACCACATGTATCACACACACACACACACACACACACGCACACACACACACACACACACACACACACAGTCACATCAAATGGGTAAAATGCGTAAAACCAAGAAAAGATTTCAGGCTGGGTGCCGGAGTAGACAGCTGAAGAAGTGTCATGGCTGCTCCGGCCAGTAGTAAAGGCTGTAGCCCAGAGGTGTCCAAACTTTTTAGTATCACAGCCACATTAGTTCACCACAGGCTCGTCCAGGGGCTGACAACATGGATTGTGAAACTGTTTTGACTGGATTTGAGCTGTTTAAAGCTTTTTAACCCATTCATGTTTCGTGCATATTGATTCACAACACTGCTACATTAGAGCCAAATATTATATTTTGATATATATATTTATTGAGATTTTTAGCATGTAACTTGGAACTCTCTGTGCTTTTTAATTGCCCCTTGGGGACAAATAAAGTGATTGTTTGATGGATATGCACATTTGTGACACAATCAAAAACCTAATATATTATTATATAGTTCAGCATGACTATACTGTTGGAGCTGAAGTTGGCTGGATGACACTGTGATGGTATCTCAATGGCTACTTTGTGTTAGCAAGGCCGAGTGCTGTAGCCATTTTGAATTGTATCACACGATCCTCATATACATATTTGCAATGCGTGAAATTCTATTAAGTAAAGAGTTGGGTATGAAATGAAAATAATGTTTTGTGTCACAAAATGGCACTAGTGTAGCTTTGGTGTGAACTAATGTGGATATAGCAACTGCAAACTTAAAGCTCAGAACAGCCCAAATAGGCAAGGCATGTTTATTTGTATAGCACAGTTCATACACAAGACAACTCAAAGTGCTGAACCAAACCCTGAATAATCACAGTATTAGAAAGAGATAACATCCTTCAGTTGCAGCACGGCTAAAGAGAGATTCTTTGTACTTGTATTTGAACATTGTCAGTGTAGATGTCTGTCTCGCATTTTCAGGGAGAGTGTTTCAGATTTTAGCTGCATATTTCTGAAATGCTGCCTCCTCATGTTTAGTCCTGACTCTGGGCACCAGCAGAAGGCCAGTCCCTGTGCTCCTCAGAGTCAGAGTCTGAATCCATGTTGTCGGCTCCTGGACAGGTCCGGTGAACCTAAGTGGCCCGTTTAGTGAGAAGTTTGAATACCCCTGGGGCAGCATTTAGAGGGTTGGGGGCGTTTCTCACTCGTTCACATGTCACTCTCTGATTCTTGGATGTGATTTGTAGAAAAGCTGACGAGCAGGCCAAGCAGGCTAAAGAGAAGGAGGAGAAGTCGGAGCTGGAGCGGATCCGCACGCTGGGCTACGACGAGACCAAGCTGGCTCCATGGCAACGGCAGATCATCCTGAAGAAAGGGGACATAGCCAAATAGAACTGTACTGTACCACTGCCCTCACGGCCTTGGCTTCCACGCACTGGACAGAAAACACTCACTCTCAGTCCGTTAGAAGGAGGATCCGGCTGAAGATCCTAGAAACCGCTCCGAAAACCCGCCCACATCTAAGAGTTCACACTGACACCTTTCACCACATGTAGTGATCTGTCTGCGAGATACTTTCAAATGCATATGGCAGATTTTATGACCATGTGATGAGACTTGTGAATAGAAAATAATGCTGAATGGTTTGCACAGATAAAACTTAAACTCTGTTAAAGGGGATGTCTGCTACTTCGAGTTGGATTTAAATTGGAAAAGAAAACATATTTTTTAACATATGGCCTTATTCTATCATCTATATTAAGAATCTTTTATCATGAATATACTTTAAACAGTCTCGTCCCTCGGCACAACCATCACCAGTAAGATTTGCTGGAGGAGAATAGTTCGACCAATGGGGAGAGAGCTGTCTTATTTGAACACATTTGGGCATGAATTCTGGTGTAAAGTCGAAAACAAAGCAGAAGTTGAACTGTTCAGTGTCATTTTCTAAATATGTGTATTATATAAAGTCAAGTTTCCTAGAGAAAAGTGTGGTCTGACCTGCCATATGCATTTTAAGGCAAATCTACTTTTTTCCCATCTGTAAAATAACCCTATATTTAGAATGATCAGAACTGCTTTTGAAGATTATAGCAAATTGTGTCATAGCTTTTTGATTTGGCTTCATTTTGTACTGTTTATTTATTTGCCCGAGTAAGTCAAAGTGTTGAGAATTCTGAGGTCAATAGTAAAATATATAAATATACAGTATATTCAGAAAGTTGCAATATTTCGGTTATATAAGGACCAAATATGAAGCTGCAGTCCTGAATGTTGTGTGCATGTGTCCGATGCTTTCTCTTGTATGTTTTAATAATGAAAGTTTGACCAGAGGTGGGTCGCAACGTGTCATTTGCAAATAATGCCTCCAGCTGAGCCCTCTGTGTTTATTACAAATAATAACCTAATATATGCAAGACTTTAGTTAAACGGTGAGAATGAAAAAAGACCGAGGGATCCAGTTTCCAGTTTGCAAAAACATATTTTGAGATTCAATCTGAGACCAAGACAGACACATAAATGAATGAAAAAGATGTATTTGTTTGGCGCATTGAACCCGGCAGTGACACTTGCAGAGGGAAGATCGTCTGCTGCTGTAGATGATCTCAGATACCCCTGAGGTCAAGCACCGGTGGTGGCTAGAAGCATGGTGTGAATGGGGTGCAGGAGCCAGGACAGGAGCCAGGAGCGGAGGTTGAAGAGGCGCTGGGGAGGTGGTGGGTGTTAAGAGCTTCAGGAAGCGCTGTTTATCGGGGAGTGGTTGCTTTTAAACTGCCCGCTTTGCTGTCAGTGGGTTTTCAAGGGGCTGGCCGGGCTGTGTGATTGGCAGAGGCTCGAGGCTGGCAGAGCTGTTTGATTGGCTGAGGCTCGAGGCTGGCAGAGCTGTTTGATTGGCTGAGGCTCGAGGCTGGCAGAGCTGTTTGATTGGCAGGCCCTGGACGGGTGAGAGCCGTGGCCAGTCTTTCAGTCTGAATTTGCGCTTCAGCTTCATTACAGTGAAATCCTTACGTTTTAATTATTGGGGAGACATTTTTCCAGTGCGTTTAGTTTGTTTGTTTTTTTTAGACTACTTGTATTCTTAAAAATCATATTTGACACCAGGAGAATTAAAGCTAGGGTGCCTAACTTTCATGACACAAACAACTCACTCTCAAAACCAGTAACTCCATCTCTAGTTTTCACATACATCCTCATATCTTTTGATCTGCTTTTTCAGACTGAAAAGTGAGAAAGAGAGGACCACCCTCCCACAGCCAATCAGCTCTCAGCCCAAAGCCTCCAATAGTGACTCACAGGGCTCTTTCTTACAAGAATTTTTAAGATAACACGTTTTATGATAAGTTAAAGGTAAAGACAAGATAAAGACGATACGTTTTGGTCTGATTCACAAAATATTACCTACAAAAATATTAATGAAACAACAAAAAAGTGAGGTACCCGAGCTTTAGCCTGTGTCTTTGGATTCTAATTTTTTCAAGTTGAATTTGTGGACTGTGCACGATACCCACCTCTGTGTCAGACTTTGAGATGTGGGGGAAAGCATTTTGTGTGTGTGTGTGTGTGTGTGCATGGCCTGTGTCCTGTTGCAGCCTTTTGCTCCAGTGACCAGCGATCATCAATAGTGGATGAGCAGATCTGGTTCCAATGTGCAGCGGCCATTGTCCCGCGGAGAAAGAAGACGTAACATCAAACATTTACCGCCCACATTGTCCCAGGACGCCGACTTTGTTACTTACCCTGAATTTCTCCTTCAAGGATCAATAAATTAATCTATTTATCTATCTACACAGAAAGAATAGCTACTGTATGTATGCACACTAATGCTGTTATGAACGATCTCGCTTATATAAAAATCGGACATATTCTGATAATAAATCTGAGCTTTTAACCATGTTACAAGCTCGCTCCCTGGAGTTGTTTTTAGATCCACGCTGAGATCAGGAACCTCTGGCACAAACTTGTAGCTCCGCCCCTTATGTCTAAAAGCTCCTGTTTCAGTATGATGTCATTGAACCACTATGACATCACACTCAGTTTTCTCTATGTCCCATAAATGAGTTTTGGTAATTTCTCAAGCGGAATAATGTTTGCCTGTGCTTGCAGCCGGTAATTTTCGAATTTTCAATAAGATTCTATACCCCATAATTCTATACCCCATAGCATTATTTACCCTTCAAACTTGCTTAAACGTACATTTTCTACTTGAGATACTATTTTACATTCTACAACATTAAATGACAAAGTAAATAAACTCATTGTCATTTTGAACGGGCAAAAACAATGTGTAATATTTCTTCTTAACGGTATTTTTTCTCACTGGCAACCTCTTTATCCCCCACGTCTCATTTTTTCTCATTTACAATTATTATTATATATATATATATTTTTTTTACAAATCAAAACACTGCCATCTGGAATTGTCCTCCTTAAATCCATTCCTCTGTATGTTTACTGTAATATCTCCTCATTGGAACCAGTGGATGATTACTGCGTCCGATGCCATATGATGTTGAAATTAAGTGATGCTAACGCCATTTGATTTTTTTTTCTTTTATTGATTGTGTACATAGAGGCCCTGTAAGAGTTTTAATGAGTTCCTCGTTGCGTCATCTCGTCTCAGCCTTTGCTAAATAGAAAAAGGACTACGGTAATATATGTTATATTTTCAGATTGTTATATGAAGATGAGAAATAAATACATTTCAAACATTGAGAGACTGAGAGTTTTCCTGGTGAAGAAATGGGAGATTTTTAATCAATCAAATTTATTTATAAAGCACAATTTATACAGTGTAACCCAAAGTGCTTCACAAGCAATTAAAAGACAATAAAACATAAAAACAGTTCATAAACATATACAACATTTTGTATTTTAAGAAATCAGTTAAAGAGATAAAAGTTAAAACATTTTTTTAAATAAATGCTTCAAATTTGTCATTATGCATAGCTAAATAAGACAGTTTTCAGCCTGGGCTTAAATATCACCAGGGCCTGTCTCACGAGCACCGGGAGATTGTTCTATAGGGCAAAGTTAGATTTATGTTTAATATATAAACAATATTGTCACATATCAGCGCAACAGACAAGTAACAAATACATGGTTTGAAAACGGGGCTTGATGAAGCAAATGCTTATTTGATTCCAACCCCCCTCACACACAAAGGCTAATAATAACATAAAGTAGAATTATTTATGTTATTATGAATAACATACATACAGCCACAACACTGTACGGGACATACAGTAATACAACCACAGATGGTAATACACTCACACTGTGTAAAATCATTATTTACACAAATGCAAAATAATTAATTCTGAATGTTTATCTAAAACACAATTTCCATCAGCTGCATCTGTGAGTTTGGACACACCTGCACGTCACTCATTTCATGAGAGCTGTCATTTCTGCTCACTGCTCAGTGTTGGGAAAGTTACTCCAACACTTTACTGTTGCTGAGTTACTTTTAGTGTGTGGAATGATTGGAACAAAATCTGAACTCTGAACATTGTAAAGCGCTTTGGGTGACCTTGGTCTGGAAAATGCGCTATATGAATAAACATTACTTACTTACTTTCTTGTCCAAAATATTAAACATATATTACTGTAATAGTTCTGTGTTATCGGTTTACTACCACAGGGGGGGCGCTCGGGTTATGAGAGAGTTTTCCAGAGGTGGGGGGTTTCCCCACGAGTTGACACGACGGGAGTGTGTGTTGAAAATGTGTGAGTTAAGCGTGAGCTGTGGCTAACAGCAGCTTGTTCGGTCACCTTGTCAATAAAAGCATCTTGAAGAGCACTGTTGGAGCATTCATTACCTGGGAGTATTACATTGGTGTCAGAAGTTCGAGATTCGTCCTCATCGCTTTGAAACTGAGAGTGAAGATGTTTCCCATGGACGGTGCGCGGCTACAGGTGAAGAAAGAGGCTGACGAGTGTTCTATTGAGATGCCAGCTTGCTCCAGAGGTGCGGCCAGAGAACCTTATGTCCAGTTACCCGGACTTTTCCGATTCCCGGCGCTGGGATACAGCAGCGGGGGCACGCGAGCCGAGTCTGGATGTGAACAAAGATGGCGGCGCGCGTCCGCCATTGCAACAGGCTCAATGACTCTGAAATTCTCGGGCAGTGGGAATCTGGAGGCGTATCTGGCCCAGTTTGAACTATTGGCTGCGGCAGCGGGCTGGTCGGGCCAGATGAAGGCAGTGCAATTGGCTTTATCCCTGACTGAAGAGGCGGCTGCCTGTTTGTTGCTTCTGTCTCCAGATGAGAGACAGGACTATGCTATGCTGGTGGGAGCTCTGCAGAGGCGTTTCGGAGTGCTCAATTTAAAAGACTCCCTGCGCTGTGAGTTCAAGAACCGAGTGAGGCGGCCGGGTGAGTCCCTTCGCTCTCTGGCGCATGAGATTGAGAGCCTGGGCAGACGTGCATATTCAACTTTGCCAAGTGTGATCCAGAGTGAGCTTGTGCGTGACCAGTTTGTGCATGCCCTGACCCCAGTTGAGCTGCAGTTACACGTTCAGCTTATCCATCCGGTGTTGCTGAGCCAGGCGCTGGAGTTAGCTCTGGAGAGAGAGACTGCCTTTGGTGCCTCAAAGTGTACTGAACTCATGGTCACTGCTGCAACTAAGGTGGAGCCAGAGTATAAACCCGCTTGGGCGGAGGAGCTGATCCATGCTGTGAAGAACCTCGCTGTGAGACCGAGAGGTGCAGACACGCAGTCCCCATCGAACCTTCCACCCTCCTGCTGGGGGTGTGGCAAGCCCGGCCACACTCTCCGTCGCTGCCCGGAGGCAAAAGGTCAACGGGGAAACGAGAGAGGGTCTGTGTAGCCCGGGAGACACAGGCCCTGTCCACCGTCGACCGGGAGCAGCTGTTCTTCCCTGAAGGGGGAGACGGCGTTACATTCCCTCATGCAGATGCTGTGGAGACAGTGGGCTGGACAGAGGTGGGTTTCCGTTGCTATATACCTGTGCTGATTGGGAATGTTTCCTGCCCAGCGCTTTGTGATACAGGATCTACAGCTACATTTGTGAGACCCGACGTTGTTCCAGCAGGGACAGTTTTGGAGTCAACTTCGGTAAAATTGCGAACGGTTACTGGACAGACGGCCGCCATGAAAGGGCGTGGGACTTTTGTTTTTGCTATTGGGGGCAATTGTGTGACATTCCAGGCCTGGGTCGCTGACGTTAAAGACCCATGTGTCCTGGGCGTGGACTTCCTCAGGTTTATTGGGTGTGTATTGGACTTGGGGGCAGGCATAATGGTTCTCCCTCAGGGGCGGGTTGTACAGCTTATTTCACCCCGCAGCAATGTTAGTCCAGTCTTGCCCACTTGCTGCACTTCTGTGCTCACTGATGCAGGTCCACCACCTGCGCCTGTAACTCCCCTGCATGACTCGTGCCCTGCTCGTCCCCTGTCGTGTGAACCTCAAGACAGAGCTGAAGCTGTCAGTTTAATCTGGGAGAAGAGCTGTGGGGGCTTGGATGAGCAGCAGAAAGCAGAACTGTGGCAGGTCCTGTGGGAATTTAATGACTTATTCGCACTAAATGACAATGAGGTGGGGCTCACACATCTAGTTGAGCACCACATCGAAACAGGGGATGCACAGCCTATCAAGGTACGTCCTCGCCGCCTACCCCTGATACGACAAGAGGCTGCGGACAGTGAAGTCCTTGCCATGCTGGAGGCTGGTATAATTGAACCCTCTGACAGTCCCTGGTCGTCAGCTGTGGTCATGGTCCCTCGGAAGAAGAGCTCAAGATGGAGGTTCTGTGTGGACTACAGGCCATTGAATAAAGTGACAAGGAAGGACTGCTATCCACTTCCACGCGTGGACGAGACCTTGGATTTAGTTTCAGGCTCGTCATGGTTCACATCATTGGACTTGAGGAGCGGATATTGGCAGGTCCCCCTTTCCCCTGCCTCAAGGCCAAAGACCGCATTCAGCACAGGCAGGGGCCACTGGCAGTTCAAAGTTCTAAGTTTTGGGCTTTGTAATGCTCCGGGGACATTTGAGAGACTTATGGACTGTGTTCTAGCTAATGTTCCCCGACAGGAGTGCCTGGTGTATCTGGATGATGTCCTGGTCCATGGAAAGCCTTTCCGAGCGGCCCTAGACTCTCTGCGGTTGGTGCTTGGTAGGATTGCGACAGCCGGATTAAAGCTTCACCCGGATAAGTGCCACTTCATGCGGAGGGAGGTGGAGTTTCTGGGCCACAAAGTCGATGGTGAGGGCATTGGCACGCTCCAGGAAAAGATCCAGGCTATCAGAGACTGGCCCTCCCCAGGAAATTAGAAGCAGCTCAAAAGTTTCTTGGGGCTGGCCTCTTATTATAGAAGGTTTGTAAGGGGGTTTTCCTGTATTGGGGCTCCTCTATTTCGCCTCCTCCAGAAAAATCATTCTTTCACCTGGACAGCTGACTGCCAGGAATCATTCATTACTCTCAAACAGGCCCTGATTAATGCACCTGTTCTCACCCCACCAGACCCCACGTTGGCTTTCACACTTGACACTGATGCTAGTGATGCTGGAGTGGGGGCTGTGCTGTCACAGACAGGCCCTGAAGGTGAACGCGTTGTAGCCTATTTTAGCCGATTGTTTAACAAAAGTGAGAGGCGCTACTGTGTAACAAGACGTGAACTGTTAGCTGTAGTGTTCGCTGTCCGGCATTTTAAATATTACTTGTGTGGTGTGCCATTCACTGTCAGAACAGACCATGCAGCTTTGCGGTGGTTGATGTCTTTCAGGGAACCAGAGGGCCAGGTGGCGCGCTGGCTGGAGGAGCTGCAGTTGTTTCACTTCGAGATTGTGCATCGCCCTGGAACACAACATGCTAATGCTGACGCCCTGTCTCGGCGTCCGTGTGCATCAACCGGGTGTGGCTACTGTGACCGGAGAGATGCCAGAGAGGAGGAACTGCGAGGGGAGGCTGCCGTGGCTGAGCCCGCTTGCTGCTCTGTAGAGGTAGAGGGTAGTCCTGATTGGGCCTCTGAACAAGAAAAGGACAGTGACTTGCGCCCAGTGCGCCAGTGGGTAATTAGGGGTGAGAGACCCTCCTGGGAGGGTGTTATGGGGCTTTCAGTAGCTACTAAGGGCCTATGGAGTAAGTTCAAAACACTTCGCGTTTTGGAGGGAGTACTACAGCGGGGATGGAAGGAACCAGCGACTGGGAGGAGAGGTGGCAAATTGTGGTGCCCAAGGCCCTGAGAGATGGTGTGCTGGGGGCATGTCATGGGGGGGCTGGCTCGGGTCATTTTGGGACAACTAAGACACTGTATCGCTTGCGTCAGGAATATTATTGGGGCCAGCACCGTCGTGATGTCGAGGACTTTTGTCGTCGGTGTGATGAGTGTGCTGCCTACAAGGGGCCTCAGGACCAGTCCCATGCCCCCCTGCAGCAACAAGCAGTTGGTGCGCCAATGGAGAGGGTAGCTGTAGACATTATGGGCCCTTTCCCAGTCTCAGATCAGGGAAATAAATATGTGATGTGTGCAATGGACTATTTCACAAAGTGGCCCGAGGCCTATGCCCTGCCAGACCAGGAAGCAGAGACAGTGGCAGATACACTGCTGGAGGGCATGTTCAGCCGTTTTGGTACCCCAGACATCATTCATAGTGACCAGGGCAGAAATTTTGAGTCACGTGTCTTTGCAGCCCTCTGTGACAGGCTGAACTTGCAGAAAACCCGTACCACACCATTGCATCCACAGAGCGACGGCTTAGTGGAGCGTTTCAACCGCACTATGCAGCAGCAATTGGCAATCCTCACTGCAGCTCACCAGCGTGACTGGGATAAACACATTCCCCTGGTTCTGATGGCCTATCGATCTGCTGTCCAGAACTCCACTAACTGTACCCCGGCTCTGTTGATGCTGGGCAGAGAGATAAGGACTCCGGCAGCTTTGGCTTATGGACGTCCCCCAGGGGATCTGGAGGACGTGCCGGGACCAGAGTATGCCAGAAAACTACAAGATAGAATGGAGTCGGCTCATGCTTTTGCTCGAGACCAGTTGGAAAAAGCTGGTATGAGACAGAAAAGGAACTATGATGTAAGAAGTAAAGGTAAAGACTTCAGTACTGGGGACTTAGTTTGGGTTTACAATCCGAAAAGAAAGAAAGGACGCTGCCCTAAACTAGATAGCCACTGGGATGGTCCTTGTCGTGTGTTAGAGCAGGTGGGGGAGGTGGTCTACAGAGTACAGGTTCCCCCTCGAGGCAGGAAGGTAGTTCTTCACCGGGACAGGCTCGCACCATACAGGGGTCAGACAGTACCTTCATTTGAACAGCGGCTATGCCCACAAAGCAGCCCAAGGCCTTTAGCTAGCCAGAATCCCTCTTTCTCTTCCTCTAATGCTCCATCCCAGCCACCAGCTGTGGCAGGAACTATCTGTGGGTCCAGTCCCGTCAGAACACGGAGAATCCGGCATAGACCCCCACGTTTTGCTGATTTTGTTATGTCCCCTTGAGGGCAAGGGACTTTTAAAGGGGGGAGCTGTGTAATAGTTCTGTGTTATCGGTTTACTACCACAGGGGGGCGCTCGGGTTATGAGAGAGTTTTCCAGAGGTGGGGGGTTTCCCCACGAGTTGCCACTACGGCAGTGTGTGTTGTAAATGTGTGAGTTAAGCGTGAGCTGTGGCTAACAGCAGCTTGTTCGGTCACCTTGTCAATAAAAGCATCTTGAAGAGCACTGTTGGAGCATTCATTACCTGGGAGTATTACATTACATTGGCAGTCAAATACTTTCAAATACTTTTTCTGTTTCAGGACTGTAATCACTATAGAGACTGTCATTTTTCTCAAAAAAAAGCCAAAGTGCACATAAAGTCTGCATATCATACGTATTCCCATTTGGATAAATAACGTTGCAATGCGCCCACGTGTCCACCAGAGGGAGACATACATCTGCAAATCACAAGGCCGTGAGCGACCTGCAAATAAAATCTAACCATCTGTGTGTGAAACATGACTAATACAAGAGGTCTGTTGGAGATAAACACGTGGTCAAAGGTCATCTGAGTCTGTAGATCAATACGAACAATACAGTTGTTTTATTGCAGCCTTTTTAATCTGTTTAATAAAGATAACCCCAATGATAACCCTATATTCAGTGTTGCAACACACAGTCCAGTTACAACAGCTGTGGTATAATAACCGTGCAACCGATATGAACCTGTAGCTATATCAAAATACAAGAAATTAGGTCAAATCAGTGATATGATATGTGTAATAAGGGTCCACTTGTGTTACGGATGATAGAGCTAATAATGCGAGTTAGTTAGACTCAAAAGCTTTCAAACCTACATTGGTTATAGACCTATAATTATCAGCTTGTGTCTTAAATGGCACTCTCATTTGCAACAGTATCCCCCACTCACAAGAGCTGAACATCTGGTTTGAATACACCCTCAAAGTTCTCCAAGAAACTAGAAGAAGAGCCAAACATATTTCTGTCTTTGTTAGTGTCTTGTGCATGATACACGTGTGTCACATGGTAAAATGAATGTGATCATTTGAAAACATAATAAACATAACACAGGGTGTGTTATGTTTATTATGTTTTTTAGTTTACAAATGTCTCATGACTCATCCTAGGTAATGTGGGTGAAGTGTAGAGCTTACAAGTGCCTACAGCTGCCCCAATGGTAATTATGTTCCTGAAGTCTCCTATCGCAGCGTTAGCAGGCCCTGTACGGTTTAGCTTCAGAGGTCTGACGGGATCAGGCTTTCACATGCTGGTGGGACAATTTGTGGTTTCAACAGGCACTTATCCAAAATATCCATTAATGTGCATTGCCCGTGTTCAAATATAGAAATATAAGGAATCAATATTAAACAGTGAGTTACGGAGCAACTATGGATGTAACTTTAGTTACTTTGATTGTAAGTAATATGTTACTAAGTATGATATTTGTAATAGGTTACTTTGCAAATTATAGTTGGATAGTTGATGCAGGACATTAATGGACATTAGTCATTCTACAGACCAATGACTGTTCTTTTGGTGTTCGAATAGTTTGATTATCTTTTCTGTGATTTGATTTACTTTAAAAAAGAATGTATTCTTTATGAGCGAGGCACGCTGATGTGTATTGTATGCACCGTTCATTAACAAGGCAACACAAAAAGTGCTTCCCAAACCCAGAGAAGAATCCTTCTGACTGTATCCTTACTGTTCCTCCTAAGACTAGTCGTCTGGGCTGATTCGCAGATGATTGACAGTTCACCTGCAGTGACGCGCACGGCTCCGAGGAGGAAGTGAGCCGCCTCCAGGAGCCAGGAGCCAAGAGCCAGGCGCGGCCACAGCAACAGTCTATGGCCCCAACACACGCTCTTGTCACCTGCGTCTGAAGCCACTGCATCCGCCCCGGATTCATCCACCTCCCGCTGGAGCCCAGACCTCCACACGTACCCGCGCCGTGCGTAAAGTCTGCGCGCCACAGGTAAGCGCTCCTCTTGGACTGAGCCTCAGCCGCTGCTGTGATCCGTGGGAATGTTGAGGCGGACATGTTTCCCACCCCAATCCTTCTTCAGGGCTGCAAAGTTGACGCGAGTTGGAGACGACCACACGCTTTTATAATCAGTGCGTAAAATCCTCCACTGGAAACAAAGCATTGGTTATAATCGACAACTAATGACATTTATGACTTGGAACTCAGCGGGGAGAGGTGTGGAAGCTGGTGTTTGTGGACTTTAGAGCTCAAAAGGTCCTGTTGCGTCGTGCTTAGCTTTAGAGACACGCACGTACATCTGTTGTCATGTGTCTAGAAGGATTAGCGAGTGTTTTGGTCCCGTGTCTTATGTGTGAATGTGTGTATCTGTGTCTTATCTCATGCCATTGGTGTTGATGTGTGTGTTTGTGAGTGACATATTACTGTCATATAGGTTTTGTTGAAGCGTATAGGGCAGGGGTCTGAACATATAGCTCACCACCCCCTTCCAGGTAGCTCACCAAAGGATTTAGAAATGAACAAATCAAATAATTTACTTTTTATTTCAGGTTTTGTTATTCATCATCATTATTAATTATTGTTAATGCACTTACTTTGTGCTCTAGTAACAAATATGTGATGATAAATAATGACTGTACCCAAAATCAGGCTCGTTCACACCAATGCATCACCACATGTTTATCCCCAGGGTCGCTTAAAGGAGTAGCTCTCTGCCTTTATCGTCCCGGGAAAGTAGCTCTCTGGGTGACATTTAGGGGTATTGGGTATTGCTTCTTGTTGTGTTGTGTTTTTAGTGTGTGTCTGAATGACTGGGAGGGAATTAGATTCTATCTGCTTTTTAGATTCACCCAATCCTTTTCAATTCATGTACAAGTATTTATTAGCATTTTTTTATCAAAATTTTATTAAATTTTTCTGCTAATATCCGCTGGTTTGTTTGAAATAAATACATGAAGTAATGAGTGGATGTTTTGGACTACAAGTTGTTGTCTTTTTGAGTGGGCCGTGCGGTGTGGGAGTGTCCTGTTTGTCCCCTGACAGGACTGACACAACTGAATTAAACACGTGCCGCTGTTTGGGGGAAAACAAACTCCTTAAAATCATCTCTCTGTGGGTCACGGCTGGTATGAGTGGGTCAATCTACTGTCCCGTAATCTGCTCCTTCTAAGGTGCTTTGTCGCGCTCGGTTGAGTTTGATTGGATCCAAATTCTTAATCCATTTTCCTGCCGGGACTCAGGGCTTGGAGCTTATTCTGCAGATCCAGTTTATGTGGAATATGTGAGTAAATATTTGAGTTTTGTGTGTGTTTTTAAGCAATGTGTGTTGCATATGAATTCCAGTTGAGCGTCTGGTCCGGATTACTGCTTTTGTTCTAGTTCCGGTCCACTTCAGTCTCGCTTTGACCAGATTTCCAAGATTTGACTATACGTGCGATCACTTCTCCAATGTCTGTAGATCTTGATGTTATTATGAAATTATTCAAAGTGACCGTGGTTTAGTCAAGTCAAAGTGAAATTTATTTGTATAGAACATTGAATACATGCATTAGGTTAACATGACAGCCACAGCAACCCTTTAATGGTTTCCTTTTGAGTCTACTTGAAGGTTGGAACTGAAATCTACCTCATTGGGGCATCTCACTTTAGGCACTTTTACCGTCAAACTGCATCTCAACCATTTGGTAAAGGCCTATCATTAAAAAACTGAGCACTAATAAATGTGTTATTAGTGCTCCTACATCTTACAAAATCAAAAAAGGAAAAAAAAAAGAAGTTTCTATTGTCAAGGAGTGAAGGTTAAAGGGTCAAATCTGCAGGTATTTGTTCCTTAAATGTTTTTATGTGGTGTGTAGCGACAGAAAGAGTCTTGTAAAAAGTGTTCATGTTAAATCAAACGCCATCACAGTGTCTTCATCAAGTTGTTTTTTGCATAATTCTAAGTTTGCATTCGCCATCTATGCTCAAACTCTCCCCGCTCACTTTAGAAACTTGGACTACTTAAAAAAAAGCAGTTAAAATCTCTTCATTCCTGCTTTTCGATGTTTAGTTTTTTGTGTGTCTGTCTGAAATATGTTTGTGTGTGTCCTGAACTTTGAAGCGTCTTTGAGTTCTTGAGAAGTGCTTAAAAAAACCGACGTATTATTATCATTGTTATTATTATTATTATTAAGTTAGAGCCCTGGGAGTCACTTTTACTTTCGCTTTAGTCTGAGACCTGATTGGCCTGATTTTCACTTTTCTGGTTAAAAAAAAAGTTGATCTAAAGATGTGAAATAGGCAAAAGTACATGTGAAAGATGAGTTTTGTGGATGTTTTTACATAGTTCCATTATTGTAGCCTGAAAGTTACATACCCCAGCTTTCATTTAGACTCTGTAAACTATTATTATTAAAGTTACTCTGAGAGGGGCTGAATCGATACTGATACCAGGAGCCGATACCGCGCCCTCCCCTTTGTCCGATGGAAAACTCCCCAGCCTTTTCCCACCGTTGCCTCGAGCCATTTGTACGACATTTCAACACAAAAAGAAAAAAAAGTCTGTTGTCAAAATGGTCTAAAAATAAAGTGGTTCTGTCCCTAAGTCTGACTCGATCTATTGAGTAAGAACACAGTCAGAAAACTATAAATATCCACAATATCCTGGAGAGCTTCAGACTGTGGTGGATCTGTGGCAAACTTCTGCTGTCACTGTGTCTCTGTTTTACAAGTTTAAGTTAAAGTTTGATCTGAATTTGATTTAAAAACTGATTCTATAGAGTAAAGAACATTTTAGCTCCTTCTCCTCCTGTCATCCTGTAATTAGTCGTTTTGTGCACAGACATGGTTTGCATCTGGACACTTTATGGAAATACAGAATTAATTATGACTCGAGGATCAAAAAGTAAATGTTAAATATCATATTCATTTTATATGATTAGTGTTTTTTGGATACATGAAGTACAAAGGTGTTGTATTTTTGTAGGATCCAGCTGGCTTTTGTTATTCAGGTGAGCAGTAGCAAACATACTGTACACGTGAAACTCAGAACATTAGACTATTGTTCAAAACTCCATTCACTTCTGTAATTCTAAATAAAATGTGGAACTATGAACCTAGCTACTTTAGAGCCAGAGACGAGCTACAAGGATGAAATGACATTGTTCCGTTGTTGAAGCTTGAAAGACATGATGATAATAATAATAATAATAATAATAATAATAATAATAATAATAATAATAATGATGATAATACTAATAATAATAATAATGATGATAATAATAATAATAATAATGATGATGATGATGATAATGATAATAAAAATACTGATAATAATAATAATAATACATTTTAGGTGCCTCTCTGGACACTCCTGGACACATTACATGCAAGTAAAAAGTGCATTTTAAAAACAGTAAGTGGTATATTTTCGACTTCCAGGCCGATCATCAAGACTATTGGTCCTCCCAATTGTCAATCATTCTGGTGATACGTGCTCGTCCAATAAGACCGGAGAGTTTTGTTCGAAAAGTGGAAAGGGCGGTTCTTTTCTAAAATGTGGGAAAATCCTCCTTTATACCTTTTAAAATACAATTACATACCCCAGCTTTAATATAGACTCACTAATCTATCTTTACTTCTGAGTATCTTAGACCAGATGCTGGTTCCGTCGTTCCAGTATCGTGAAACAGATTGTTTCTCACGCAGCTGTATCCGACTTTGAGTTTCAAGTGAAAGTCAGAACGACAGACACAACAGCGTCACATGAGGTCAAACAATGAACACTGACATTGAGACCGTCTGTCCTTGTGCTGCTTCTCTGCACCCAGGGACCTTACAATCAACTCTAAAACACAACCCTTTGCTTTGGAATATACGGTTTTATCTATTTCACCTATAAAAAATAACTAGGAAGATTCCGTTGAGATTCAAAGATCTTTCTGAGAGTGTCCTGGCTCAGAGGCATTCACAATACACACCTGAAAAATATGTACTGTATATAAAACATGGATACATTAATGAAAACATACAAGAAATAATACGGATATGAACAACGACAGGTCTGTGGTTCTCAACATGTGGGGCAAGGGGCAGTTTCTAAACAGAGTGCAATGTGAAAGTGAAAGTAAAGGTCAAAGAACGCAATGGATTCAATAAACCGCTTTACAATGAGTTCAGCTTGTTTCATTTAATACTGCCTGAAATATTTGAGAATAAATTGGGAAAAACTCTGAACAATATTATCACAAGTATTTCCAAACAATATTTTTGATAATAATATACTTATAAGAGCAGCGTACAGTGGCCAATACTTTCAACAGTGTGTTTTGGTAAGTTATATTGACACATTTTGGCTAAGGTCTTTTGTTTCGTTAAAGCTGAGGTTCACTAACTTTCAAACCATAAAAAGAAAAAGTGGAAGTATGTAATAAAATCCATGTCTCTAGATCTTGGCTCTAAAAAAGGCTGATTCAGACGATCACTATCACTTCTATCACTAGTTTACCCTCTGTCACATCTTCAGATCAGGTCTCAGCCCAAATCAATTCACATAGAGACGTGCTCTTTCTTACAAGTATGCAAATAAAAACATGTATTTATCACAGGATGAAGAAAGCATGTTGTGATCTGATTTGTTTTTTCCATTTTACTGTTACGAGACTCTGTCTGTATTTATGCAAAAGTTTATTTAATGGGTGAAACGGTGACGCAGCGGTTAGAGCTTGTTTCACAGCAAGAAGGTCCTGGTTTGATTAGATTCAACTTTATTGTCATTACAAAGTCAGAACAATGCAACGAAATGCAGTTTAGCGTCTAACCAGTAGAGCAATGGTAGTATAGTATAGGATAATATTTACAACACAGATATAAATATTTGCAGATATGGGAGACTGTACATTCATTATATTACATTATACATTTAAGTGCATTTAATGGGGCTTTACTTGGTTGAGAGTTCAGGAGTGTGACTGCTCTGTGATAATAACTGTCTCTTAGCCTACTGTTCCTGGCCTGGAGACTCCTGTAGCGGCGACCAGAGGGCAGAAGGCTAAAGAGACTGTGTGCAGGGTGAGAAGAGTCCTTCACATTCTTACGAGCCCGGCGCAGAGCGCACTTGGCTCTGGATGTTTTTGATGGGCAGAGAGTGGAACCCCAATTATGCTATCGCAGTACGATAAAAATGCAGCATTACGGACGGGGACACGTTATTCTTCTTGAGAGTCCTCAAAAAGAAAAGGCGCTGGTGGTCCGTCTTGATGAGGCTGGAGGTGTTGATGGTCCTCAGATATGTGGGTTCCCAGGAACTTGAAACTGTGAACCTTCTCCACGCCGTCCCATTGATGTAGATGTGGTTGTGTTCTCCTTCTCTACTTCTCCTGAAGTCCACTATAAGTTCTTTGGTTTTGCTGGTGTTGAGGTGCAGGTTGTTCTCAGAACACCAGGTGGACAGATGTGGACAGATGCTGGATCTCCTCTCTGTAGGCCGTTTCATCGTTGTTGTGGATGAGGCCTATCAGTGTGGTGTCGTCTGCAAACTTGATGATGGAATTAGTGAGGGACACTATGAGGGGAATTAGTGGTCTGCAGTCGTGAGTGAAGAGGGAGTAGAGAAAGGGGCTTAAAACACAGCTCTGTGGGACTCCGGTTTGGACCGTGGTGGAACTGCGGTTGTCCAAACAAACGTGCTGAAGTCTGTTAGTGAGTCCAGTTACACAGAGCTGGATTGATGCCGAGGATGGAGTTATGGAGTTTCTTGATCAACCTATATGGAATAACGGTGTTAAATGCAGAGCTAAAATTTTCCACCTCTCCCCGTGTCTGCGTAGGTTTCCTTCAGGTGCTCCGGTTCCCCCTGAATGAGGTCTGAATGTAATGAGTGAGTGAATGTATGATGTTGGTTGGGGGCTTTGATGCACGAGTATGTTCTGTCATCACAGCGTGTGGAGTGAATGGAGAAAAAAAATATCTGAGCGCTTTTGGGGATCCTGGTCTGTAAAATATGCTATATAAGAAAACATTACTTTCTAATTGTTTTAGAAATTAGAAAGCAATGTTTATTTTGTCCTTTATGAAACTCTACCAGTTAAAGTGAACCCAACAAGTGTGAGCGCATGTTAGCAAGTACACAATATACAAACCATAAAAAACAACAATTTTATTCAAATCTATGTAACTTGTTTCTCGCTCTCAAAACAGTTTGGCTCTCTCACTAGTTTTCACGTGCATGTTTTGGAATCTGTCACATATCAAAAGTGATGAGATGAAGACATGTTGTGGTCTGATTTGTTCACAAAATCTTACTTAAAACAAGACTTTTTTCCCATGTGGTTCCAGATTCCCTGATGCAGTAGAGGCTTGACCCTTGACCCTCTCAGCGGTCTCCATCGGGGGCCACAGGACTATTTGACCATGTCCCTCTCTGGAAGCCCCACTGGAGCCAAGGCCCCTCTCATCACCGAGACCTGCTTCTCCACGGTCCTCCACATCACTGAACCGGGCGACGAAGACTACGAGCAGCAGAACCAGCCCCAAACTTCTGTGGCCAATCATGAAGACGAGGGGGACCGCTTATTTGCGCCAAAGAGCGCCGTTTTAAGCACGCAAAGTCCGGTTCCGCACAGAAAAGGCACCAGGCAGCTCATACCCAAGAACTTAGCTGTGTCGAGCCGGCCCAAAACCCGCCACCACACCACCGTAGTGACTTTCCCCGTGGGCCTGGAGATGTCCAAGAGCGGGAACGAGTCCAAGAACCGGAACTCAGAGGTGGCCTGGGACGACTACGACAGCGACGGGGAGGGCTTCGACTTCAGGAGGAATCGCAGGAACAAGTCGTACAAAGCGGCGGTGGTGATGGACACGGATTTCGGTGTGAAGAAGAGCAATTCTAACTTGCTGACGCCGGTGAAGGAGCAGAGGGCGGCCAGTCCCAGTCCCGCCAGGAGTCCGGGGCGCAAGGTGAGGCCTGCGGGGCGGAGGCTGTGGTCAGCAGGGAAGATAGTCCAGTCAATTCTATTTATTTTTGGAATGCACTAAAACACAACAGTAGTTATGTTCCTGTGAGGACTTGTCGGAGGAAGCTGTCGATTTGCCAAAACAGATCATTGGTTCATTAGGGGCAGATGAATAAATGTCCATAAATGTCGAGTGTCGAGCGAATCATCATCACTGTCTTGAGACCCTCATGTCATAGAAAAAAGATTGTTTCGGAATGGAAAAATGGTCTTAACAACATTTACTCTGGCTCTTAGGAGCCATTATTCCATTGGGAGTGGGATGACTACTGTCCATAAATGCTGATAGAGATCCATAAATTGTCCATAGAGCCTCCAGCATTGTCAAGGAAAGACTCAAAAACACAAAAACTGAGAAAAACATTGAGGGCAGGCCCATATTGAGAGACGGATTTTCTCCCACGGACGGACAGGCTGTAGATCCAGGACTGAGGCTGTAGATCCAGGACTGAGGCTGTAGATCCAGGACTGAGGCTGTAGATCCAGGACTGAGGCTGTAGATCCAGGACTGAGGCTGTAGATCCAGGACTGAGGCTGTAGATCCAGGACTGAGGCTGTAGATCCAGGACTGAAGCTGTAGATCCAGGACTGAGGCTGTAGATCCAGGACTGAGGCTGTAGATCCAGGACTGAGGATGCAGATCCAGGACTGAGGATGCAGATCCAGGACTGAGGATGCAGAATCACACAAAATACAACCGCTTCATATCGCCAAGTCCATGCAGATTCCATGTGTAAAAGTAAATAGTTGACTGTGAGCTGTGTGAGGATTGTGAGAGAGTAAAGTATTAGAGTAGAGTCAGTAAGAGTAAGTATGTATTTGAGTGTGTTTCTTGAGTGAAGTGTGTCAAACATCCTTGTGGTTGTGTGCAGCGGACTCTGGGCCGAAAGAGGAACCAGAAGCAGCGTGGCTCCTTCAAAGACGGTACGTCACTAGAGTGGAAAATGACAAAGAGCTTCACAGAGATAAAGTGTGACCGATGCTGGGGTCACACACTGGACCCACGCTGACCACACACTGGACACACACTGACCACACACTGGAAATAAAAGGGTTACACACAAGCAGCTCAAAATGATAAAACAGCAGCTGTGATTTGAGTTGTTTTACAAACAAGAGACAGATGATTTGGCTCCAACCCTTCTCTCATCCAAAACAACTCAAAACGCACATGCACACACACGCACACACACACACACACACACACACACACACGCACATACATACACTTAATTACACAATAAGTCGTCTTTCCTGAAATACAAAATTCTCAATTCATCAGAGACACATCAGAGAATCAAATCATTATCATTAAAACACAGGAAATGCACCACAAACACATACGAGGCATTGGTCCATATGGTTGTGATGTCACACAAACACAACCTATTACTTCCCATTCTGAAACATGAAATGCAGAACTGTAAATATTCTGAAGATCATGTTTGAGCCCCAAAAGCAAATACTTTAGGTAAAGTACAGGTGTGTAACGTGTGTTGTGTGACTGTGGTTGTGTTGCTGCAGCCCCTCCGTGCCTGTACCAGGACGTGAGGGAGCGCGGCCTGCACTCCACCAACCAGGATGAGCTGCTGGACGACTTCGTGGTGGTGGAACATCCTGTGGAGGAGGAGGACCAGGGCATCGTGGTGCGCAGCTACAGGCCCACACAGCTGACCTGGAGCCAGCTGCCTCAGGTCAACACACACACACACACACACACACACACACACACACACACACACACACACACACACTACAGGCCCACACAGCTGACCTGGAGCCAGCTGCCTCAGGTCAACACACACACACACACACACACACACACACACACACACACACACACTACAGGCCCACACAGCTGACCTGGAGCCAGCTGCCTCAGGTCAATACACACACACACACACACACACACTACAGGCCCACACAGCTGACCTGGAACCACACATATACACACACACAAAAATAAATCATAAATTCTATCCAACAAACTTTTTTATTTTGAAAAATGTGTCGTACAAGTATCTATTATTTACAGTCTCTGTGCTACTCTTCTGTCCAAAAGAGTGGATGTAAAATATATACCTGTGTACATTTACCATTATTTATTTGTAAATGTGATGCATGATTCTTGCTAATGTTGCTGGTGAGGAAGTAAACATTTGTCATTCAGCCAACTTCAGGTCAGTCTCAGTCAGTGTGGACATGACGTCATACCCCATGTTAACGCTCAGAACGACCTGAACACGGTAGAAAACCTTTGACAGTCTGTGTGTCGGCCCCGGGGTGAGTCTGATGAAGTAAAGTTGGCGTCGTACTTAAACAAGTGGAGCGGAGAAAGAATGTGAACGCTCTGTTTTTATCACTGACATCGACTCTGCCCTCACAGGTGAAGGACACTGGAATCCTGTCTGTGATCCCGCCCCAGGAGAGGAAGAGGCAAGAGGTGAGCTCACTGCATATTCAGCCATTTTCCAGTCTTTTCTTTTTGTCTAATTTCTGTATGTTATGTTATTTTAATTCATAATTATTTTATTTTACCGTTCATTATGTCCAAAGTACCTCTCCACACTTACATGGTCCTAATGTTGCCACAGCTTGGTCTAAACTGACAAGCAAAGCTACCAATCGCCGTGGTGACAATCAATTCTATATTTTTGCTGATTTATATGAAATAACAATGATTACAAAGACACAGTATTTCTGAAAGGGAAGATTCTGTTCAAATGTTACAAAACGAAACAAAAGAATAAAAAGGAACGAGGTCAAGACTACATCCAAGTTCCACTTTCAGTCACAAAGCCATAAACCAGACCGAAAAAAAACTCCACCCAAAGAAGAAAGGTGAGGCAGTATTCATGCTCTTCAGTCCCTTTATCTTGGAATATGATCTTGGAGTATTTACTTTGAGGATCTGTGCCAATGTTCCTATCAATAGTGTGGATTGAGCTAAGAACAATATATTAGGGCTGTCAAAATGATCGCGTTAACGCACGGTAATTCATTTTTTTCATTAATCGCATTTAACGCATGTGCCAAATGACCCGCCTATATGCATCCCATAACAACACTCAGAAGTGACGCTCACGGGCACAAGAAACTCTCCTACTCTCCCCTGCGCTCTCCTCCCACCGAGCCATGTAGTTTTAGTAGTGATCTGATAGGCAAACATTAGCGTTAGCACAACTTCTTGTAAGCTGTACAACAAACAATGATGAAATGGTACAAAAGCAACGCACTGCTAACAAAATAGATAACTGAAAGATTACCGCTAGTTTTGCGTCCAAATGTAGTCCGAGCAGAGATAGTCCGAGCAGAGATAGTCCGAGCAGAGATAGTCCGAGCAGAGATAGTCCGAGCATAGATAGTCCGATAGTAGTTCTCGCATGTGCCTCCTGTTTGATGGTCCTGCTCCCATCTCTGTGCGGAGGGAAAGACAAATGCCCACAACAAAAGTAAAGTGCTTTGTGGCTCTGGTCTGGGAAAGGTGCTATACAAATAAATAAAGAGAACTCACTACTTACATTCAGTGAACATTCTGACATGCTGTATTGCGCATGATTGCAGTATTTACTATTACAGATGAGTCGACAACTACAGAATCAGCAGTTCTCATTGTACAGTCTGACAGCAGCAGGGAGGAAAGAAGTGATGGAGATGAGCTCTTCTGCTCTTTTCTGTCATATTTACACTATTTCTACAGATGTCCATGAGTATGCACTCTCACTATAGAAAATAAAATACAAAGCCTGGATTCCAGTTACCTTCAGTCTAAAGGCAGTATCTCTCCCCAGATCTGTGTCTTTGTGCTGTTTAAGGAGAGTGTGTCAACATGCGGTCCCGCAGCAGACACGCCCTCTGTGCAATCACCCACTCACCCTCGTGTTCCACCAGTTTGTATAGAGTCCATTCTAAAGGAGATTACATTGTTTAAGAACTGCTTGGAGTTGACATGTTGAGAGTATGGCTCTTGTGTTAGAGAGTATGTAACAGTACGGAGTGTATAGCAAATGTATTTGAATAGCACAGTTCATACACAAGGCTCAAAGTGCTTCACAAAACAAGATAGAAACAATCACACAAGGCATTAAAATCATAAATATTCACAGTACATGTTTGTCTCCCGTTGTAGTCTATTTAGAAGTGTAGAGGGCCGTAGTCACGCCTGTGTCCGCCGTTCAAACTAATGTGCCACCACTTTCTTCGTCTATGGGCACTTTCAAAATGGCCGCGGGGCCTGGAAAACTTGAATAAAAGCATTTGCGCATGCGTCAGCCGCCACGAGCCCCATTCATTTGACGAGTGCCTTCAAAATTCCACTGCCACTAAACTAGACTGGTCCAAAAAAAAAATCACTCCCCTCAGCACTGACACACATGTTCAACGGAGCTTTGGGCCAAGAACCAACTTTTGGACCATCCTGTAAAGCTGGTTTCGAGAGGTACATTAGCATTGGCTAATTCTCATTCCGGTCCCACCCCCACCGGCCCGGGGTGGTATTGCAGCATATCGGCGCACGTCATTTTGGACATTTTTGAGCCAGGATCCACCCCCACTGGGTCGGACACAACAGTTTTTGAAAGGAAAAAAATGATGTCCAGAATCACTGTCAAACCTGCTCCTCCTCCTGATGTTTAGATACAAGTGCAGTGTGTCCGGAACTGATCTAGAGCCAAGGGCCGCTAGCAAAAAAAATGTTGTCACTGTGCGAGAAAAAATATGCAATGCTCGTATTTTGGGCTCTGTACGCGCCACTACGCTCGTGATAACACGGCGCGCTGCCTGGCGAGTGTCCGCTTCACAAGACGACACCGCAGGCGCACGAGGCGTTACAGGCAGACGTCATTGTTTACCCTTCATACACGTTTCACCGTGTATTTAAACTAAAACATGAAAAGACAAAGTTCTCATCATCTCTTTCAATGCCCAAATCTAACATGTAATATTTTGTCTTTAATTCAACGTTTTTTTTTTTTTTATAGAATTTTTTTATTATTATTTACAGTTCAAATATGATCTTCCAGAGTGAACAGAGTGTACTGTCTGAGATGTGAGAAAAAGTGACTGAACAAATAAATGACTACTACAAAGAAAAGCAGTATGTGAAGCTAACAGAGCAGGCGTGTGGTGTGTGTTTGACATTTGTGAGACTGTTATAAAAGTACACACATATTTTAAAGTAGGAATGACGCAATTTCAAATGTTAGCTATGTTTCTTTGCAAGGAATTATCAAACTGTAGTGTTTTTGCTTTCCAAAATGATAACAGTAACAAAGTACATTTCTGTTTCATACCTTTCGCTCGGCTACACTACAAAAATGACAAAAAGCAGTATTTCCTTCTGTTCTCATGGTCTTCCAATCTGGTGCAAATGGCAAATTAAACTTAATCTGACTGAATATTAAAATCATACTTAAACATGTTGACCTAAAAATAACAAAAGAGACAGTTATGTTTGCCTGATTAGCATAATTCAATGTGTTATAAAACAGGCTCTTCTGAAATAAATAATGTTTTTCCCAGCGGTATGAGTCACCACCACACGTCTTCTTCTTGATATATTTTGCATACTTCTAAGAAAGAACCCTGTGTGAACTCTATGGACTGAGAGCTGATTGGCTGAGAGAGGGCGGTCCACTCCATTTTACATTTCTGTCTGAAAAAGCTGATCCAAAGACATGAAAACTAGTGACTAAACCAAAATGTTTGGAGTGTGTGGAATGAGTTATATGGATTTTAATGTTTTATTTTTTGTGGTTTGAAAGTTAGGTATCCCAGCTTTAACAGAGTAATCTTGACACTGTTATTATAAAGGATTGGAGGTGTCGTTATGGTCTGTCCTCTCTGCGTCACTACCGCTTTAAGTCCACACACACACACACACACACACACTGCACTTTGCTCTGTCTCAAACCGCTACGTTCCCAGGAAGCAGGAGTGTCAGAGGCCACACACACACACACACACATACACACAGACACACACAGATGTACAGACAGATACACAGACACACACAGCAACAAGAACACACACACATACACACAGGGGCACAAACACACACACATACATCAACACACACACAGGGGCACAAACACACACCCCCACACACACACACACATGCACACAGGGACAGGGACACGAACACACACACACAGCTATAATTAAAGTCTTCAAAAGTCGACCTTAGTCATTTGTTGTTCTGCTCTCCCTAAACTATCCATTCATGTTTTAGTGGAAAAACAAGATTCAACACGTCCCTCTGGAACCAATCCTGAACTTTTCCATAAACGCACAACATACACTGAACATACATACACTGTACATACTACATACATACACTGTACATACATATACTGTGTACATACATACACTGTACATACATACACTGTACATACATATACTGTACATACATACACTGTACATACATACACTGTACATACATACACTGTACATACATATACTGTGTACATACATACACTGTACATACATATACTGTGTACATACATACACTGTACATACATACACTGTACATACATATACTGTGTACATACATACACTGTACATACTACATACATACACTGTACATACATACACTGTACATACATACACTGTACATACATACACTGTACATACATACACTGTACATACATATACTGGGTACATACAGGGAAATCACATGGAACTGTGTCACTGTTGGGATTCTTTGAAACAGGTTGATCCCAGGTTTGAATCGCTGTTTTCCTGAAGCGTTTAAAGTAGCAATATGTAAGATTTTTATGTAATTTAATGGCCCTAATCTGTCAAAAGGCGATAATAAATCATGCTCTCTTCGAATACTTTTTTAACTGATAACAATAGTTCAACCGACATATTTAAACTTCATATCGATGTCCCGCCCTCCAGCGTTTTACCTATCAGAAAGTCTGTGATCCGGGTTGCCAGAACTGACCATGTCGAGCTAATCTCACTGGTAAATTAACATGTGACTGGTGCACTGAAAAAAGGTCTCATTCTCAGAAATCATTAATAACAAAACAAGGAATAAAACGTGGATTTCTATTAGGGCTTTTGTGAAATAGGTTTTGGTTGTAGATTTGTTTTCCAGCTAGATTTGTATGCATATCTGGCAACCTGAGTCAGGGAGAGTGCAGTACCACGTTTGGCCAGATTTACTATTTGGTTTTAGAGGCCTATAATAATACAAATATTTATATCCCAATTTATCTTGAATATTAAGTGTAGTTCTGCATCACACACTGTATACTGTAGACTAATTGCCACTTATTTCACTATAAATGTGCCGAATGTTTTGAACCCGGACATAGCATTTCTGAATTGTAATCCTAGATCTAGCGGCTTGTTCTAAAATTTTACAATATTCCCATTCACGCTAATATCAGAAGCGTCTACACAAAACAGTACAAATATGACCCCCCTGCCCCTTCTGTCTAGAAGTTTTCAAACTTAACTCTCCCATTGAGTTTATTGAGTTTGTTTGTGTCTTTCCTTGTCAATGCAGGAGGATCTAAGAACAGTTTGTTGTTATTGCATTTCCTGTGTTCTAACGGTTTGATTTTCTGATCTGTTGTTGAGGAATCGACAGCATGTAAAGTCCTCAGAGTTGACTGCTATATAAGAATACTGAATATAATTGAATATAATTTTATTGCATGCTCTGTGTGGAGCTAGATCAATTGTATTACATAGTTACATTTTGTGTGGTTTGGTTGTGGCTTTAATGGACAAAATTAACACATTGGTCTTTCGGGCACTGACCTGAGAGAAGTGAGTCTAAATGCTGCACTAGCGTCATGAACAGTATCACGGTGTGGCTTCATGTGTGTCTCTGCTCCGCTCAGGCCATCTTCGAGATCATCACCTCGGAGCACTCGTACCTGCACAGCCTGGGCATCCTGGTCAGACAGTTCAAAAGCAGCGAGGCTCTGAGGAAGACCATGACGGCCACCGACCACCACCACCTCTTCTCCAACATCTCTGTGATCGAAGAAGTCAGCAAACGGTGAGGCCACGGCTGCTACGGCAACACAGAAACTAAAGACCCCTCTCTTTACACGTGGAGACGGTCATCCTCTAGCTCCGAAACCGCTATACTCTGTCACGCTCACAATTTTGGGCTTTGAAATCTGCAGTTTAGTTGATATTGTCTTTGTAAATCCAAATAAGGATTGACCAATTAGATGCCTTCATTCATGGGGGAAACTGTAGCCTGCCTTAACAACGATCTTAGCAACACGTCTGCCCCGGTTATGCCGCGGAAGAAATGCCCAAATAAGGAAATTGGCTCTAGCTAGCTTTTGCTCATATCGGCTACTTTAGCATTTAGGCTAACACTATGGTGACATCAGGACTCCGTCAGTCCACTCCGTCCTCCAAACATATATTATTGGTGCAGTATTGGCAAAAGTGGTAGCAGCGAAATCAATAACAACTTCTACAAAGTGTGCACATGGTGTCTCAGGATGAAACTATTGAAAAACCATTATACATTATGTTTTGTGAATCTAATCACTATCAAATATTTTCCTTTTCATAATGTCTTTTTTAAAAATGCCTCTTCACATCCAACTGAAAATTCTAAAACATAAACACAACCCATCGTCCCTCTCCCCGAAGTGTTTTTCCCCCACTGGGATATTTTGAGTCGATCGTTGCTGATGTAGGAGGGTCCCGGTCAGGGCCTTTCCGAGTGGAGTTTACATGTTCTCCCCGTGTCTGCGTAGGTTTCCTCTGGGTGCTCCGGTTTCCCCTACCACTAAAAACATGTACAATAGGTTTGAATGTAATGAGCGAGTGAATGGATGGTGTTGGTTGGGGTTTTGATGGTCCAGTGTGTTCGGCGTCTCGCTTCAGTCATCACCGTGTGTGTGGAGAGAATGGTACAATATCTGAATTCTGAACAATCGTAAAGCGCTTTGGGTGATCTTGGTCTGTAAAAAAGCACTATAAAAATAAAGATCACTTACTTACTTACTAAGTGCAGTGATGAGATTAGGGACATTTATCAACAATAATGGACAGTGGTCTTGCTGCTCTCTATGGAATGTATTCTCTTGATGAATAGACAACAAATGTTATTTAGGGCTACACAAAAATACATTGAATTGAATTGAATTGTAAAGCTTGGCAGTTTTGTTACTGCTGTAAGTTTGCTGCTGCATGTATGAGTCCTGGGCCGTGCTTCCCTCTCCCTCAGTATCGTCTCTGTGCCTCAGTCTCTGGTGGGTGTATTTGCCCTGGGCTGCAGCTCCAGTGTCCCATGGCTCTCATGACATGTTCTCACTCGCCTGTCGAACTGGTTGAGCCACATCACTGCTTGTATTTGAGATGCTAACGCTCTTAAGCAAAAAGCGTTTGTTGTCAATGACTTTTGCACAAAAACAGGACACGCTTTGATCGGCCTTTAGACAAAAAGAACAGGAGTGGTGTGGAAGAAAACTGGTTTAATTTAGTTGATTTAGTTTGTGTGTGACTGGGAGTTCAGAGAGGACCAACTGTGGTGTTGTGTTACAGGTTTTGTGTTAAAATGTACAGGAGGGGCTGAGAAGAGGAAAACCATTTTGAGAAAAGTGAAGGCAGTACAGGTGATTCTCCGAAAAGTAGAAGAGCCAGTGTACTGGTCTTGTGCACACTGGGGACTTTTGCAAATGTATTCCAATGTGGTTTTACTGCAAATGGCAAACAAATTAATCTGAATCTCTGATCTCTTCTACTTTTCGGAGAATCACCTGTACTGTGGGTTGGGTTAGGGTTAGTATAGACTGAAAAACATAACAACGTGGCCATTTGTTGTGAATGTGAATGCCTTGGCTGCACGGTGGCTGAGTGGATAGCACCCTCGCCTCTCAGCAAGAAGGTCTCCCCGTGTCTGCGTAGGTTTCCTCCGGGTACTCCGGTTTCCCCTACCACTAAAAATATGCACAATAGGTCTGGCATACGCCTCCTGTTCGGCGACCCCGCTCCCATCTCTGTGTGGAGTGAGAGACAAGTGCCCAAAAAATAACAATTGTAAACCGCTTTGTGAAAGGCGGTATATAAATAAACATTATTTACTTACATAAATAAAACAAGATTAAAAGTACAGAAATAAAGCAAACAAAACAGAAAACACAGTGAAATCAATCGACTAAAACCGTTTCAATACAAGCGCAAGATCCGAATATTTACTGTGTTTCTCTAAGGTAAGGGAAGTTTACTAGTATAGCACAGTTCATACTCAAGGCAACTCAAAGTTCTGAAGAAAACAAGAAATGAAACTATCCCGCAAGGCATGAAATCATAAACAATCACAGCACATTCAAAAGATACAAAGATACAATCCTTCAGTTGTGTGCACAGCTAACATAAAACTGTCAGAGTAGAAGTTTTACACTTTACTCTTCCAGATTTTAGCTGCATAGATCGGAAACACTGTCCCCATATGTTTAGTCCTGACTCTGGCCAGTCCCTGTGCTCCTCAGAGTCTGAGTTGGTTCATGTGGGACTAACATCTACCACTAAAAACATGTGCAATAGGTCTGGCTTGTGCCTCCTGTACTGGCCCCGCTCCCATCTCTGTGTGGAGCGAGAGACAAATGCCCACAATTGTAAACCGCTTTGTGACTCTGGGCAGTGAAAGGTTCTGTGTAAAGATTACTACTACTTACTACATGTGATTACAATGTGAAACTAGTATATGACAGACCTATTACACGCACAGAGAGATATATCCAGCCTTTTTTTAACATAATATTGTTACTTGCCTCACAGCTGTAAAAACCCCAAATCGTACCAGCTCGACCTGGATAGAACCAGAACCAAGCAGGTACTAAAAAGGTACTAAGAAGGTACCTAATACCAGTAATGCAGGGCCGGTGGAAACACTCCAATCAGGGTAGAGTAGGGCCAAGTATCGCTGGTGGAAACAGGGCCATAGTTTGAACATAGACTGTAAGCCATAATTATCGACATAACAAAAAAGGCATTTGTCACTTTGTAGGTCTTTTGAACAATATTCTAATTTTCAGAGTTTCACCTGTATGTTGGGAATGAAAGAAACAGTGTGTGTTTAGCTCCTGTGTGTCAGAGATAGGTATTTACTTCCATCTCGAGTACATGGTGTAGTACTTGTTAGTTGTAAGACTAATTTTCAAATGAACTATTCACATGTTGTTTGTCTGAAAAGAAAGTCTTGTAAAAGTAAAATGTAGTCTGAGCAAAGAGCCCTGTGAGCCACTATTGGATGCTTTGAGCTGAGAGCTGATTGGCTGACTGAGGGCGTTGTTTTTTCTTTTTATGTGAAAACTTACGATAAAGCAAGAGTTAGGATTTTATTCCTCATGTTTTGTCGATTGAAAGGGTATAAATGTAAAAGTATGATGGTGCGATTGCAATACTACATTTATTGTGAAAGTTGAATATTTATTTCAATTAGAAACACATCACTTATTGTTTTCCATTATTTATCATTGTTTTGCAGTAGATTGTTGTGTTATTGGTCTGAAAAGTCTAATAACTGGAAACGGTTTTATATTTTCAAATTGGTGGAGCAGTATTTCCAAAGTCCACATGTGTAAGAAATGAAACCACAGCTTATGTTGAGTCCAAAGATCAGAAAGTGTGTTTCTGTTCCAGTTTAGAACGTGTCGTTTCAATACAACACACTTTAACTCAAGACTAACTATACAACAACATACATATAACCGCTAGCTTTCGTTCTATGTCAAACACTGAAATCGCTATGGAAACATGGGCAAGTGGTGATTACGTCTTGAGCAAAATGAGACGCTTTTCAATATGTTCCCATAGCAACGATGGAGAATTTTTTGAGTCTATCTCAAAGGGACTGAAAAAAATAGTTTGTTTCTATTCAGGGCGTATACAAACAATTGCTTTGTAACTCTCAAAGCGCCATATCAAGTTTATTTACTTATTTTACAGATAATGCAAAATGTAAATGTATGTTTTATTTAGAATAATCAGTCATTCTGGGATTGATCATTAGTGTATCATAGTGGGGACTATTATTTAACGACATAAACCAGGATTCCTTCATCAAATGTAAAACTGTCTACTGTTAATGTTGTCGTATAACAAAGGAAATGACAGATGTGTTCCCTCAATTGCGAAGAATTATTTTAATGATGAATCATTATTTTGGCCTGAGCATTAACCGTTGTATTGTCTCTCTTTCTGTTTCAGTTTCTTTGAGGATCTAGAAAAGCGACACTACGACAGCGTGGTGATCCGGGACATCAGCGACATCGTGCAGAACCACGCGGCGCACCACTTTGAGCCGTACATCGTGTACTGCGCCAACGAGACGTTCCAACAGCGCACGCTGCAGAGACTTCTGTGAGCAGCACAACACGTTTGGGCCCTGAGGGTTAGAAGTCATTAGTCCAGCAGAAAGTAGATGGATACTCGGATTCTCTAATATTAACTCTTGGACTCCCAGAATCCTGAAACTACTTGAACCCTCAGAACAGTCATTTTGACAGCTCGTATTCAAATCAATGTGATTCTGAAAACATCTCAAATAATGATAATATTATAATAATGACAGAGAAATAAACTACACATAGATACAGAAAATATCACGTTATGTAGACTAAAATGTATATAGTGATTACGTTTCCAACACAAAAAACATTAAATTGACTGCTCTCGGAGTTCTGAAATGTATGTTTCATAAATCATACATTTATAATAATAATAATAATGCATCAGTTTTCTATTGCAATTTTTGGACCCTCAAAGACGGCTGCCCTGATGCGGACTGACTGAGGTGTGTGCATCGGCTCCTCCAACCACCAGTATTGTCTAAGAACAAAAAGACAGTTTGGCACTCTAGACCAGGGGTTCCCAAAGTTTTTAGCCCGCGACCCCCATCATAAATGCCCTGCTAACCCGCGGTATTATTTATTTGTAGCCTCCAAACACCTTTAGTTTTAGCAAACAACAGCAGGACACGCTTTGCCGCTGCGCATGATGTGAGCTGTGTTACGTGATGATTTTGATTGACGCTGCAATGACTGGGACAAAATTACTAACGTTATTAAAATATATTATAGTCTCCAAACACAATTTAACAAGTAGTCCTTTTGAATCAAATCAAATGCTAAATAAATATTTAAGGGCTTTATATTTGCTCAAAAAAAAAATCTTTTTTTTGTTTGTGTGGAAATCATCTTGCGACCCCCCCAGGGGTTCCCGCGACCCCCCGGGGGGTCGGGACCCCCACTTTGGGAACCACTGCTCTAGACCACCCCACTTTGGCGTTCCAGATGTCTCCCATCACAGTACTAACCAGGCTCTGTCCTGCGTAGCTTCTGTGATCTGCTGGGCTCAGGGTTTCAGGGTTACTGATTGAGTGATAGTGATCTCCCTGCCCCTTTCTTACTTTTCTGTCTGAATAAGCTCAAATACATACACCAGCCTTACTTGGACTGTCTCTACTCGGCCCTATTCTTCCCGGTTGTGTGTCCATTAAACTTTAGTATCTGGTACCCACAACAAACCAGTATCTATCCAGCTCGGCCTGGATAGAACCAGGACCAAGCAGGTATTAAAAAGGTACTAATGAGGTACCTAATACCAGTAATGCAATGCCGGTGGAAACTCTTTAATCAGGGTAGAGTAGGGCCAAGTATAGCTGGTGGAAACGGGCAATAGTCTCATAATTTATAGTTTGAAATTGACATACTCCAGCTTTATCTTTATGAACTAGGCCCAATCCTAGTGCTATTTGTATATGTATGTAATAGCAGTGTGGCCAGAGGTGCCTAATATTGGCATGGATGGAGCACAAAGCAGATCCAGGTCTGTTTGTGATGAGGAACAATGTAGTCACATGATGAAAGCCTAAACTGAAGACAACTTAGTACGTGTTTAGTCTTGAAACGATCTGACAAGCACGTATGGTGTGTTTTGTCTCTGTAGGAGCTCCAACACGGCGTTTAAGGAGGCGCTGAAGCAGATCGAGTCCAGTGGCGAGTGCGGAGGTCTCCCCATGATCTCGTTCCTCATCCTCCCCATGCAGAGGGTCACCAGGCTGCCTCTGCTGCTGGACGTGAGTACACAACAGCTGTCACAAACCACCCAGATAAAAAATATTTAAAGTACTATTTACTTTGTCATTTTATATTTTAGAATGTTAGATAATATCTTCAGTGGAAAATATATGATGAAACAAGTATGGAAGGTTAAATAAAAATCTTTCTGCCTGTAACTCCCTATGGTACCACCAGAGGCGTATGTAATAAAAATGTCTCCTTTAAATCAGTAACATTAAGAACACATGTTTTTCCAAATACAAAATATTTTTACCGTTTCGTATTTATCCATCTCAAAGTCTCTAATACTTGAGTCAATCAGATGTAGGTGAAAAAGCAAGTTTGAGTTCATTCTAGCTTTGAAAAAAAAAGGTTTAACTGCGAGATCTTCATCCTTGAACTACAAGCCCCAGAAGGCTTCAGTCCTGTGATCACACTGAGAATTGTTATTGTCGAGTTTACGTTCCCTCACGGCCCGCTAGAGAGTAATCAGTTAAGTATTTGTTTTACGGCAAATGTAATGTTTTGTGCTGCCATGTGTTGTTTTTAGCACCTAGCTCGTTAAAAATGACTTCCCAAGACTCACAACCGTGTCGCAATAGTTCATGGGATACTGAGTCTATAATCAGTATTATGTACACACCCTTTATCTTTTGCCTTTTCTTCAACATTCTGTCTTTTTGGATGGAAATATAACTTTTCATGATCTCACATTACTGCATGGCTGATTAGCGTTTGCAGAGGCTCTAAACTTTTTAAGATTCCATTTTTTTCTGAAGTCCACAGGCTTACAGAAAATAGAAAGGGGTTTATTACTCCCAGACTCAGGAATCTCCATTCAAATAATAGCAGGATGTAATTTTCCACCTCTACCAATAGATGGGAGTGTTCCTCGGATTCAGATAATTTTTCTATAACGCTTGTTTCTCTATATATTTTTGACGTGACAAATTATTGCACATTTTAAATCATGTTATAGTATTCTAAAGATAATGTTTTAAAGAACCAAAATGAAAAATTCCACCAACTTTTTGCGTGGTCATTAATAAATTACTCTGATTCTCTAATGTTTTTCTCTGATTTGAATTTGCATCTTTGTTCCTTCCCAACACATCCTCAAATCCTAAAATCTTTCTCCACAGACGATTTGTCAGAAAACAGCGGATAAAACGGCCGAGTACTTTGCTGCAGTCTGGTCTTTCCACGCCATGAGCAAGGTCTGAACGCAGAGCTCTCAAATGAAACGCACCAATCAGCACGTCCTGGTTTCATCTCTGTCTCCTCCACAGTTGGTCACAAGCTGCAACGAGCGAGCCAGGCAGATGGAGCGCACCGAGCAGATGTACACCATCCAGAAACAAATGGACTTTGGGAAGATAAAAGTATGAAACAAAGCGACGTAGTATATACCATGTTTTGAACTCCCAGAGCGGTCAATTTGACGGGTTTTAGTTTTAGAAGCGGAATTATTCTGCTTATTTACCGCTTTTGCTCTTCCTAACCGTGGGACTTTTTCTGTATCTATATTGAATTTGATGGAGCTTGTTTTGAAAGCAGAAGAAAAATTATGGCTGTCACTTCCTTTAGGCTTAGAAATATAATCATAAAACACTGGCTATATCTGAATTCAGCAAGAAATACCTGCTTCCTTGCCCTTCCTTTCGCTTTAATGCTACCTTTTATGAGACAGGGCCGCTCCAGGTTTGGCCAAGTTCAATCTTAACACATTTCAAAGATTCTTTTAGTGCCAATTTGTCAAATTCTATGCCTCAAATATCAAAAGAAGTGAGAAGGAAGTTCCAGTAAGAATGCAGAAGGGATATGTTTTATGAAGTCACATGTAGCCATTGTCCGGAAAGATGTACTCCCAATCCGTAAGCCAGTTTCTATATTGAACACCTTCTGATCTCTTCCATCTCACCCCCATGTCATCTCTATGGACCTGTCTGACCTGTGTGTGTGTGTGTGTGTGTGTGTGTGTGCAGCCCTTCCCCCTCATCTCGTCCTCGCGCTGGCTCCGGAAGAGCGGGGAGCTGTCCATGTCGTCCGAGGAGCTGAGCATCTGGAGAGCCTTCAGCCAGCGCAGCTACTACCTGTTCCTGTTCAACGACGTGCTCATCGTCACCAAGAAGAAGAGGTGAGCCGCTCCGCAAACCATAGAGCGCAGAAAGAGAAGATGACGTCACCCATAGTGTTTGCCTTTGACATATATATATTTTTTTGTAATTTTGAGTCAATTGGAGCTAACTTGAACAGCCGACTGGTGTCATTTGTATGCACATTTGTGGATAGCAACGATTGAGCAACCAAGAGCCAATCAGGAGTTGTCCTCGGAGGCTAGCTAACGACATGCTAACAACTATCCGCACCGCAATCGTTTCGCACCAACTAAATGCCATTCAATTGTAACTTAGAAGTTTTTATGTTTTATAAATAATGTAATGTATTATTCTAGCTCTTGTGGTCAGTACTCACCAGATCGGCCCTAAACATATTTTCAATCTTTAATAAGCAATAACAGATTTAACTTACTAAAATTACTAAAATAAATATAGCTTTTTATACTACAAACTAATAAGCATTGTTTCTTTGATATGGAATGAATGCAAAATGTTTCCCAATCATCTTCCACACACGAGAACTCCCAGAGCAGTATGTTTGACGGTTTTTAGTTTTGAAAGTGTACTTCCTCATTACTCAGCTCATGCACATGTTTGCTCTTCATAACTTTGTGACTTTTTCTGTTTCTATGTGTAGTTTATTTATATATCATTATTGGTTACATTCTATGGCAGTTCAAGCCCCTTCCCTTCAAGGTCTTAGACTGGTTCTGAGTCGAGTGCCCTTTTTTCCACCAAATCCTACGGGGGATCAATAAAGTATCTATCTATCTAAATAAGAGCAAGTGCTAGTTACCATAGCAACACACTATTTACTTGCCGCAGTTAGCTTTTACCCTTTCAACCAACAGTTTTTGATTTTTTCAAGTTTTATCTACTCAAAGCTCTCAGAATAATTATTGTTGATTTGAATAAAAGCTGTCAAAATGACTGCTCTGGGAGTGTTTAAATAATCAATATATTCCAATGTATAAAATCAATGCATTTTTCATATGATCTCATCCAAGATATCAATGCTTTAAACTTGTAGTAGATAGAAAATATGGATGGACAGTAAATGTTGTTGGGACAGTGTGAGACCAGGCCACAGAGAGGACGCTGTTGTGGACACATGCCTGAGAACGCTCAAACGCTCACACTCAGCACATTGTCCGCTCTGCAGACGACAGTGTTTTGACTTGAGGAGAAACTAAACAATATGTGCTTTTAGAGAGGAGCTGCTCACAACACTGAGCCAGTCTGAGAGCAATCAGATGGAATATGCTCCAAATTCTGTTAGGAAAAGGAGATGCCATAATGTCCAATGGTCGGTCATCTGTGCGAGACTGAGAACCAGGCCGTATTCAACCTCAATAAAAGATGGAGGAAGACTTAATGAACACACAAATAGGGTAGGGAGTAGTCGCATTCTCCTGTCTCCTGGTACCGAATAGCTCGTGGGTTAAAGCTGGAGGTGTTTTAAAACACAAAGATACACACAACAACCTTTATGGACGTTCATCAACACTTATGGACATTGGTCATCTGCCACTTATAGACCAAGACTAGCCTGGCCATAGCCATCCGTACACTCCGCTCAATCATCATTTCACTGCATGTAACGTCTCGGTCTGGTCCCTGTGTTAGCGATTACAATCAGTTCAATTCCATCTGACAAATCAGCGAGCGCGGGAGGCGGGTGTTGTTGTTAGTTGTGGGTCATGTCAAGAGTTTGCGTCAAATGGGAAGGTCGTAGTTTGGCAATGGCGAAAAATGCGATAGTAAAGTAATTCGGTCTGGTTCTGTCAAGAAATTGAAGCCAGAGCAAGAGGAATGTTTAGCAAATGTAATCGCTGGAAAAGATTGTGGCGCTACTCCCCACGGGCTCCGTTAGCGGCAGAGGAGATGGCTAGGCTAAATGCTAAAGGCTAACGACACGCTTGGGCGCATTACATACGTCACAGTGAACTCAGATCCAATCGTTTCAATCTGCAAAAGGAGTTAACCCCTCCTATCTGTAAACAGAGCTCAATGAAGCACCTCCAGACCTTAGTACGAAATGTAATTGTACTATGGTGTGGTACGACCAGGCTAGACCAAGACCAATGTGTTTTCTGTTTTATTCTTTGTGTTTGAACTGTTTAATTCTCTGATCTGTGTTGGCGAATTCAACGGTTGTGTAAAGTCCTCAGAGAAAACTACTGTTGCGTTTTAGGGCTATAAAAGAATAATTAGAATTGAATAGATGTAATTGATAAGCCATAAATACTGTGTGTACTTGTCCATGGCCCTAAGACATCACTAGTTTTCAGATATATGTATTTTTGGATACTAGATTGGCGGTAAACTTGTGTCAGTCATGCAGTCTGCCCCAGGGACAGCTGTGGCTGAAAAATATATAGCCATACACAAATTTACACAATATTAAAGTTGAGACATGAAAGTAACAGGACTTTTTACTGCATTATAAGCTTCTGAATACTTCACTCTGAAAGCTGTCGAAACTGTGAAGAAAAACAATGCTTGATTTCACACTTTTGTAAACATGTCAACCTCATTATGATCAAATTATTTCAGTTTGGTTTTGGAACATTTAAAGAACATGTTTATATGAAGACTAAAATATGTATAACAACCATAACAAAATAAACTAATAACTGTCATATTTTTGGAATATATAAATAAAAACAAAAACATGGCATTTTAGTTATTTGCAGTATGGTTTCCACTCTAATGGTGAAGTTTGGCAGACTGATTCTAAAGAAGTTTTTGTACGTATAAACATATTGGATTTAATTAAATTAATTAATTGTGTATAGTCCTAAAGCAATACAGCAGTCGTCTCGGAGTACTGTTCAAAGTTGTCGATTTGCCAACTACAGATCAGAGAATCAAATGGTTGAACACTCAGACACATAGGTCCATAGGGAGCGGGATGACCACAATCCATAAATGTGAATGCAACCCTTCCTATGAACTTGTTTAAATTGTTTTATGAATCTACACATCACAATCTCTTGCTTGTTCTCGGTGCAGTGAGGAGAGCTTCGTGGTGACAGACTATGCCACTCTGGAGAACGTGGAGGTGGAAGTCCCGGAGGACACAGACATGAGGACTGGCGGCTCTCCATCCGCCAAGAACAGCCACTTCCTGTCCTTCAAACTGCTCATGAGCAAGAACAGTGACGGGAAGCCTGAATACTTCCATCTAGTGGCCGACTCGAGGTACAACCTCCAGACCTGTCACCAATGTGGCCTGCCCTCTCACCATCCTCAATATTTACTGTAAAATATTCTTTATTTATTAAACTAGATTTGAAATTGCCTTTAGTATAAAATGCCATTGTAGGTCATATTTACTTGGCTCCCATTAGTTTAACATGCTACTACTACTATAGTGCTGTTCATGACATTCAAAGACGCTTTACATTGTTCATTTACTTTGTACAAAGTGGTGGAAATCTACCACAGTAGCTACAGCTGCCCAGGGGCTGAAAGACAGATGCAAGGCAATATATATATAGTATATGTGCCAGTGGCCCCTCTGACCACCACCAACCATTCATGTACACATCGGACTCATCCCAGGCAATGCGGGTTAAGTGTTTTGCCTAAAGACACAACAGTTTACATGGGGAAACAATCCTCATGGACTAGCAAAGCGAGGATATTAAGATGTAATTAACAAATTAGTTAGTCATTTCTTCTTATTGCTTTTATAACTTATTTTACATTCAAATCGGTTTTGTAGTGAGGGTCACATGTCAGGTTTGTGCTTATTTTTAGATATTTCGGGGTCCCTATTTAAAAGGTTAGGAACCCCTGCTTCCATGTTACCAGAGAGAAGGCTATACCTCTCGAGACAATTCCTCACAAACCAACACAATACAAAGGCTGTTGTATTGAACTGATATATATATATAAATATATAATTATATATATTAATGTATATATATTATTTATATATATATACGATAGTGTCATGGAATCATGTCTTGCACATGTTTGGTACAGTGTTCCTTTTCAGCTCGCAGCAATATGCCCTTTTTAAAATGCAGATTGGAAAAAGTATTGGTGTTAACATGGTCTCTACTGCTTGAGCCTCTCCATATGCTCGACTACAGCAGTGTGGAGCATGCACCACTATCCTCACACAACCCCGCTCATCTGTCCCTTTAAAAGCCTCATGTGTCAAATAAGGCCACCTCTCCCTTTGATTATGTCTCCCCCTAGCGGCAGACAAGTAGCTGCATACACATGAAGTAACGCACATTTTGTCTCGTTACTAGGGCGGACCGCGCTCGGTGGATTGTGGCTTTATCAGAGCACAAACACGCAGGGGTCTCCACTTGTAAAGATGGTAGGTGTGGATTTTACTCCATGTTTAATCCTACAAGTGTATGAAGCATCACTGTATAGGGATGGACTGGATTTTAGAAATACATTATATCCTGACATTTTGAGACAAGGTGCAGTTTTTGTCAAAGGGGAATTTCAGAATTATCAGCATTGATGTCAATGAAAAAGGAAAATGGATAAGAGTTTCTTGGGTGGAATATGGATGCAGCCATTGTACTGCAGCAAGAGCCTTTTATTCAATGTTCATCATGAATAACTGAACTTCTCTCAATTATGTTACTTTACCTGGTTAAATAGCCCGAATATAATTTAACTCAGGAATTTTATATAAGTACAATGTTCTTGGTACATGACTGATCTCTATGTCTAGGGCTACCCCAGTATGAAGCCACTAAAGCCTACATGCCAAAGCAGCCAGATGAGTTGGGATTGCAGCAGGCTGAACTTGTGATCCTATTGCAGAAAGACGACGGTAAGGCTTGTTCACACGCACGTTATTAGTGAATGTACTGAATTGACAGGTTTGGTGGGTTTCAGGCTGGTGCTTCGGAGAGCGGATGCGGGATGGGGAGCGGGGATGGTTCCCTGCCAGCTGTGCCACAGAAATCACTGACCCGAATGCCATGGAGAACAACGTGCAGCGTATGAAGAGGCTGCGCAAGGAGACCAACGTCTAACATGAACAGTGCAGCGATCACAAACTATTTCAATTAGTTTTAACTCAAGGAGAGGACCAATGTTTTAAGACTAAACTTGTGTGTAGAATTTCTGGAGAACTTTGTCCTCGAGCAGTTGCCATCGTTTCAAACAGACCTCACTGAACAACTGCTGTGTGAATATTCATATGTACTGAATTATGAAAGTGAGATTTTACTCAAGTGGATAGATGGTCATCGCCATGTGTGCGGAAAAGCCTTTTATTGCCTCCTGGGGTCTCAAGAACAGTCTCTTCCGTGTCTTGTGTAAAAAAATAAAATAAATAAAGCCAAAAGGTTTCCTGGTTTCTGGACTTTTATTTGAGCTTGCATTTAGTTAAAATGTTTTAATACATAAAAAGTTATTTAAAAATGTCAAACTGACCAGATATCAAATCCCATTTTTTTTCTTTAAAAACCATTTGGTGTAAAAACTTAAGACAGATTTAGAAAAACATTGTTTCCAAAACATTTCGTAACTGCCACATAAAAATAATGAAGAAAAAAAAGCAGGTCTGCATAGATTCTGCAGGTAATCAGTGTAATCTGGTCAAATGCATGGTGCAAGCTTGTGACGTTGTCAAGTCAATTCTCTTATTGCTCAGATCTTGTTTGATGTTTCTTCTTGTTGACAAAAAACTGCAAAATAGACAAAGTTGAAGTCGCTCTACAGTCACTTGTAGCTGTGCCAGTCGGGACTTACCCGGACGATGTTAAAGATGGTAGGTGCCGGTGGGTAAGATGTTCCTACTCTGCCCCACCCTGGGCCTCGGGAGCGGACGTCTTCTCTGCCGATGGGTCACCTCCTGTCTTGGCCTCTTTCTTTTCCTGGCCGGGTTTGTCTCCAGTCTGTGGGCGCCTGCGGCGGTAGTTGACATTGCGGCGATAACGCCTTTGGCGATTTGGGTCGCCACCAGCCTCACCCTGGTTTTCCTTGTCCTCCTCACCGTCCCGCACCGGTCTGGGACGGGGTGGACCCCTAAACAGAACAAAGAAGACTTAAAACGGCAGCAGGAGGACTATTGTTTAAGCTCTGCTTCATTGAAGCAAACGTACAAACCTTGGTCGGACGCCTCTGTAGTAGTTATTCCTCACAGGTTTGTTACCCTGCTCTCCACCTCCTTGGTTCTCGTCCCCTTCACCTCCCTGAAACCAAACACCACACTTGTCTCATTGGGGTCAAAGCATCAATAAGAAAGCGCACAAGTTTGAGAATGTGGTCTATGACAGCGGCGAGACCCCCGATACACCAAGAGTGACTTGAGGGACCACGGATAGAGTGGAGTGGAGCGGAAAGACAGTTTGTCAGGAGAGCAGCCTCTGGTGGCGTACCTCATATATCTCTCCGCGATTGGTGTATGGGGGCCGATGGCCGAATCGTCTACCTACAAAGTAAGGTGGGTAGCGCCGTCTGCCGGGGTAGGCGGGCCTTCGCTGCTGTGGCTGTCCCTCGCCCTCCTGGACATCTCCAGCCTCTCTGTTCTTGTCACGGCCTCCTCCGTTGCCTGGCTCGCCCTCTCCGTCACTGGGGTAGTTTTCGGAGTACTCCCCGCCTCGTGGTGGTCCCCTCCTCCTGGGGTAGCGCCTGTAGCGGTTCCTGTCAGCAGCATACTTGCTTCCCTGGACCGCAACACCTCCAGGGCCAGTGACATTTGCTGCCTCAGCTCCCTATGAGACAAGAAGATTTAAATGACAGCTCAATGACTCAAAGAATGAAATATTAAAGACTTGCCTTCTCCCCCTCTACGACGTCAAATTCCACCGTTTCTCCATCTCCTACACTGCGGAGGTATTTCCTTGGGTTGTTCTTCTTAATGGCGGTCTGAAATGGTCAAAGGGCATGTAAATAAGCTTTAAAAGTGGACTGATTAGGTTGCCATATTTCAAGGTACTTACTTGGTGTACAAAAACATCCTCTTTTGTGTCATTTCTGCAAAACAACAGGTCAGTTAGTGCTGCTTGGACACTGAACTCAATGAGACAGGCTTCATTAGATGCATGTAATGGCATTGGGTAGATCATATGGCCTGACAGCTTTGTAAGCAAATCAGAACTATAATAGGATTGCAGCTCCTTGCAAACATAAGTGATCACTTCAGTTGGCTGTAAAACCACTCACCTGTTGATGAATCCATAGCCATTCCTGACGTTGAACCATTTGACTGTACCCAAGACTTTCGTTGCTGTGAAAACGAAGTCAACAGTTATTCTAACAGGAATGAAACATAACAGACAACAGATGAAAATGTAACCAGGGAAGTTTATGCTTGAGGTAAATATAGCTTCCAACTGTTGCTCTTTTAATAGACTGGTGCATGTTAAGCAACTGCCAGCTGCACTCGGGGCTTTAATGGGCATTATAGAGTCCACATGATTTACAACTGTAAACGTCTCATTGTCTTTCTGTACATACTCATACATTGTTTTGGTTGTGATACATAGTACGTAGAGTACCCAGTGTAAACATGAGTTACTATAGACCCACTGCCCCACTTCAGCCGCCTCTCGCATTACCACACGTGGTCCACTTCGCCCGGATGCGCTAAAGCTGGAGCCAGCTGGAGCAGCGCGGCTAGCTCTTAGCTTCGAGGGCCATGTGGTTGGATTTACGCCAAAGAGCAACATTCGCACTGATTGACGTGGTTCTTACACATAATTCTATATCATCTCCAGTGCAAAAATTATGTAGTAACGATTGACTTAATTGAGGCCAAATATTTTTTTAAGTGAATATTGGAAGCGCAGGGCAGACATTTTGGATGGCCTTCCCAGCAGCAACCATGTAAATAGCACATATTAGCTCGCTATGCTAACGTAGCATCGTACGGTTTATATGTAGGCCACAGCGACAAGCTAGTATAGAAGACATGTCCAGAGACATGTGCTCTGACCCCCAGTTACCGGGAGTGGCGTACTTTTAGAAGTGTGAATATGTCCCGGTGGTCCTATGTCGCGCACAGGACATGGACCCAGGTTTAGACCCCTGTGTGAACAAAGACTCCGCTAACGCTAGCGCTGTCGAGCCGCTCATCACGACGGAGTCATCCAAAAACCAACCGGACTACAAATCAGAAATAAATCACTAACAATAGTGTGATGAATGGAAGCACGCATGATGCTGAGTGTGGCCTCAGACACCAGCCTCCCGGAGGCCGACGCATTACTCTAATGACCAAACGAGATACAGTAATATAACCCATCCCGCACGAAGATTAGGACTTGTGATTTATAGTAATACAACGGCCCAAAGTGTGTCTCCAGTTCCACCATGACTTCCCATAATAGCAATAAGGACTTTATTTGGTGAAATTGCTCCATGAACGGCTGTTAGGACATGTAACCGTTAAACATGTTTACAGAAACGGTCATTATTTAGAAGCTGCGCGTGGGTCAGTTGCTCGGTCTGTAACGGATAATCTCATAAAGCCACGGGTAAAGCCGTTGACACAGGACTGATGACTGGATGTAAATATTCGCCTTCACGTCCATCCCCTCACTACATTAGCTCCGTGCTAGCTGGGCTAAAGCTGGCTCCAGCAGCCTTACCGATGACCTTCTTATCCCCCGCGGAAGCTGCGGCTGCCGGGCTGGCCGGGCGCTCCTCGTCGGCCGCAGGGGCTGGTGCCTGCTGTGTCTCAGCCTCACTGCTCATGGTGACTCCTCGGTTGTAAATGTCTTCTCTGCCGGCGGTGGCTCTCTGCTGTGTTTCCCGGTGCTAGATGGTAACCTGGGCCGGCGGTGGTAAGGGCTGCTGCCTTCGGGCTCTGCTCTTCTTTCGTTCCGCTCCCGTTGCCGATCGAACTGGGCAGAAGACTACAGTGCACCCGGACTGGTCCTCACACCGCCCGCCTCCACGAGCACGCGATTGGTTTTCGGCTGCAGCGGAAACATAAGTACGTTTTGATTGGCTGGGACGGCTGTCATTTATCCCCTGGCAACAGTTCGATGACGCTGATTGGCTGTTGCGAACTGTACCTGCTCTTTGTACCGCCACTGGTGATGTCAGAACCAGACAGATCACTAGGGCTGTTTTAAAACTGATTTTACAGCCGGTTCCGTGACCCACTTTTCAACGCTGACCCGGCAGATATCAAGTTAGCAACAACATAGATAATACGACCATGCTCGTACGAGTAAATTATGGCATTTAGGAATGGGGTGGTTCTTCTCTTTATAATGCAAACAAGCTCTCGAGTGACATTGAACTTGTGCATGTGGCTTTATCAAAGCAACCCTCTCTACATTCAATACCAACCCTTCAAGGAAAAAGCTGTATAGAAAGTGTCCTTCCAAGACACCGTCTATAGAGCATTTTCTTATTTATTTCAGTGTCAGGATTTAGCAGACAGAGACGGATCGTGGTGTGCCAAACTCTGGAAGTTTATTATTGCTTTTAGTAGACCTCCATCTCTTGTAAACTTCCAGGGCTGCACCTTTTGTCCGCTTTACATCAACATTCAGAAATGATTCACTGTAAACACAATAGATATAATCGTATAATTATAACCATAATCTCACACGCTTGTTTTTCAAAGGCATCGTCTATCTATTCAGTATATGTTCAGTGCGTTGTGCTGTAACCCGCTGTATAAAGTCCCGTGTCCAAAAAACACAACTTAACACATATAAAGGACACGAAATGCTTTTAGGTTAGGATTTCCCTGGCGAAGTTAAGTGGTAAAATGAATCCACCATTGTGCGAAGTGAGAAACTCCGGTCGTAGTATCCGAGAGAACAGACAGCCCCAGACCGAGACGACCGCCCCCCGCCCCAACTACCCCCTCCTATTGTCATGGTAATGTCCCGCAGGCTGATGTGTGAAAACTCGCTGTAAATGCCCAAACCGGCTTTCTCACACAAAGATGGGCTTTAGCATTGACCCCAGAAAGCCTCCCGGTAGCGTAGCCCCCTCCTCATTTCCAATGTGTGAAAAAGAAAACAAAAAGGAATGGAGTATAAGAACCCTCTTCCTGCTTCCATAAGAACAGTCTGTAGTTGAAAGGAGGCTTTTGTGGAGCGGGGGACGAGGAGCGCGTAGTGGGGGAGGGGGTCTGGGTGGCCGGGATAAGAGCAGCAGCCATAAGTTCAGCAGAGGATTGCCGGGCACCGATCGGGAGGCTTGATCAGAGCGTTTCCCCCACGCTACGGTGCGCTCCCGGGCAAGAGGAGTGATAATGATCCATCACTGTACATCTGCAGTCGCCATAAAAGCGGTCACAGATATCTTCATCCCCCTTTCTCAAGCTGTGATCATCCGCAAAGGCCTTTACGTCGCTCTGGAACACTGTGTTCTTTTATTGTGAGACTCCAGAAAGTGTAGAATTAAGGAGCAGGTTGAAAGAGAGTAATTTTTGCTCCAGGGACAAAGTGTTCCAACATTGAGCGACGCCCATATAATTAATGGCTCTCTCTAGATATGTCACACAAAACTAATTTGACAGGCAACAAATTGATTCTAAATAATATTGAAAATACTATGACATGGATGACATAGATTTTTGGATTTGTACAGCAAACCTCTGAATCCTCAGTTTAAACTGAACTTTGACTGTTTCTAAACACGGACTGAAGGATTAAATAAAACAGAAAACAAGACAATTGTGACTGTTTATGACTTGAAGGACTCATGCCTTTGTATAAAAGCATTTCTATTGACGGACATTGCAAATTAGCCTTGGCTCTAAATGTTGTGTTTCATATGCTGATCGTGTACACTTGTTCCTATAATTTATCATATATATATTAAATATAATCTTACAATAAAAAAGATTCCCATATTTTCTAATAACATTTACAGATGATTGATAACATTATACATTTTAGGCTTTAACAATCAGTAATTGAATTTATAATCGTGACGAGTTCTCCATCCAATTCAAAACAGAATAGGATTCTGAACCTTTCACAGCATAGGTGCATTTATTACTTTTGCATAAAAATTATAACATTTCCCTGCTGTGATAAAAAATAAATGTCTTGGAAAATGTGTGTGTGTGTAAAAGAGATCAGAGAATGTATTATAAAAATGCAAAACAATTTATTACAGTTGTGAAAATTAAAATGTTTTCTGACGTCGTGTCACAATCTTCACGTTATTTATATTGAAAAAACGTAAAGTCCGTGGAAATGGAATAAGCGATGAACTTGATGAGGATCCTCCTGGCAGAATGAAAAGTCTGTTACAGCAGTTTGTGGGCTCACATCTCTCCACACTGAGCGATGACTATGGGGAGCTTGGGCTTGTTGTTTGGTCCTGTAGGAACATTCTGTCAAAGAGAAATGTAACATCAGTTGTGTTCACATTGGCCCTTAAACGTGATCTTGAGAGTGGTCATACCGGTCCCTGTGGTCCTATGTGTTTGTTATTATTGCATTCACTGGGCCTCATTTATAAAACTTGCGCAGAAAAGGGTGTATATTTTTTGTGTAGATTCAAAATACGCCAGATCCAACGCGGCCTTTATGAACGTGTGAGGTACGCCCAGATCTGAGCGTACACAGCTGTGGCTGTTGACAAATACGCCTATAAATATTCAGAAACCGCCTGTTTCACGGCCCGTTTTTACGACAGGTCAGCATGGAAGTTGATCAGGAAGACTGTACGGAAGCCTCAAAAGGCCTGTGAGTGACACACATTCCTGAGTTGATTCTGTGTTTATGGCAAATAAATGAATCTGATCTGATGTTTAAAAAAAATATACGCTATATTATATATACGCGGTTTTTCCCTAGTGTCTAGATCCACTGCAGCACTCATATCTCTTGAACGTTAGAAGTGAATGAATATTAATATCTCTGCTTCAGCGGTGGCTCTCATCATTAAGGGTGAGGAGTCTGCGGCATCTTCTATTGAATGCAATGGAACGATCTCTGTGAAAGAGAAAGATGCGTATGACAAGCTTTGGGAAGTGTCCGTGATTTCACAGAGGAACACTGGATCCACAACGTCTTATAATTTAGCCAGAGTGGAAATAGGTTTATTGTTGTCTAAATCTTGAGTTTCATGCGTGTTTTGGCGTGTTGTGATGAAGGTTGAAATGAGCATACACATTTACACCACCTCCGTACGCTCATTTACAGATTGGTAAATGCTGAAAAGTGTAATTTTTTTGCGTACGCCTCATTTACACCCTGATTTGGCTGTACGCAAGTTTCATAAATGAGGCCCACTGTGTTCAGTTTCATTCTTTGAGCGTGCTCTGCTCTGAGCGTGATGTGACAATCAGGACATCACACTATTGCAGGAGCTTTTAGACAGAAGGGCGGAGTTACATGTTCCTAATATAAGCGAGGATGGATCTAAAAACAACTGCAGGTCTGTTTTATGGCAGGGAACAATATAGTGAATGATTAAAAGATCAAAACATGTATTATGATTATCATTATAATCAAACTTTTTCTAATGAAGACAAAGCATTTATTCACCTCAATCTTCCTCATAATTAGAAGTCCATCAACCACTTTCCCTGCAACAGTTACAAACAAGTGTTAGAGTTAGAAAAGTGTTCTTTCAAAGACACATTCCTCCAACGGTCCTGGTGGCGCTTCTTGTGATCAATATGTTATTCTTCTTGAAATGTTGCTCACTTGGTGTAAAACCTGTACATTACTCAAATATAAATGTTTTTTAAAAAGCTCTAATCAGTAACTTGTCCGGGGCAATTACGGAAATGTATGGACAGTGCTCATCCCGCTGGCTCCGATCTATGTGTTTGTTATTATTGCATTTCCTGTGTTGGAACCCGTTGATTCTCTGATCTGTTGTTGGGGAATTGCAACTTTGTAAAGTCCTCTGAGACGACTGCTGTTGTGATTTAAGGCTATACACAAATAAATTGAACTGAAGTGGACTCTTGACCCACTTTAGTGACTTGGTGGCATTTAACTTCCATGTGACATCCTCGTTTATGATGTGAAAATAAAGTAAAATGTAAAGTTGTGTGTATAAATATCCGGGCAGAACAACAGCGATGAGATGTTGCCAAGCAGAAAGGGAAGCCTCCACCAGGACTGTTGAGGAATGCAGCTTTAAACATGCTCAGTGATCTTACCAAATACAACGTGTTTGCTGTCTAGCCAGTCACATTTTGTGCAGGTGATGAAAAACTGGCAGCCGTTGGTTCCAGGACCACTGTTGGCCTGAGAGACAAAGCAATCTTAAGCCAATCGCCTCTAACACGATCACAGCGGCAATTAAATCACATTCAGGCTCATCACGAGAGAGGTCTACGAGGGACTGAACGAAACGGCTCTAAATAAAGTCAGTGGCTCATCATCAAAACTAGAAATAAGATTCAGGCTTCTCGGTCAGCACAAATTAACTACAGCTGAAAAACAGAATTTTGATGGTATGAAGACATGAGCATGAAATTAGTCTATTCCATCAGTTTCAATGAGGAGTTTTTTTGAATACGTTATCAACATTTCCCAAACAAACCACTACATGTCACTATGAATCAAGACTGGACTAGTACCAGGAGCGGAAACATAATTGGTATAAGCAGACTTTATCAGCCAGGGCGAAGCATTTAAACCAAAAATGAGTGCATCCTAAACCAGGACTACTGTAAATGACTAATCGCATGTTGACAACGCACTAGTTATTGTTACATATTCTTTTATAAACGTAACTTGTGCTACTTATTACAAGAACATTGGTATTGTATCAGGATCAGAAGTATTTTATTGCCATGTGAGTAACAAGAAGTCACAAACTAGAAAATTGCTTTGGCTCTTGGTGCAAACAAGTCTACTGTATTTATAAATGACTTCAAAAGGGTCAGAACGTTGGATCAGCCTTTTTATTTACCTGATCGTATTGTTTAGAAATACATTGTATTAAAAGTCCCCGTATCAAGATAAATATCGACAGGCTCTGAAAAAGACCCAGTACTAATAATTATATTTAACTACAAATTGTGTCACAAAAAGAGCTTTTTTGCAATAAGGATTTAAAGTGAAGTCAGTGAAGTGTTTTTGACTCAATGTAACTTGGAGAAACTTCACACAATATTCCAATACAGGATGTATTAACACGTATAACCACATATGTATAACCATTAACTAGAAATATATGTGAAAGTGAAAGTAAGCACTGGATACTTTGGAGGCAGTGAAACGCCCTTATAAAGTCTTTATGGTGCACAATAAGGATGTGGGGCGTGTGTGAAAGTCAGGACTAAACATTGGGACTGATGCATGTTCTTAAAGACGAAAGCATTAGATTGACAATCTATGTTTTTGTAATCATTTCAACACCAGGGTATAAAGTGGTGTACCATTAAACCCCAAGTCAGAAGAAAAGAAAGAAGATTAAGGAAAGAATTGACATAATTTTTCCAATGCACAACAATAACTCAATAAAGTGCACATTTACATTTACATTACATACTACTGCTCGAACACTGAATTTTGTAAATACATTGTGTGTATATTTTGGTGGATTTGGTTTGACTCCCTCAGAAGATACAGACCATGGAGAGAAGTCCGGGAGCAGAGTGTTTCTGCTTGAAGTTCTCATCAGCAAAAGGGCCTCTGTAGATACTGCAGATGCCTGTTCCGTCTCCCTTTGAAGACGACACAACAAAATAGAATGAAATGATGCTGCAATCTCGACAATCACCACTAGATGTCATGATTAAAGCAGGTCTTGAACCGGCGTCTGGCTACTGAACTAAAGACGTACATGACTAAATGCAAGCTAAATATTGCCAAAAACGTACTGTTTGAATCAAGTCTATGCACGAAAGAATCAAAAACTATGTATGGGTATTCATTCCATCTATTTAAAGTAAATTCTTGAGACTTACGTTCACAAAGTCGCCTCCTTGTATCATAAAATCTTTGATCACTCTGCACAAACAAGCACAAGAGCAGCATTAACACAAGACAAACAAACACATTCTGCTTTCAGACTGTTCCCATTTTTATGAATTTAATTATTTTATTTCAAACCGGCACAACACACTTTATCCAGGTGAAACTCGGAAAATTAGAGAAACGCTCAAACGTCGATTTACTGCAGTAACACGTACACAAAGTGAGATATATCATGGATTTATTTGTTATAATGTGGACAATTACGTCAAGGCTGTAAAAATCCAGAACAAAACATTTCAGAAAATGTTTATATTTTGAAAACGGCCTTTATCATCCCTCCATTTCCTTCATATTGTTTTTCCCATTTGGATTCAGGATTTCCAAAAGGTTTGTGCTCTACGAATGCTTTTCTAGTCAAGAATGAAGTCAAGAACTTGCTTGAAATCTATAGTCTCCAAAAACCTTTCATAAAATACATTGATGAATGATGATGATTGTCGTTTTACCTGTGAAACGTGCATCCCTTATATCCAATTGGCACGCCGTCTTTCCTGCACAAGAGAAACCAAAACATACCCTCAAACATACATTCAAACATTCAAACCAGATCCAGCATTTAAACATCACAATATTGAGTTTGGCATATTTAAAGAGTTTAATAAGGAGCAATATGGTACTCTCCTACTCTCCCAGACTTGACACAGAAATCCTACATATTGCTACTTTAATCCATGCTCCCCCTTTTTCTCCTCCCTCTCTCACTCTCTCGCTCTCTCTCAGATGTTGTAGTAGTTTATGTGTGAGCAGAGATTGTCCCGACTCTCCCCATACTTTAACAGAGCATATTATGATGTGTACATTTCTCCATCGTGAGATCAATGAAGTTTATCTTATTTTAGTATTCCCTCATATACAGCGTTTCCCAACTAGGGGTACACAGGGCAGTGAAATGATCCAAGTATTAATATTCACTTGCAAACATTTCTAGAATGAGGGTCAAATGGGCGACCGTGACATGGTATACATCATGTGAAAGCAAACTATAATGAAAACACAACCCCATAATTTATTTTATTTAAACTTTGAACACTTGGGAGCTTGGGCAACTAATTGAAAAAAAATAATGAACCGTTCTTGTTGAATACCAATCATGTAGAAAATGGTAGCATCCAAAAATTGAGGTTGGGACATCGTGCCAGTTTCTTCTCGGGATCCACTTTCTCTCTGGGCCTTTTTATTTTAGCTGACTAGTTTCAACCGCAGAAGCAGTTTGTGCACAATGTACATGTGCACACAACCGGACCTGTCCACGTTCTGCAGCCGCTGCGTGGCCCTGGTTCTCGTTCTGTAGTTAGGTCCTGGATCTATAGCCCGTCCGTCTGTGTGGAGCGGATCCCTCTCTCAATATGTAGGTCTCTCTGAGGTTTCTCACTTTTTTCCCACTGGGTTTTTGAGAGTTTCTCCTCGCCGATGCAGGAGGGTCTGTTGGACAGTTAGTGGACTGTGGTGATGATCCAGGACACTTTAACATTCTACAACATGTATGGACATTTTGTAGGTGATTTCAATGGTTTTGTTAAGTCCTCTGAGATGACTACTGAATAAATTGTATTGTATTGTAATAGTACATTACTATATACTTTTGGGAATTAAAACTTGATCATTGCGTTTCTTCCACTGAGATTTTACCTTTTGGCTCTATACTTGCAAGTAACAAGAATACTTCGGCCTGTTATTATAAACTGACAAACTTTCTTAGTCATTTTGGTCGGGTGTGTTTTTCCTTATAATAATAATAATTTTCTTTTACCCATAGAGAACCTACACAGACACAGGAAGAATATGCAAACTCCACTCAGAAAGGCTCTTTTCCGATCAGGATTCAAACCCAGGACCTTCTTGCTGAGAAGCGAGAGTGCTATCCACTAAGCCACCGTGTTGCCCACATATAGAAAAGATGAGATGAGGACTGATAGGCCAATGATTTTCTTTTTATATTTAACTGCTTGAATTCTAATTTTGAGTCTGCTTCAAGTTTAAGAATGCAATGGGTGATTTCTTGGGAATAAGCTGTCACATTAGGTATAATATTTAACATAATAATAATTCAGTGGCTACTAAAATGTGCCTGATCTCAAAGGTTAATAAACGAGTTATAAAAGTGATATGTGGCGTGGGGAGGTTTTGGCGTGAAGAGAAACATGGGGCGGCACGATGGCTGAGTGGATAGCAATCTTGTCTCTCAGCAAGAAGGTCCTGGGTTCGAATCCCGGTCGGAACGGCGCCTTTCTGAGTGGAGGGAGTTTGCATGTTCTCCCCATGCTTGCATAGGATTCCTCCGGGTACTCCGGTGTCCCCTACCACTAAAAACATGCACACTAGGTTAAATCCTCCAGCTCTGGTAGTCCTAACCAAGCCGAGCATCAACATCTGGAGATGGGTTCCCGGGCGCTGTACTACGGCGACCACTGCTCCTGACGTAGGCCTTAGCGGCATCAGGATGGGTCAAATGCAGAGGATTGAATTTCCCTACGGGAATCAATACAGTGCACCTTTTACCTTTATGAAGTTCAAAGTTGATGAGTCTTACCTGAACTCTCCGGTGCAGAACTGCCTGTAAGCACAACACAACTTTATCTCTAACATTCTTTATAAATCAACATGCAGCAGCTTCTGTGTCTTTACAACAGTTGTAATAATAATGTACTGTGAGTGAATTACATGGACTTTTTTCAGGATAAATAGTTTTTGATCCCTCACATTAGTGGCGCATTGGACATTGCGTGACTATTATCTTGGTTTGTTGAAATGAATCGCACAGAGGTACAAAGGCAACTTTCTGTCATTTGATATGTGACATTCAAACAGAAAAAGTAAACAGACTGTTCTCACATATGGATATTGGGCTGACTAAATGAATGGCTGAACTTATGGACTATGATATGTGTAAATGAGAAGTAGTAGATCATAGAAAGTGCCGTCCTGTTGGCTTATTGTGAAAGACAGGTGTCAGGACAGATTCAGGGAAACGGCAAAAACACCCTTCAGACAATATACTTTGATTGTTTTATTTAAATAAAAAACCCCTTAGTTATATCAACTTCAGTTTATCAAGATTAACATGGACGTGATTAACGCTAGTGTTATTGTTTAAATATCTAACTTAATCTCGGTTAAGGCAATGACAAAAGTGCATCTCTCTCCCTGGTCTTTGATTTCCTCTCTGATGTTAAATACAACTGTTACATTTAACCACAAAGGTTGCTTGCCCACCCCTTCATGTTAGAAGGCGAGTCCTTTTCAGTAGTAACATTATAAAATTATGCCGGTCATACCTGAAATTCTCTGCCGTCTTTGGGACCACGTCTGCAAACAGCTCGATCTTCATCCGTCCAACATCCTGGTGAAATAAAAAAATGAATTTCACGTAAAGACAGAATAGTTAGATGTAAAAAACTAAGGATGTGCTGGGACTTGTACATAACCCCAGTTAGAGACTATTAATTGAAGGGGGATGTAATCGTTCTTATTGCTAATTTTGGTTACACTTGGGATAAACTCTGCACTTTCCACATGAAGTATTTCTGGCATCGGTCACATTCTTAGATCAGCTTCTTCAGACCTACTCCCAGTGTTTTAATAAGGCAAAGATTTGGCTTTGTCTGATTTGTTCACAATTTACATTTGGACTCAAAAGAAATGTTAAAAAGGTTAAGGCCTCGGCTCAGTCCTGAAATATAAGCACCTTACGGCTTTATTTTTGTAGCCGTTTTAAAACACTGACATGCGTAAAACGCGGTGCAACATATATATTTGACGCACGCCCGCTGAGTGTCTCACTCACAAACCGGACTCTTGAGCGGCTCATATCTCTGAATACTGACTATTTTTGGCCGCTTTAAAAAGGTCAGAACAGAGCTCAGACTATAGTCTGTTGCATAAATTGTATGTCTATGCTCTCCCGCAAACACCAACTGCTGATCGGAGGGGTGGACAAAAAAAGACTGGGTCAACAGGCTCCGAGACCAATATAATTTATAGATCATGATGATTTGTGGGCTTTTTGTAGTCCTGTGTGCGCGGGTTGGTGACCCCTGATCTTTTGTATGAACATGTTAGGGAAGGAACATGTTTAATACTTAACCCGTGAACAAAACCATGAGATACTTCAACACCTCCACTTCAGCAAGAGTCCTTCTCTTGTTGAGAACCATGACCCCAGCTTTGGAGGAGCTGATCCCAGCCACTTTACCCTGTTGCAGGTACTGGTTTGAAGCAGCCAGTAGAACATCATCTGTCCCCAACACCTCTGGCTACACCTACAAATTCTGCTTGGGGTCCATTGCTGTTGTTCTGCCCAGATATCTATTTTAATTCAATTACATTTATTTTTGCATAGCCATAATTCACAACAGCACTTATCTCGGGGGTTATCTAGTCTTTTCAAGGTTGTTGATTCAACAACAACAGAACAGAGAATCTACAGTTTGAACACAGGAAATGCAATAATAACTAACACATAGTAGCCATTGGTCAGTAGGGAGCGGGATGACCAATGTCCATAAATGTCCAGATCATCACTGTCCTTTGACCCTCCTGTCCCCTCTCTTCTGCGCTCGCTCCTCCTCCATGTGGAGAAGCACTGGGCAGAGGTGGGGTTAGTTAAAACAGCTCTCTATCCATTTCTCAGACTGACAAACATTCATATTAAGAATGTGAATCATAGCCCAGAGTCATATCATAGCATACTTTTACATACATTAACCGTCAAGAATTTGAATATTCAAAATATTCCTTGAACAAAACGTCAAGTTGTTTTTCTGGGTATACACAATACAACCCTTCTTCCTCTACACAGTTGACACAATTTGCATTAACATTAGATACGGGCTCTTTTGTTTAGCTGCACATAGTCCGGCCCAGCGTTCAAAGTATACATTGTTTGAGGCTTGTAAATGGCTGACGTCATTAAGCAGCCTATCATAGGACGAGTTGTAAAACCAGAAACAACTCTACAGAGCATTCTTAAATTGCTACATATCCATTAGACTTCGCACTTTCAACAAGCTGTGAGTGTAGGACCATGTCTCACAACAACAACGTGGCTCTGTGGTTTCCTTGACACCACGGCTCTGGACAGGACGCTTGGGAAACAATTTACTCAACATCATGGCTCTAGAGGAAACAGGTCTGGACACCTCTCCTCTGATCAATGAAACGCCTTTTGAAAAACTTCTTTAACCAGTTTGAGACAGGAAAATAGACATGTCAGTGCATCCCTAAAAAGGTGGACATAGCGCATACTATGGCCGATTTAGGGAGAAGGTTTACGATCAAAATGTGTGCAGAGCCAAATGTTCTTATGTACTCTAAGCGTATTGTGTGTTGTGTTATGTATATGTATGTAGTCCTCTGCACTTGCAATTATCAACTAGAGCTGTAATTAACAATTATTTTGAGAACAGATAAGTTTACAGTTTATTCCTGTGACTTAAATTATTAGTTTAGATCAATTGGGGTCAGTGTATTTGGGATTTGACCAAAACAAAACTCAAGTGATGCCTCTGGAGAACACCTTCATACAGTTGACTTGCTACAAAATTGCGCTATATAATATATATATATAATATATTATATATATAAATATAAAAGCATTCCTTTATATTCATTTTAAACTATTTTTCATGTCTGCACCAAGTAAATGTGTAGTTTCTGACATCCAGTGACTTACAAGAGCAAGAAAAATAATCCTGATTCTGTTTTTACAGCCCTATTAAGTTGTGCATTCACATTGAGCGACATCGATCACGGGGATGAAGAGGATGACTTTTTCTAAACCCACTTTTAGAGAAAGGACAGGTAGCATGCGTCTTTACTCCTCTTAATTTGCCTTTCACAATGTTTGTCTTAAATGCACAATTTAATCTACTAATTTCAGCATTTCCGCTTGCCTGTGTCCAAATAGATACTTTTTACCCAGAGCGCTCAGCCCTAGTGTCTTGAACAGCACTTTCAATGTGGAATTAAAGCGCTAATGGCACATAGATAAACTAATCAATTACTGTCTTTGATCTTATTTGCAAATGTGAAGCACTCACAATTGTCTTTAGAACAAGCAAAATGTAAAAACAATAAGAGACTAAAGTCATGGGTTATATTTACCATTGCCAACACATAAAGCCAAGGCCATTAACATTAATCTCCAAGGATTCTGATCTAACGACATGCTTCTGACAAGCAAAACCACACACGAAACAAGTCTTTCCAGTCTCCACCAGTGAGCTTTATTCATGGTCCTGGTGTAATGTATCGAAGCAAACAAAACCAAAGGGCGTGGGACCGTATTTTTAAGGAAGATGTGTCTTGAGGGTTTCTTCAGTACTGCCCCCAACAGTTTTAACAGCCACAGAATAGGACATACAAAGTGAGATTGAGTTCCTTGAAGACGCGGAGGCAGTGTGTTTGCTGTTGGTGCTGGACTGGCTGGACGAGCTGGGAGGGACCAAAGGAGGTAGAAGGAAAAGCCAGATCCACCTGACTGGGCGGGCAGATCACAGAGACGGGAGAGGAGCAAGCATGCAGAGGCTCTGAGAGGACAGACATAAGGGGACTATATAGGAGCACAGCAAAACACAGGTACAGGCCTTTTACATTTTTAGAAACCAGTTTAGAAATACCAGGATCACCACGTTAAACATAGGCTAAAAAACCTGTATATACAAACTTGTGTTTCTCTAGTTGTTCGTCTTAGAAGGAAAATTCAGTCTACTGCAACTTATATTCAAGCACAGTAGGATGTTGAGTGCACATTGAAAATCATTCATAATTTGCAGAATCAAATGTTGCAATCAGTAACTATCATGCAACCCTAATACTGATTATTCCAGTAACATAATAATTGAGAATTAGACTATGGCTGCAACAAGTTAATAGATTAAAATCCCAAGTGAAACCACTACAAACCCGTGTGATCAAGGAAATTGTAGAAACAAATGTATCAACAATCCTGTCATGCACGACCTGGGAATTGTTCTCTCTGCGTGGTATCGGGCAAAGAAAGTCATCCTTGAAATTGGGATTAGATTGTCGAGTGTATTTGAGACTGCACAAAGGACAAGCTTGAGATAATAGAAATAAATATTCAGTGATACAAGTGTTGTTCAAAAGACAGGACAAACTCTAAAAATAAAACCGGAGAATGAGGAAGGAGTAAGGTTTGCCCGATCCTTTAGCAATGGCAGCATTATTGACTTTGGTGCTAGTAAAGTTTAAGTAAACAATCGAGGGAAAAATACATGTAATGCAATAAGACAAAAACAGCACCCTCAACATCGTCAGCAGCAAAATGTACTGGTTACTTTTGTGCTTTGATCCTGACCACATTTGTCCCCAAATATGACCCGCTACTAACTTATTTTGTTATGTTACTAGCGATACTTCTAGCAACTTTTCTGGTATTCTTAGTCTCTAAAGCACGGATCCTCCCAGACAACTGCCAATTCAAATTTTCAACCAGATTTATTTATATAATTTCTACATTTGTGGAATATACACTGTGGTCAGAAGCATTCAATGGTAAGATGGTATTTTACTTTAGCAGCAGAAAATATGACCATATAAACAATAGTAATATATAGCAGCAGCAGGTAAGGAGGCTAGAGAACAGATTAAATATATATGCAACTCACATAGCACACCACCAGCTGACACCGATACAAAAATGCAGCCTTCATTAACAACGCAAAGTCACTCTCAAAGTGTTTTATATAGAAAATCTAAAAAGCTCAAAAGTATTATTTCTTCTCACATTATTTTGACAAAAGCAGTGATGTTGCATCATTTCCAAAAGAACCACCACACATCTCAAAGCTCACTAAAGTCCCACAGGTTGAAAATCCTTCGTTACACCTAGTAGTAAGTAGTAAGTAAGTAAGTAAGTAATCTTTATTTATATACCGCCTTTCACAGACCAGAGTCACAAAGCGGTTTACAATTGTTATAGTATCATATAGTTAATAGTATATGATAGTATAGTTAACTATACTATCATATAGTTAATAGTTAAACAATGTACTATTGTTTAGAAATGTATTGTACCGAATCATATAAAATATAAATTCCTCTGTATGAAAATCGAGATAAGCACATCATTTCAAGAGATCCTTTGTTCCTTCGGCTGTCAGACTGTAAAAAAAAGAAAGACTGTAAAAAAAAGAAAGAAAAAAAAAAAAAACAGTCTTCTGCTGCTGGAGACCTGAATTTCTCCTACGGGGATCAAAAAAATATCTATCAGCTTAAAGATAAATTATTTTTTAGAGCTGAGCAAATAGCATTTTGTTGACCAGGTCATTTTAAGGGATAAACCACTTATGTTGTTGTTCTGACAGACGCTGGAGAACGAATGGAAGCCTTCAGCTCAAACATGCTGGCCATCGTCCAGCAGACCGACTATGAGCACAACTGCTACAGGGACAACACGCAGCAATTCCTCACTTTGATGCTCATCAAAGTCTGCTTGGACACAGCCACCTTGATGATATACTGCCGCCATTCTCTGTCGTCCTTTCTCAACATGTGCAGCGTCTCCATTGTTGTGGCCGACGTCGTCTTAATGGCTTCCATGTTGGGGACACTTTGGCTGGATGTCCCTATGTCCCATGAAGCCCTATGCTTTATAATGGCTAACTTCTCCGCAGCCTATTCAGCTCTTCCAATACCCATTTTCTGCCTAGGAGTTTTTGACTATTTCCTCGAAGACAGGTCGTATGGGAGCAGAAAATACGGAAAACTTCTCAAAAACCCAGCATTGATTGTTTTCATGTGGTTAGTAGCTGGTATGTATGCACATGCAACAGTGGAAGGCAAATTGGTGGAACAAACCAGAAATACAGTATATAAAGTCTGCGGAATCAGGGAATCGAAAGCAACAACGTACTCTGTCGTTCTGCTCATGATAATAATGTGTTACAAACTGCTGCCACATCTGCCAATGATTGCAAAATGGATCAAGGAAGCAGACCGGATTTCTGCAGCGAGAGAAGTGACAAAAGTGACCAGGACAAGCGATCTGCCAATACACGTTACAACTAAAGATGATGGCAGATTTGTAAAGGAAGAGTTTTCCGTACCGCGTCCGCCAATGATTGTCAGCCTCCTGCTTTCTTTTGGGGTTTTCTGGTTGCCGTACCTCACCGTGACGACAGTTTGCTTTGTGTTTGAGTTTGGGGTCCCCGCCTACATCAGCGTGAATCTCCTTTGGGTGCAGTGTGTCAATAGTATGTTGGCTGGAGTGGTGTTTTGGCTGAGGAGTGATACAGTGGGGCCTTACAGCAGTGTGCCTGATCATGTTTGTTTGTGGCAGGCTTACTGGCAGCTCAGCACAGAGACACAGATGCAGAAGCAGCTCACTGTGGCCATGTTTAACCCTTCAAAGAGCAAAGAAAGTACAGCATTTGACGTTTGAGGAATCTTTTCACACAGCTTTGGCTTCTTTAACAAACATGAAATATGGAAATTTGCATGAGAGATGGGCAGAAATGCAGTTCTAAACATGGTTGTATTCAAATCTAAAACTAGCCTGTAAATGTTTCTAAACACAGGATTGTAACAGATTTTTTTTTTTTAATGGGTGATACCACAGTAGCCAAATTGTTACACACATGCACCTTCACTACAGAGATATGGCTTAGTTCCCACCATTACTTATTTTTTTAATTTATGTAATTAATTTTAGGATATTAGAATCGTTTGTTTCAGGGCTCCCCGATACGTATGTTTTACATAATATGTATGCATGTAAAAACTGCATCTCAAAAGGGTTAAATTCATGCATATCTTCAAAACTATACATTTCTGAATATATACACATGTTGCCCACCTCTAAACGTTAATCATTTCCGGGAATCAGAAGAAAGTTTGCAAGCTTACAAAAAAGTTGAATATTGTGAGGGGAAATAAAGCATCTGTAAATGCCCCACTGGAATAAACATACATGTCTTGATTTTTTTTAATGGCACTATACCATAAAAAAAGGACAGACAAGCCGTTATCACCACCGCGCTGGTTTCTTTATGTGTTAATGAATCAAGGAAAATGAATCATTTTTTACACTGAACCTGCTCTGACTTGAACTAGGCATCCACTTTTACAAAGAGTAGGTGAAGGATTTTGCCCTACATGTTTTATTATTGCTACTTTAAAGCTGCACTAACTGACTTTATTTTTGTATTAATTACTAAAAGTCTATCCATGTCCGTGTAGGGCATTGGGATATACGTCCTTTTGAAGAAAAAATAGCGCAGATTTGTGCTGGCGTGACATTATATTTTAGATCGAGTTTTGATGAAACAAGGAAGAGAATGTGTTCCGGGTCGCAGATTGTGACCAATCACAGCGAACCACTAGCCCCCACTTTCGTGAGAAAGCCACAGGTCCGTTAGCATAGACGGCTGAGTTAGCACAACAAGCCGAGGAGCTAACCTGAAGCTTCCTCGTCTTAGTCACCGGTTACTGCTTACACAGCGAGACAGCCATCCAAAAGAAAGTCTCGTTCCTCCGCACTTCCCGGTTCTATCGTTCTATGGTCACGCCATCCACGTGAAAATCCATATCCATGGTTTATCCATATTGGAAGACGCTAGCTTCGTCAACAACAGTGTGTGTGTGTGTGGGGGGCGATAGCTTCGTGGGTGCGGGGAGGGGAGCAGAAAGAGAGAGGCCAGCGAGTCCCCGGCTTCAAAATCCCAAAGTCTGTTAGTGCAGCTTTAAAATTTGTGTTGAATAAATAAATATTCTTTGACTTGCATTGTTTCTACTTGCATTCAAATGAGATAAGATTTAAACTGGTTTGGTAGCTAAGCCAGTACAAACACAATAGAAGTGGAAAGACTGCATTTCAGGCATAAGGGACAAAATGTCTACAACAAAACAATGAGAAAGTAGGAGCTGCGCAATACACTGAAATCTTTGACTGCAGTTACTTGGACATAGCCTCCTTCAATGGAAACAATCGGATATAGCTGCAGACATTAAGACTTCTACCATTTTGTTTGATGGTTCACTTTTCAGAAGAGCAATATTAAAAAACAAATCATGGCATACTTTGACATCACAAAATGTCTAACACAGCGTACCCAGCTTTTAAACCACACTATGTAAATTCAACAACTTCCTTACAATCAAAACATTTATATCCCTAGTTTTCAAAAGCATGTATTTATGGCTTCTGTCACTTCTTAAAATCAGCTTTTTCAGATCAAAAAGTTAAAAAGAGGAGAACCACCCACATTCAGCCAGAGCCAAAAGCCTAAAGCCTAGCGTACATCGACAGAGAAACTGGGGCCAACTAGTTGCAAGGCGGCTTTTGGCAACTGAGAGGAGATGGTGGGAGATGATCAGTTGCCGAAATCGGTCGATGTGCGCGCTCTTACAACTGGAGATGATCAGTCGGTCTCCAGTTCCAGTCAGTTGCCCGTGTTCTACTTTTCGGCAACTAGTTGTCCTCAGTTGCCCCGATGTGCGCGCTCCATGCGCCGCTCCAACAACGTGTGTGTATTGCGTGTATTGCGAGCCCGCAACAGTTTGTTGTCAGAAAACACACTGTAGTTGAGGCCAGTTGCTGTCGATGTACGCGCTGTTATTCAAGAGACTGGCCTGCGACTCAGAGTTGCCCGTTTTCGCCAGATTGTCGATGTGTGCGGGGCAGCAACTCAGAGGCGACGGATATAATCAGTTGCCAGTCCGATGTACGCTAGGCTTAAAATAGTGAGTGCCGGGACTCTTTCGTATATGCGAAAGATGACATTCTAACACCGCTAAAGACAGCATGTTGTGATCTTAATAATAACGTTTTACTTTTGCAACACTCTGCTAGAACAGACAGAATGTTTTGTGAAAAAGTCATCTTGTATGACTATATGAATATTTTTTCTTAGTGCACAGCCAGGACTAAAATTAATTTTAAAAATTCCATTATGATAACCCACAGTGGCTCGGTTGGTAGAGCGTTCAGACCCTCGAGCCTGGCTTAGATCCCCCCACGAGACGACCTCCACAGACTCCCACTGATGTCTGCTGTCGTTGTGTCCTTGGACAAGACACTTAACCCCACTTTGCCTGAAGCCCCTGCTGAAAGATCAAGGCTGTACAGTCATAGACAGAGCACCCATACTCCTGTAGACTCACCAGTCTACAGTCACCAGCAAGAGGATCAGTGAGGGGCTGTGCTCTGTGAATTGGGTGGCAGCTGATTGCCAAACTTCCGACCCAGAAACACACATTATCTTTTTGATACACATACCATAAGTGATATTAGATACAGAGTACAAAGTATTCGGCCCCCTTGAACCTTTCAATATTTCAGGCTTCAAACAAAGATATAATTTTTTTTTTTTTGTCAAGAATCAACAACAAGTGGGACACAATTGTGAAGTGGAACAAAATGTATTGGATAATTTAATAATTTGATAATAAATAAACTGAAAAGTGGGGCGTGCAATATTATTCTGCCCCCTTGCGCTAATACTTTGTAGCGCCACCTTTTGCTGCAATTACAGCTGCATGTTGCTTGGGGTATGTCTATCAGTTTCGCACATCGAGAGACTGGAATTCTTTCCCATTCTTCCTTGCAAAACAGCTCGAGCTCAGTGAGGTTGGATGGAGAGCGTTTGTGAACAGCAGTCTTCAGCTCTTTCCACAGATTCTCGATTGGATTCAGGTCTGGACTTTGACTTGGCCATTCTAACACCTGGAAACGTCTATTTGTGAACCATTCCATTGTAGATTTGGCTTTATGTTTTGGATCATTGTCCTGTTGGAAGATAAATCTTCGTCCCAGTCTCAGGTCTTTTGCAGACTCCAACAGGTTTTCTTCCAGAATGGTCCTGTATTTGGCTCCATCCATCTTCCCATCAATTTTAGCCATCTTCCCTGTCCTTGCTGAAGAAAAGCAGGCCCAAAGCATGATGCTGCCACCACCATGTTTGACAGTGGGGATGGTGTGTTCAGGGTGATGAGCTGTGTTGCTTTTACGCCAAACATATCGTTTTGCATTGTGGCCAAAAAGTTCGATTTTGGTTTCATCTGACCAGAGCACCTTCTTCCACATGTTTGGTGTGTCTCCCAGGTGGCTTGTGGCAAACTTTAAACGAGACTTTCTATGGATATCTTTGAGAAATGGCTTTCTTGCCACTCTTCCATAAAGGCCAGATGTGTGCAGTGCACGACTGATTGTTGTCTTATGGACAGACTCTCCCACCTCAGCTGTAGTTATCTGCAGTTCATCCAGAGTGATCATGGGCCTCTTGGCTGCATCTCTGATCAGTCTTCTCCTTGTTTGAGATGAAAGTTTGGAGGGACGGCCGGGTCTTGGTAGATTTGCAGTGGTTTGATACTCCTTCCATTTCAATATAATTGCTTGCACAGTGCTCCTTGAGATGTTTAAAGCTTGGGAAATCTTTTTGTATCCAAATCCGGCTTTAAACTTCTCCACAACAGTATCTCGGACCTGCCTGGTGTGTTCCTAGGGCTGGGCGATTAATCGATTTTAATCATTAATTCGAGTTTTACGTTTAGGGCGATTTCTTTTTTTAAAAATTCGATTTTTATTTTCTCCAGCGCAGAACTACAGCGCCGCGCTAACCGCGGGTCTATGGTGTTGAGCAGTCATTTTGAAGCTAACCTAATGCTAACAGTCTCCCTCTGGCCTGATGCTCGCTCTCACAGTTGGTGCTGTTGCAATAACACTTCAAACATTCAAGAATCAGACTTTATTTAATCGCCAAAACACACACACACACGCACGCAAGCCCCGGTCGCTATGTTCGTACGCCATGTTCGTACGCCACATCTTTCACGCTCTCTCACGCTCGTTATTCCAAAGCGCACTCCCGTGTCCGTGGCGCGCACACACTCGTGTCCCACTGAGCCGCTGCACTTTGGGGAAAGACACGTCTCACACATTGTTCTCATTGCTCTGATACAAACAACGTGTTCCCCGCTGTCTGTTAGCTACAGTAGCTGCTACAGTAGCTGTTAGCTACAGTAGCTGCTACAGTAGCTGTTAGCTACAGTAGCTGCTACAGTAGCTGCTACAGTAGCTGTTAGCTACAGCATCAGAATGTAAACAGGAAGCTCGCACAATGCGGGAGTCACTGAAGTTAGTATTAGCGCCACCAGCTGGACCGAGCGTTGTACTACAGCACAGTTACTCAGGCACAGTTGAAAGAACAAGCATGAAAACCCGAGGAGGCTTTTGGAAAAGACTGTCTGTTACAACATTTCTACTTTGAGTAATCAGTTTTAAAAATGTGATATTTCATGTAAATAATGCATGTGTTTAATAGGATTGCTATATTTGCGATGGGCCTTGTTTGTGTGATTTAAGTTATTTTGAAGGTGCATAGTGTCATTGTAAGTGAAGTTATTATAAAACTGTTAAGCTAAATTTTCACTGTTTACAATGGCAGAGCCATCTCGTTTACAAGCATGTTTTAAGGCTTAATTCCTGTTACACTTATGCTCCATGGGGATTTAGATTAAACTGCATAAAGGAAAATCTATTTCTTTGTCAGTTGTAGTTTGTTTTTAAATAGAAAAAAATAAATCGATTTAAAATCGAAAATCGGATTTGGTGTGAAAAAATCGGAGATTTTTTTTTTTTGCCATATCGCCCAGCCCTATGTGTTCCTTTGTCTTCATGGTTCTCTCTGCGCTTTAAACAGAACCCTGAGACTATCAAAGAGCAGGTGCATTTATACGGAGACTTGATTACACACAGGTGCATTCTATTTATCATCAGTCATTTAGGACAACATTGGATCATTCAAAGATCCTCACTGAACTTCTGGAGTGAGTTTGCTGCACTGAAAGTAAAGGGGCCGATTGCCGAATAATATTGCAGTTTTTTATTTGTTAAAAAAAGTTTAAATTATCCAATAAATTTCGTTCCACTTCACGATTGTGTCCCACTTGTTGTTGATTCATGACAAAAAATATTTTTTTTATATCTTTATGTTTGAAGCCTGAAATGGGGCGAAATGTTGAAAGGTTCAAGGGGGCCGAATACTTTCGTAAGGCACTGTATCTGCCGCAGCCTCACACTGGGCCTCATGTATGAAACTTGCGTACGGCCAAATCAGGGTGTAAATGATGCGTACGCAAAATATTTACACTTTTCCGCATTTATCAATTTGGACGTGAGCGTACGATACGCAAAAAATATACGCCAGGTCTGGAGGTCGTGTAAATGAGTACGCTCATTTCAACCTTCATTACAACACGCCAAAACACGCATGAAATGCAAGATTTGGACAAAAATAAACATTCCCACTCTGACAAGATTATAGGCACACCTCTCACATTACAAATATGCAATTTTACAATGTTATGTTAGGGCTAGTTTGTGTTATTAAATAACATGCAATATGTCAAACTTAGTCTCCCACAAATGTGTAGATTGTTATATGCACTTACAATCAGTGCGTAATGGCTTTGGCTCATGCGGGTCCAAACAAAGACGCGCGCCACCGTGGAGCGCTGCGCGGGTCTGATCAGGCTCTGGGACATGTAGGGGGTACGGTTCGTTTGTGATGTGTGTGGCTGCGCACCACACACTGTCCGACCAAAGTGGTTAGACCCCTGATTTTTTTATCCCCGTGTGTGGGGTCTCACACGGAGAAAAAAATCGGCCAACAATTTTTAAAATTGTCTCGTGTGAACCAGGCTTTAGTAAGATGGTTAAGTTTAGGGTCAAGGCTGGGTTGGGGTTATTTTATGGGAATGACTGGTTTAGTTTACGCATGAATAGGTAGTTTGTCATATTTACTTCCGCTTCCGTGACGTTATCTACTGCTGCATATGATCAATGGATCAAACTGAACTTCCGGACAAATCCGGTGAACGAGTGCTACATACTCATAGATCAAAATGCTTGAAAGTGGGCGTGGCTCAGATATTTTTCACAATAAAAGTCCTCTGCCTCTGCGGGATGTCCAAAGTTCGAAATACAGACACATTTCACGTAGTGTTTCTGAGGAATGATTGCTATTAGATATAATCAACGTAAAGTCAGACGTGTTGTTGCTGTTCCAAATACTGTCTGTGCCTCGCGAACTGTTTCCCACTACACTGATCTGAATAGCTGCAAGGTACGCAGTTTAACCTGGAGCTGGGTTGTTTTCATTCACTAAACATGCTCACAACAGCGATGTACAAACACATGCTCATCGCCTGCTCTCACACACTGTTCTCATAGACTACAGTCATAAGAAATGTTGATTTAGAAAAGCAAATTACATGTGGAATTAATGCTGTAGGTGATTGCTATCACAAACCAGGAAAATGACGTTCGGGTTGTATGAATGAGCAATAATGTGACTAATAATGAGCATGCAACTGTGACAGGACGAACGTGTGTGTAAAACCTGACAGCAGCAAGAGGTTATCACTGAAAGACGACAGCAGACGGTGAAACACATGTTGTATTTGTAAAGTGGGCTAGATCCACCTGCGATCTTTGAAATGCGCTGCTTTCGTGGCGATTTCATGACACTCTTCGTGTGCCCTACTGCTTATTTAACATGTCCTAATGCTAACGTTGCTCTGGACCTGGCCCCGAGTTTATACATCGCTATTGTGAGCGCCTTAGGTGAGTAGACACACCACTGTCCCACCTCAGCTCCAGGTTAACTTGCAGACCTTGCAGCTGCTCAGATCAGTGTTGTGGGACGCTGTTGCCATTCACTAAGTCATTAGAAATGTTGTTCAGGTTATACTCCCCACAAATAAACAACTTTGACAATAAACTGTGACGGAGCAACGCGTTTAAAACATGTCCGTAGCGCGATGTAAGAGAAATGCAGCGGAGACGTCTCTGAAAGAGGATCTGGAGCCGCATCAGCAGGTTAATCTGCCGCTGCCCACCGGGGAGGCAGTCTAAAAAGTTTGGGAACCCCTGCCCTAATGAATGAAGACGCCCGAACAGCTCCCCCTGCTGGTTTATGTTAAGTATGAAGCTTTTGGAGGGAAAGTTTGCCTTAAATATAACGCTCCTTTTAGAGTGGATTATACTTAATCCTTACACATGTATACACTTTAGTTGTCCAAGTGCCTGTGATGTTAGATGGCACTCTAGTTTAGGCGCGCTCCTCAGCTCCAGATCTGGGTTGTGTGTTAGCTCTAGCTGCTGTTAGCTTCGTGCTATTGCACTCACCTGCCCTCCGATTGTGATGTCGAAGAACACGATGGGGTTGATGGGGTTTGAAGGCTGGACAGACATCCCAGCACACAGGATAACCAGATAATTGACAATATATTCAGAACCGAAATAAATTGACACGCTGCTTCCTCACCGGATCGTTCACTTGACGGCGTACTACGGTATACAAGCAGGCTCAAACCTGACCAATCGCGTTTGAAGCGAAAACAACACATCTGAATAATTGTTAAAAATGAATACAACGTTGAATAAAAGAGCAAACAAATAGTTTACAGAATATATATTTACAATGAAATATCCTTTACAGTTTCATGTTTGAAATTTGTTCAAAAGCACCGAAAATCAAAATGAAAACATAACTAGTTAAGTATACAGTCTACTGTGTGTGGGCACTGGGCAGTGAAAGAAAAATGTGTTAAAATGTAAAGAAATCATAAGTGGGCTTATGTAAAATAATATGGTTTCTTGACATTCACACCATATTCAGAAAGAGCAGGTTGTAAGTCCTCCATTGTGAGAGTATACTTTTTATCCTGAAACAAAAAAACAGAAATATCTTCAGATACTTGGATAATTTGTGCAACTGAAAGATAGAATGGGTGTCATCTAGAACATTGTATGTATTTAACAGTGATCTATTATGCAAAGTTAACAATATGGCCCTTCTGACCACCACATTACTTGACGTTATTTGCTGATTTTTTAAGTCTGTAATACACATATGATTCAACCGGCCTAAGTGGTTCTTAGGCTTTTTAGCAAAATATAAATCATTGATGTGATCTGCAATATGACGTCACCAGGTTTCAGAAATAATGTCCCCAAGTAAATCTTTACAAAAGTCAGAATTTAGTTTTAATGCAGTTTTTTCAAATGTGCACTATCAGAGACAATTATAACATGGTTAACAGCTCTTGCATAATTGGTTATCTTGGTTAACCCTATGTGACTATCAGTAAAAAGGACTCTACGTAAATACCAACCTTTGTCTTGCTTCTTGAACTACCAGAAGCTGTGCCTTTCATTTTACAATACTGCAGTGCATCATTAGCAATATCAGAGATGAACTTTTGAGAGGCAAGAGAGATGAGGCGGATTCTGAGGAGAAATTAAGAACATCAATATTTACAAAAAGACAGACAACATATTTTTCACTTTGATCCTGTACCAGAAGTGGCACTAGAGTTTTTGGTCATCATCATCCTATGTGGGAATGAGAACTCTGCTTAAAACAATAAGAAGTGCACAGTCCCTCTACACTTTGATGTTTATTAAACATCACTTTGCACTAGATTTGAATAATTGGATGATGTTTAGCCTGCGTTGTAAATGTTATTAGTTTGTACCCTGTATCTAAACATTCATCCTGTGTAATACACCTTTGGCAGCACTGCTTGTTCTAAATGTGCAATTAAAAATAAACTTACCCTTGATGTTAACTCATTGAATGCCAGCCTATTTCAGAACAGGTACTCCCACAGTGCCAGCCATTTATGATGATTTTTACTGATTTTTCAAGACCCACAGAATATTGTGTACTATGACTATCTGAAATCCACCAGATTCTAAAAGAATGGACTGTCTACTTTCCTCAGCAAAAAGAATTTTGTTTATAGCTTTTTTCGTTCCCCTGTAATCCTCCGTTGAGTAGAGGGAAGTTTTACTGAAATCACCAGAAATCACCAGAAAGTTGAGAAAAAAGAGGCACAACATGTGCACCTACATCTTTTCAAACCATTCAGAGAGAAATGCTGCCACCTGCTGGCTCGATAAAATATGGTCTCAAGTCATCCCCATACATATTAGATACAATACATAGTTCCCACAGACCAATGAATGTCACATGACCTCCTCGGAGACGCCATCTTTGATGGCACGCTGCTGTGTTTGTGCATTCCATTAAACAGAAGAATGAGAATAAATGTAGATATTCAAACGCAAATTGGAAAAAAAGGGCAACTTTTGAGCAAATAATTGTATATTAATACAATGGCACCACAGTTTAACGTGCTACGGACATGTTTTACATATTTGATCAAATTATGCAGCAAAAATTAACAAGCAATGCAAACATTTCTCAAAAACTTTAGATGTAATACCAGTTGGAGCTCCATTTAATTATTTTAATTATATTAACAATTAATTTAATTAATGCTAATGCCACACGGACACTCTGGATTGCTGTTATTGTTTATTTCCGCGTTTTTGACCGTATGTTTTGGTGAATGGTGGGCAACTGATTTTTCTAGGCGTAAAGAGCAGTTTATTTTATGACACAGATCTTTTTACAGAAGCAATGCTGTTTGTGAACATTGTTTTAGCCCACCATAGAACTATTATTATCTATTTAAAGCTGCACTAACTGACTTTATTTTCGTATTCATTACAAAAATGCTATCCATGTTCATGTAGTGCATTGGGATAAACATCCTTTTGAAGAAAAACTAGCGCAGATTTGTACTGGCGTGACATTATATTTTAGATCGAGTTTTGATGAAACAAGGAAGAGAATGTGTTTCGGGTCGCAGATTGTGACCAATCAGAGCGGACCACTAGCCCCCACTTTCGTGAGAAATCTACAGGTCCGTTAGCATAGACGGCTGAGTTAGCACAACAAGCGGCGGAGCTAACCTGAAGCTTCGTGTCTTCATCACCGGTTACTGCTTACACAGCGACACAGCCATCCAAAAGAAAGTCCCATTCCTCCGCGCTTCCCGGTTCTATCGTTTTATGGTCACGCCATCCACGTGCAAATCCATATCCATGTATTATCCATATTGGGAGACACTAGCTCCGTCCCAACAGTGGGTGTGTGTGGGGGGCGATAGCTTCGTGGGTGCGGGGAGGGGAGCAGAAAGAGCGAGGCCAGCGGGTCCGCGGCTTCAAAATCCCAAAGTCGGTTAGTGCAGCTTTAATACATTTACGTTGCCCTCGAGAGCCTCGGACGCGACACCGATCCTCCTCATAATAAAGTAATCTAAATAATGAAACTCTCAAGTTACCAGCTATCAGCATACACAAGTTAGTACTGAGTAAATTACGTCTGTCAACACATTATAAGATGCGATACGCACCTGACACAAAGTGCTCCAAGCATATTCTTGCGTGTTTTGAGGGAGTTTCTTGCCTGTTTATCTTCGCAAGCCATAACCTCCGTCGTTGTTCTGACAAAAGCTTAGTCTTCTCACATTCATGAAGTCTAATGATGGGTATACTGTAAAATCCAAGTTTAACAGAACCTCCGGCACGATTTGAACATCCATTGACCCAGCAGGAGATGACCATTTTCAACTTTATCACGACATTAACACGTTTCAGCTTCTTTTTCTATTGTTTTGCCCACAGAATGCCAAGACAAATGGCGCCGGGTCGGCAAATCCCCGTATGTAGTGACGTCATGTGGGAACTATGTATAGACATCTGGGAACGTGAAAATAGTGAACGTATTAATGCGTCAATGGCACACATTGATTCATATTTGCTAGTCAAATATAAAGTGATGGCTTGATGGTGTGTGTTTGAAACTGAAAGCGCAAGATAAACATGTTTAATAATACCCTGATTATTGTGCAATTTAACCAGCACACACAGTACTTCTGTCTTTGATCAACTGTGAATCCTGGGCATATACTTTGAAGGTTATCCAACTATTGAAAATGTGTGTCAAGGTTTCAATCACACAGTATATTTCAACGTTCAGCCTTAACCACAGCAGAATTTTTATTTATTTATTTATTGAGGATGGCCCCTTGAGATGAATCATCTCTTTTTCGAGGGGGTCCGGCCTTCCCTGGGTATCACTCCATACGGCAGGCTTACAATGACTTGTGGCATGTGGCAGACATACATAATAACTCACATTCTTGGATCAGAAGCTTCAAAGCCAGCGCGGTTGAGGTAGTAGCCCGTTACTGCATCAGGAATCTAAAAACAACAAACATTGGTTGATCAAATTTCTACAAAGAGCACATCTCAATGTGATACAAATGTTAGAAAGCTGAACTGGTTGACATACTGTGGGAGTGTAATCCTCCAACTGCATGAGAAAATCTGACAGAGGGGTGGCGGCGATTGCAGGTTTCATGTCTCCGTTTGTGATGCCTCCAGGAACATAAACACCATTGGAGACAGAGGTATCCACTGAAGGGGTTGTCATTGCGGATGCTGTGGATGCTGAGAGACAAAGGCAATACAGTTATCAATTGTGATGATTAAAATGACTGCCAAGTTGGTACATCAAAAATGTATTTAATAAAGCACATTCATTAGGTAATAAGTAATAACTAGCGCAGTAACAAGTTCATTGATTAATCATTCACAACTAACCATTTTATAAAAAGATGTACATTAATTTAGTATTCAATTACTGGTATTATGAGTCATATAGAGTATTATTCAATCAAACTACATTTGTTACAACTCGGGTGAACTCGAAGTTCTTAACTGGCATAATATAAGCATGCATCCATATTCACTGGCCTCTTCTATTCTAAAACTAATGTTAATCTAAATAGCAAGTTACAGTCCTACCACCACCTCGAACTGAAACCTAAGCTCATACAAACCAATGCATTCTGTAAAATGTAGAGACATTTTCTAACAGACATAATGGATTGATCAAATAATAAGGAAGGGTTCATTTAGAACAAATAGGGCAATAGATTTGCGCAGAATGGGGTTTTGAATGATAGCATAGCACAACGTTACCATTACTCGTGACCGACGGGATGTTGTTATCATTAGCTGATGCATTATCATTTGCAATGCAATTACTTGAGGTTGAAGAGGTCGTAGATGACACCACGGTCGTGACGGCCTGGTTTTCCATCTTTGGGCGAGTAGTGTTATTTCTGTGCAGCCCCGCAGTCCAATGGGCTATTGAGTTAGCGCGTTAGCCGACGAGCTAACCCCTAATAACAAGACAAAACAACGTAAAAGGAAAACGATCACTCTTAGGGTGTTTAGCTCGTGCATAAACAGTTTACAAAAAGCAAAAGAGCAAAAAAAAGCAATATTTGTGAGTAGGATGCCACTAAATCGCCAAAGCAGATGTTTACAAACCCGAGAGGTTTTTTTTCTCAACAAACAAGCGCAGGTAGTACGCCAACTTTTTTCCCAACACAAGGATTCCATCATTTATTTACTTTGCATTGGACTATCCTCGTAAAGGGGTTTACTAAACACCTTTAATAATCAATAGCGTAACAAAATTTTATGTGCCAGGTCTTTTGAAATTCATTAAAAGTTAGAGCTTTGGAAAATAATGAAAAATAGGATTATTAGGACTTGCGTTGGGGGAAAATTTTGCTAAGCAGCTCCATGACTTGCGTATAACAAATAATAATAGATAAATATTATATATTTGAAGAATAATTACATGCACACTAATCACACCGTACACAGTAATATTAAAATAAATAAATAAATATGATAAGACACACTTTAAAAAAAAAAATAGGTTACGTATACTCACTTTTTGCCACAAGGGGCAGTGTGAATCGCCAGGCACCTATGTCTCCACATTCAACTGCACTCCTTTCTTTTAGCCTTTGAAATGGCCCTTTTATGAAACAAACAACCTTCAATATGATCTAATTAAAGACATAAATTAATGTTAGTACTTTTTAAACATATTTTCGTGAGGAAAATAATTAAAAGGAAGGACACGTAAGGATGAAGCCAGTCGAGGAGGAAGTGAAGTGTATTTTTGTTTTGGAAAGGAGGTTGTCTGGCTCATCACGGCATAAATCTGATAACTTTATGGCCATTCAGGAGCTAAATGACCAAGTCGACATACAAGCTCGGGAATCAGCTTGATATATGGGACAAAACAGGTATCTAATCAAATGTAGCTTGTAGCAATCTAGATACGTAAAAAACGAATGCTGTAATACATTTAACTGGTATCACGTAGACAAGCCCAGGGTGGTGTTTATTAAGCGAGTAAACCGAACCGTATATCTATAGATATAGCCAAAAAATATATTTATACCTATTGAGTTACTTAGACACTGACTATTCCTACTTCTCTGGCCATAACTATTATTGTGAAAGCTATTATAAGGAAAATACTTAAATGCAAATCCCATTTTCTCTTTTTACAAAGTTCAAAAAGCTCTAACATGTCCAAAGTCAGGGTTATAGTGGTGGGAGCTGGAAGCAGAGGAGACATCTACTCCAACTTTGCCACTATCCATCCAGATCGAATGAAGGTATGTAGGAAGGTAAATCGATTTCATTTGTTAAGTCAACTAAATCTTTTCTTTTCACTTAGGTGGTGGGGGTAGCAGATCCAAGAAAGTTTGCCCGCACAAAGCTTCAGCAGCGACACAATATTGACAATGAAAATGTATTCGAAGGTGGGTTTTGTTGTATAAAGTGTGCAGGGAAAGGAAAGGAATATTTTTACAAGAGTGATGATTTCAGGCTAATGCCAGTACAAGTTAATACAAAATAGACAGGAAGTTTGGCACAAGAAAAGCAGTTAAACATTAATTCAAAGATAAGGTGTTGTCTCATGTTTAGTGCAGGGGAGGGCATTTATTTTTTCCGGGGGCCAAATTGGGGTATTGTTATTTCGTGGAGGGCAGGACTCAATTTCAGGTGGTTACTATTTTTTTTTTTTTTTATTTAATTTGGAACATATTTGAGTCCAAGCAACTTTAGTTTAAAAAAAAAAAGAAGAAAAAATGTGTATTTGATAAACAGTATTTACAGAAGTTGATAATAATCTCTAGACACAATGCTAATGCTATATTTTTGTTTGTGTAAAGTGTGTTAGCTCATCTTTTGCATCTGTGGCAATATTTTTGTTAACATTTTACAATTTGGGAGGTACTTGGAGGAAATTGTTATTTTTATAACATATGGATATTATTTCTTTAGTCTGGATCTTTTTTGCTAGGATTGAACCAAAGCTGGACTAAAGCTAAAGAAGACTAAATATTGTGGGTAGTTTGAAGTTTTTGATGTAATATTATAAGGTATAACATGCCATTATAGCACTCATTAAGTTGCAAACCTTCAGTAGGTATTGATTCCCATTCATTTAACTTGGGGGAGGCAGTATGACGTTTGAGGAAGGGAAAAGGTCAGAGGGCTACATGGAAACGTGAGATTATTCGTCATCACAAATCTAGGGATAATATTCAACTTTACTAAAAATTCAACAGCCCCATCAAATCAGTAACATAAGCAGCTTTTTACCATCTGACCCCATCTACCAAAACAATGAGAATCAAAAATATTGTGTCTAAAGCAGACTTATTATCCATACTTTTGTCTTCAATAGGTTAAACAACTGTAACGACCTGCTCACTGGTCTCTCCAAACGTCTTGTAAAACAGCTGCAGCATATTTAAAACATCTGCATCTCTATTCAAAACGCTGCAGCTTGAGTCTTGACTAGAACCAGGAAGTACCATCACATCAGTCCAGTTCTCAGGTCTTCACTGGCTTCATGTGGGTTAGAGAATAGACTTTAAAGCAGGTTTACTTGTGTCCAAGTTTCTCCATATATATCTGTGACATGTTTGTGCCTGCCTATGAATTAACCCGGACTCTGAAACGTCCCCGCACAGGGACTGGCCTCCTGCTGGTGCCCAGAGTCAGGAGGACTGAAACGCTACCTACCCATGTAGACAGCGTTTCAGATATATGCAGCTACAAATCTGGAACAGTCTTTCTGAAAATCAGGAGACAGGCTTCTTCTCTGACAATGTTCAAATCCACATTAAAACAATTTAGTTTGGCTGTGCATACAACTGAAAAATTATTTATTAATTCTTATTTGTATTCTTATTCATTGTACTGTGATTATTTATGATTTTAAAGGCCTTGTGAATGAACTGGGCTATACAAAATAAACTTTATTTCATGTTGTCTCTCCTAAATAGATTGGGAAAGTATGGCTGGGAGAGAGAAGTTTGCGGATGCTGCTTTAATTTGCACTCCTGACAGACTTCACAAGGTAATATCCAAAAGAATCGTTGTGGACTGACATGTGACATCTCACATGTGATTATTTGAATCTTTCTCATACACAGGATCCTGCTGTTGCCTTTGCACAGAGGGGCTACCACATCCTCCTGGAGAAACCAATGGCTGTGAGTGTTGCTCAGTGGTCCAGAGCTGATTGGTCTGAATGAGTGTGTGTATGTTTGTGTGTTTGTGCGTGTGCATGTGTTTGTATTTGTGCATTTGTTTGTGTGTGCATGTGTTGGTGTGCACTTGTGTTTGTGTGTGCATTTGTGTGTGTTGTACGTCTGCTTCTTCCAATCCCTATTTCTGTTTAATTTGTATCCTGTTGTTTTATGTTGAAAGTATAAACACATTTGAAATAGCTAATGCTTTATTGATAAGTATATCCTAATCTCAATATTAATCTTAATCTTGATCTCAATCTCAATTTGAACCTCAATCTTAATCTTAATCTCAATTTCAATCTTTATCCTAATCTCAATCTCAATCTTAGTATTAACCTCAATCTTAATCTTAATCTCAATCTGCGGCTCCACAGACCACTCCAGAAGACTGCACCGCCATCGTGTCGGCCTGCACTGGGAGTGGAGTGATGCTGTCTGTGGGTCACGTCCTTCGCTACGACCCGACCATCCACAGGATCAAGGTCTCCCTCACCATTCATAACATTATTCACTCATTTCAAACTCTTCAAAAACATTCAATAACAACATTCAAATAGAGTAATAGAAAATGGTTTGGCTTTCACTGCTGAATCTTCATGACGCGCTGGTGGGACTCAAAACCCTGACTCCCTGAACCTGAGGACTGGTCCACAGCCGTTGGGAGTTGGCGGTTCTGTGATGCCCCTTGAGACGACTGTTGTTGTGATTTTGGGCGATACAAATAAAATTGATTTGATTTAATAACCACAAAACTCAAGAAGAAAGCTAACCACCAAGGCTAAGCACTTCACACCTGTAGCAGGGAACTTGGAAGCATGGTTAACCCCTTCACATCTGTAGCAAGAAATTAGAAGCATGGCTAAACACGTTTTCAATTATCCTTGCACTGGAGTATCATTGATTTTTCTCTATATACACTTCTGTTCTTATAGAAGTATAGAAGTCTATCATTTATATGTTTATACAATAGATAGATTGATACTTTATTGATCCCCCATAGGATAAATTCAGGTGTCCAGTAGCAGCAAAAAAACAAAAATCATTTGATCATTCTAAAAATCTAACAATAGTGATAATCAGCAACCAGCCCTTCAGGTCACAGCAGCAGAGGTGGAGTAGCCTCTGGGTGGAGCAGGACAGGTCACAAGGTGGAGTAGCTGCTTGGTTTGGACCATTTTCTCTGCTTTAGTCCAAAGTAAAAGGCTGAATGTTTCATTGTTTTGAAGATTTTTTTTTTAGTAGAGTTATGCCATATTTAATATTCACTTCTTGTGTGTTAGAGTGCTCTTCACTCTTAATGTTCTGTCGCGTGTTCTGCAACACTGACATTTCCTCCCTGCTCCTCCCTGACTCATGTTGCAGCTAATGCATTTTTATTTATTTATTTATTGTTTATTTGGTTGGGACAGTATAACACATCACTCCGGATTGTAGCCATGGGCTAATTTCCATATGTTTGATCTGATGCAGGAGCTCATTGAAGAAGGAGCCATCGGGGATGTGATCCATATTCAGCACTTTGAACCGGTAAACATGATTTAAATAAATATATAGATCTATAGAAATGAGTGATCGATAAATGAAATTACAATGACTTCAAACATTTACTGCTGTACTCTGAAAACTGATTTTTTTTTTTGAAGAAACTTCACAAACAAAAACTGGTACCACCCAGGTACAAAAAAGTAGTCTGGCAACAAAAGTGGGATTGTAATTGTGTAATGATTATGCTACAAGACCACTGAGAATGCATATTACATACAGCCCCTTTTAGTTCATACAGGTTTTGATGAGAACAACCATTGGATGATATATTTGATGAAATACACACATACAGGTTGGCATAGCACCTGTACAAATACTGCATATACTGTCTGCCTAATCCACTATAAATCTTGAGGGCATGAATGGCTTGGTTACAATAGCCCCGTTTACACCAGACCTACTCGGCTCTACTCAACTCTACCCCAATTGGGAACGTTTCCGCTGGAAATGCCAGGTACATTTTAGTACCTGCTTTTTCCTGGTTCTATCCAGGCCGAGCTGGTTCTAAAGGGTTGTCAGGGTTCCCGGATATTGGTTTGTTGTACGGTGCCAGATACTGAAGTGTCATGGCAACACATGTAGAGTAGAGTAGGCTCAAGTCGGGCTGGTGGAAATGGGAGAGACTGAATACCTGCTGGTTTGATATTTTCTTTTCCTTAGTGTTTTGTGGAGGTGGAATCAAAATGTTGTGTCATACAGGTCGGCTTTTATCACTTTGCACACTCTTTTGTCCGGGGAAACTGGAGAAACGAAGCAGAGAGTTCTTTCGCACTTTTGGCCAAATCATGTCACGACATCGACCTGATCCATCACTGGGCCGGAGCGCGCAGGTGAAATGAGAAAATCAAAGGGTTCTTTCCTGTAATATTTCATTTCTAATATTAACTTATGAATGTGTTTGTGCCAGATGTGTCAAAGTGTCATCGTTTGGTTCTGTCAGTCATTTCAATAAGGCAAACAAGGTATGTGTGTGTGTGTGCTTGTGTGTGTACGTGTGTGTGTGTTTACCTCAAATCCAACAATGCAACTTTCTTCATAATTTTCTTTTGATTCCCTTCAATTTTATTAGTTTCCAAAAAAACAGTATTTCCCTGCTTTATATCCCCTTAGTTGTTAAACAAATACAAGGCAGACAGATACAGTCAAAGTCATATAGTGCGAAAGATAAGGACAAAAGTGAATGTACAGTGTATATTGCACGTAAACATGACTACCTAGTTCTGCGGCATTCGTTTAAACAGGGGCAGATATGTTGCCAAGATGGTCGCTAAGGCAAGCTGGAGTTTTACGCATAAATGAAGACATCTGATTGGTCAAACCTTATACGGATCATATCTGGATTTACAAAAACGATATAAAAATATAAACACCAGAATCACAGAAGCGCTAAATCACAGAATATTTAAAACCCAAAATGGAGTGTGTGACACAAACGGCTAGAGGAGTTTCCGTTCTAACGTAGGACAATAGTTGAAAAACCTCATCCATGAGCACTTCTCTTATGGACTTAATTGAGCTACCGGGTTAGCATTGTCTATCTATATACAGTATATTTATTCAAGCCAGATCCACATACCCTTTTGTTTATTGGACCAAAAATGTTCACTACAGCTCAATTCTTCATTTTGTGTCTTTCAAACATATGTCTATAGAGAGAGAGAGACAGAGAGAGAGAGACAGAGAGAGAGAAGTAGCAGTAGCCTTCTACACCTACACACACATCTGCAGGAATTACACACATACAAATAGGAAAATCTATTTCTGTAAAACAGTGACGTGCTTTTGTCAGCCAGCAGATGCCGGAGACCGCTGCCTGGACTGTCCCATAGAGCCACAGTGTCCATACTCTGCCAAGAAAATATATCTGGACGCAGTAAAACAGGTGGGAGACATTTTATATTTGATTTATTTACAGTTATTTAGGGAGCTGTTTGTACCAAAACAAAATGTGATGTGTACGCCCATAACTGCCTGGCTCAATGTCATCATGTGCAGTCTCTGTTTATGTTTAGGCCAGACTGATGAGAGTGCACGAAGACGAGGAAGTCGGACAATGATTGTCCTTTTTTATTGTTAATAAGTTAAGTCAGGAACTTCTGGCTCTGGAGCCAAATCAGGCTCTTTTGAGGATTGTGTCTGGTTCTCAGACAAATCTCAGTAGGGCTTTATAATAATATGGTTTATGAATTGGATTTCCTCAATATAATATATTCTGAGACTAATTCTACACTCCAAATGTGTTTATCTTGGCCATCTCGTATTCCATTATTCAGGTGTATATATATATATTAGATGTACATTTATGTACAATATACATAAGATGGCTTTCATAATACAATATGGTGTGAACTAACAAAACTATTGGATTTTTTTGTACTGCAGAAAAAACAAAGCATTTAACTACGGCGGATCACTGCACACATGGCTCTTTCTTGTTGTCAATCAGCTGAATGACAGTGTGTGTTGCTGACAGTGTGTGTTGCTGACAGGGTCACAGTGGATGGCCCGTGTCGGTCATCTGTCCAAACTCATACCCCGACATAGAGTCTGTGACAGAGGCTCTGAGGAGCGGCCCGTACGGACGTTGTGTTTACCAGTGCGACAACGACGTGTGCACCAACCAGGTACTTGCCACACTCTCTTGTTTTACTACATTTTTAACCTCATGGCTGCAGACGAATACATACCTCATTCTTTCTAACTTAATGCTGGGGCACCTGACTTTTTCATAAATAATGCATATTGTTGTTTTTGCAGAAAGAATCTTTTAAAGGAAACATTTCATGAATAAATCAGACCACAACATGTTTCCTTCGTCTTAAATGAAACGGTTGTAGTGACGCCTATCTCTGCCGTTGAAACTTATGTCCAATCACTTTTCCCCCCTGCTGACTTTTTTTGAAAACGGCTGCGAGTGGCCCCTCCATCAGGAAAATGTGAAAAAACGTATTTGTGCATGCGTTAGCCGGCACAAGCCCCATTCATTTAAGGAGCGCATTCTAAAGTCCACAGCGGCTAAACTAAAAAAGCCTCAGCATTGACCGCATCTGGAACGGAGCATTGACCCAAGAGCCAACTTTTGGACCATCCTGTAAAGCCATTTTCGAGAGGAAAAAGGCGGCATAATTATCCATATTTTCATTGGATAATTCTAGTTCCGGATACAACACCACCAGCAAGGAGTCAGATTACAAGCATGTCAGCGCACGTTCTCATGAACCCTGGGACACGCTCCCCCGATTGGACCCATTTCAGTATATAACATTTACTCACAGAGCCCTGTTTTGGACTGAGAGCTGAGTGAGTTTGGTCCTCTACACTTTTCTGTCTGAATAAATGAGACCAAAAATGCGTGAAAACCAGTGATAGATTTTATTATATAGTTTTAAGTGGATTGAAAGCAGCTTTAAAAATGTAGAGAAAATATTTGTTGAAACGAGACCTGCCCTATCCCTAGCCAGAGGGAGGAGTTGAAATGTTGTTATTACAAATTTGAAAATGACCAAACATTTTTATGATTTCACCTTTGAAATGGGCAATATAGAAAACAGAAAAACAGGGTGATGTCAATGACAGGACCGCTTTCACAAGTTTGCTCAATAAAGTTACCGCATGTAGTATGGCTTTAACCTTTGTATTATGTTGAAAAAAAATGACATTGATTATGTTGCGGGTCATTTTGACCAGTACTGTGTAAATGCACTCAAAACAGTCAAGCAAACAGGTTAAACCAATAACAACTTTATTTTAGGTTATATAGATATTTAGAAAAGTGACATACAATACATTTTTAATTCCAACGCTATATTTAAGAAATATTTAGTCTAATCTTCTTGTCCTCCTCTCGGGTCAAAATGTCAATTCTTCCCTCCTGCCATGCTTTCTCCTTCCTTTTTCTCATCCTGTTTTCCTTCTCTCTGTTCATCCTCATCTATTCCCTTCTTTTCTCTTCCTTCCTTTCTCCCTTCTTTCCTTCCTACCTTCCTTCCTTCCTCCCTTCCTCTTTCCTTGACCAAAGATTCGTCCTCTGAATCCTCCTTATCGTAGAAAAATTGACAATCTGGATCAGCAATAACATTGTCCTGTATCTCTGAAAAATCCTCTGTTTCTGAAACCTCTTCCTCTACATCATTATCCCAGTTAAAAATCTGTGATAAAGCCTCCTCAGATGTCATCCTTCTGGAGCTCATTTTTGGTGAGTTTGTCTAAAGCCTAGCGTACATCGACAGAGTAACTGGAGACAACTAGTTGCAAGGCGGCTTTTGGCAACTGAGAGCAGATGATGGAGATGATCAGTTGCTGAAATCGGTCGATGTGAGCGCTCTTACAACTGGAGATAAACAGTCGATCTCCAGATTCAGTCAGTTGCGCGTGTTCTACTTTTCGGCAACTAGTTGTCCTCAGATCCGGAGATATCACTCGATGTGCGCGCTCCAACAACATGTGCGTATTGCGTGTATTGTGCGCCCTCCACAGTTTATGCCAGAAAACACACTGTAGTTGACGGCCAGTTGCTGTCGATGTACGGATAACCAGTACTTTGATCAACTCAAAAACTGAAATGGGTCAAATTGACCCTAAACATTATACAAGGGTTAAAACAAATGTAAACTTGACCAGGGAAAACTCCTACAACATGTGAAGTCCATTTGAATGCCACGTCCCCTTAATTAGAATTTTTTATACATAACAGTTTGTTTGTCCTCAGGTTGTCAATATGGAGTTTGAAGGTGGCGTGACAGCGGCCTTTTCCATGGTGGCTTTTACGGAGAAGCTTTGTCAAAGACAGACCACCATCTATGGAAGCAAGGTAAATAATTCTTCTGTTTCTTTCACATGGCATTATTCTCTCACTCTATACACGGTGATGAAATTTCCCCTGAGGAACGAATAAAGGTTAACATATTGGATCTTAAAGTGATTGTCTGGAGTTTGTCAGAAAAAAAGAGAGAGAGGCACTTGATTTGAAAAAAACGATGCAAGCTCCCTCCCCCTTCCTTTCTGATTTGTCTACGCCTATGTTTCCGAAACACATTTAAATGTTAATCGGAAAATACATTATACATATACATTATTAATACACATGTACGGAGGTTTTCAGAATTATTTGGTAACGTTTTCATAAAAAAAATAATGTTTTTATGCACAAGAAAAGCGATCGTGGTAAACCCGGGAGTTGCTATTATCATTAATTGCACATTATAAGACACTGCAGAGGATCTGATTATGGATATAGGTTCAGTATATACATGGGTAACTCAGCGCAGGTGTTCAGAATTCTTTGTCCTAATAGAGGCTCCGCGAAAACCAACAACTGAGCATCCGCAGCTACGAGCATCAGCGCAATGATTGACAGGCCTTGGCATGACTTGATTGGTTAACGTGGACGGCACCGTGGATTCTGAACTATAGCAGAAAGGAAGACGGGACTTACCCGTAATATTAGAATCAATAAAATGACTTATTTTATATCAACATTTAAGGCCATGAGGTCAACTTAATACAATTCTTAAAATTTGTAATTCATTTAGAGTTCCAGACTATCACTTTAAGTGACTACCTGGGGGCAGACTGACAGAAGTGAGGCAACCAGCGTGCTCCATCTGACCACCACCAATCCTTCACACACACCACAGACTCATACTAGGCAATGTGGGTGAAGTGTCTTGCCCACGGACTCAACAATAGTTTGATAGGAGACCGGCTACGGCTGTAAAGTGCCAGAGTAGTAACCAGACCCAGCCCTGCTTAGCTTCAGGGGTGTGACCGGATCTGGCTCCACATACTGTATAGCATTTATCACAATCGTCTTATTGAGTCTCCCCAGTGTTAGCGGTACTTTATATTATTTTCAAAACTTGCAAATATTGAAAGAAATCAGCATTCTACAGGTGACAAAATATAATTAAAAAATTAATTTATTTCTCTAATTCAACTTACAATGTGAAACTAAAAAAAGCTTAAACTAACATAAAAACAACCATATATTAGTTAATTTGTGGATGTGGGTCAAATATTTTGTGTCATCATGCAATCGGGGACTGCAGATGGAAACTAGCTGTCTCTCTTAAGATTCCCCTTAAAAGACAACTAAACACCCAATCAACTTTTTTTAACTCATAAACTGCATAAAAATTACAGTGCTGATATGTAATGTCTTGGTCATTTTAGTGCAAATTAGATAAAATCTCACTTTTGAGCCTAAAACCGTCTGTGTGGCGCCCTTTCTACCTTTTTGGTGGCACTACATTTGAATATCGTGCCTGGCCTCTCCATTGGCTCTGGAGTACTGCGTGACGTCAGTTGGTAGAGTGTGACGTGCGTCTCTCTGCGCCAGTGGTATAAACCCATCCAAGTCTCACCAAGCCTCGGCGATCCAAGATGGCGCCGTATTCAAATTAATGGTTGTGCTCAGTGGCGCTTTGTGCCGGCATGGGTGCCGAAAAGATTAGCGGAAGTCGCCTGGAACTCGCAAAGATCTCTGGGAAACTCGCCTGTATTTGGGCATCGTCTGGTCCTCCCGGTTCTGCGCAGTGGATGATCTCCCATGATGCGTTTCGCATAACACGCGTGTGTGGGTCTCACACCGGGTCTCACGCACGTGCACAGAGGGGCTCGGCCGCTCTCTGACCAATCAGAGCAGTTCATCAGAGCGCAAGTTGGAGCGAGAGCCAGACAGGCAGAGTTTGTGGCACTGAAGTGTGGATTTAAAGAAAACCAAAAGATTTAAGAAGAAAAAAAGTTCAGGATGACAAGGGACACTAATATCCTCACAAAATCCGACCTTTATGAAAGCTGTAGGTTCTCTGTCAGCTGAGGTCGAGCTGTTTTAGTTTACATTGAGTTCTATGGGGAAAATTTCTGGGTAGCCCACGTGAATTTAGTATGGTTTAGTCTGCAGTACCGAGAGAATCCCCCGAGCACATGAGTTATTCAGCTACAAGCTAGTAATACCCTATCCAGTTAATATAATAGATCCATGAGTCTCACTCACGCCCCAGGAGCAGGTTGGAGTATATCTAGTGGATAATGTTGAATTAAATCAGTTGACTACTACTGCCCACTGCTGAGATAATTCTGTGGCTTAGGTTCAGGTGTGTAGCTTTTCATTTATTTTAGTGTGTGGGGAATGAGACTTTCTAGTGTGTAAACTATTGCTTTAAGCAGCAATGACAACTCTGTTTTTTTGTTGTTGTGACAAGCGAGCTGTCAATCACAGCCCAGACCACGGCCAACTCTAATCCCCCTTTGTCCTCCAGGCAACGCTCATTTTCAAATGTTCATGTGGGCGGAGTAAGAATGGGTACATGTGTTTAGTCGTTCTTTAACAGCTGGTGAGGGAGTACACAGAGAAACAAAGGTTGGGGACCACTGATCTCATTGAACGACTAAATGACTTGGATGTTTTAAAGGGAGAGCTCTCGTACGACGGGAATGGAGTGCGAGTGTTTGACTTCCTGACCCAAAGTTCCACTAAGCACCGGCCTCACAGCGACGTCCCGGCCTTCGGGATGAATGGACATGGAGGAGCAGACTACCACCTCATGAACGCCTTCATCTCTGCCGTGGCTGTAAGTCCAGAGGGCATTTATACAATGTTTTTGTATTTGAGCAGGATGACCACTGTCTATAAATGTTAATGAATGTCCCTTAATGTCCCGGTTTGTCACTGTCCTTTGACCCTCCAGCATCTGAAATTAACAACTTACCTCTACCTGTGAGCTAGTGGAATGATTTTCTCGTGCCATAGGAACCTGTCACAGTCTCAGCTCCTCTGATCCAGCCCTCTCGCTGTAAAAATGAAAATAGCAGAAGCAGAAACTCTCAAATCTATATCATTCGGTATACAGATGGACAATGCTAACCCTCAAGCTCAATGAAGCCCAATAGGGAAGTGCTCATGATGAAGTTTTGATCAGCTTGCCTTTGCAATCATCTTGGAAGCATGTCTGCCCCTGTTACGGTGCAAAGCGAACCCTGTCAGAACAAATGTTCATATACAGTAAGGCAGTGTCTCCCAAAGTGGGGTCCGCGGCCCCCTGGTGGGCCGCGAGGGTACTGCAGGGGGGCCGCGGGAGGTCATAAAAAAAATATATATAATTATTTAATGTCAAATTTATGTTTTGTTTGTAATATTAAAATATTTGTGTTCATTATTTGACTTGAATAATCCACTGTAATCATTTTTGTATTACAATGTTTGTAGCAGAGGCTATTTCCCCAAAATAAAATAACCAGAAGAGCCTATTCTTAATGTTGTCTTCTTGGTTATTATTTTGGGGGGCCACGCAGACCCGTCAGATTTTTAAGGGGGCCTCGGTGTTACTGAGTTTGGGAATGGCTGCAGTAAGGAAATTGGCTCCAGTTAGCTTATGTTCAAAACGGCTTCTTCCGCATTCAGCGAACGCTATGGTATTGGCAGGACTCGGTTACACCACTCCTAACACATGGAATGCCAGTTTGTGGCCTGGCTTCAGCTCTTTTATTTGGATATGCCCGTATAAGGGCCTGGAACCCCCCATAATGCCCCTTGTGTGTGTTTGCAGACCAATGATCCGTCGCTGATCTGCTCCGGTCCAGAGGAGACGCTGCTCAGTCACCTGCTGGTGTTTGAGGCCGAGCGCTCCCGGCTCCAGGGCCAAGTGGTGCACTGTGGAGCTGACCACGGCAAACAGCAAGGAACTTAACACCCACATTTATAGAAGATCTCATTATTTACATGTTTTAATTATTTTTGCGACATAGTTACATCATCAAGTATTCTTAAGTAATTAAGCAGTTAATTGTGGGCATTTGTCTCTCACTTCACACAGCGATGACAGCGACCATACATACATCCAACACAGACCTGGTGTTGTTTTCAACTCCATCAAGGGTGATTTCTGGAACTTCTGTCACAAACGCTATCCCGAACACTTCATTTTCACTAATTGTTAGTGGTTGTGTGAAGCCATGTCTCAGTGTATTTCCCCCCTTTAACATGAATGACAGCTCAGTTTTTTGTGGTAGTTATGGACAAAGTTTTCTCTCTGGTTTCTCTCTGATCTCTCTCCTGTCTCTCTATGATTTCCTCTCTGATGGTCGAGCTGACCATGCTTCTAGGCCAAAAGCCTCTAGTCCCTGTAAATGTTATTATTTGACAATAAAAACATGTTTATTTGTAAATCTCTTTACACAACCACTAACCATGAGTGTGCCCTGTGTCTGTGTGTGTAAACTGTTTGATATCATTGGACACTAAAGTATTCCGTCAAACTGTTTCGTACGCCCTTGGACACACATTATACATGTGTGTCCCTTTAGTTTAATTCAACTCAACTAATTATTTTTACTCTATATAACTTATACTTCATGTTTAAAGGAGACATATTATGCAATTTCAACTTAAATTTAAACTATGTTACGCCCTTAACTCCTAATCAAAAGACAAATTGGGGTTGTTTTTAGATCAGGAACAGACCCGAGTTCCCAAAACAAGCTAAGCGTTCATGGGTCGCTGATTCTCTTTGATAGTAAATGAAAATGGCACAGAAACCATTCTCATGATGTACGCGCTGTTATTCCCGAGACTGGCCTGCTACTGGGAGTTGCCCGTTTTCGTCAGATTGTCGTATGTGTGCGGGGCAGGAACTCATATGCGACGGATATAATCAGTTGCCAGTCCGATGTACGCTAAGCTTAAAGAGAGAGTGCGCGGAGCTCAGTCAACTGGCAGGAGCTTGGAGTAGAGCCGCTGCTTTTCCACGTCAAAATTAGCCAGTTGAGATGGCTCGGGCATCTGTTTCAGATGCCTCCTGGACGCCTCTCTGAGGAGGAGTTCCGAGCATGTCTCACTAAGAGAAGACCCAGGGGAAGACCCAGGACACACTGTAGGGACTGGGAACGCCTCGGGATTCCCCCAGAGGAGCTGTAGGAAGTGTGTGTGGATAGGGAAGTCTGTGCGTCTGTGTTTAGACAGCTGCCCCTCTCCTGCTGATCCTCATCAGCTCACGGGCCCACGGGCCCCAGCTTGGGCATCCCTGATCTAGATTGATCATAAGGCCAGGCGTACTATGCAGAAAACCACACAAGATTTAGCTTAAGCTCCTATTTTTTCCATTTTCAAATACAATCAAGTCATTGTGTCATTTCACAGAGTGACTTTTTCTGTCAAAGTTAATGTGTCTCTAAAACGTTCCTACATAGTATTCCTGTCCTTTGATTTAAAAAAGCACATCAAAGCAGAGGGTATTGCGCCAGCAACCATCAATAAATCAATCAACACTATATTTACATAAAGTTTAAAGGGCTGGTTATTGGGCAACTCCCCAGAGGAAAAAGCAAGAAGTACGATGGAGGACAGAGTGAGGCTGAAGATCTCTGCTCACATCAGGTTTACTTACTGCTCATGTTCAATGTGTTTCCTCTATGGAGACTTGTCAGGATTTCAAGTTTATGGAAGTCCTACATAGTTTTCTTTGTCTTCTCCTCTCTTGAAACAAACTAATATTGATACTAGAACAAGGCTCTTAAGCCTATAGTGCGGAGCGACCAGTGGCTCTCCAGCTTTCAAAGTGTCCTCTGAAAGGGTTTATCTACTAATTGGATGATGGTGGAGCGTGAGTCCCATGTGAACACTTTGTGACCTCCTCTGCACATGTGTCACAGTACTGTAGAAATAGGCGTGGCCTTCTCTCCTTCTTGCCTCCAGGGGCTGTTGTCTCCAGTCTCAAGCTGAGCTTCAGTCCTCGTCAGAGTCTTGGAGCAGGTGGAGCTACTGGAAGTATAGTAGAGGAAGCCCCCAGACGTCCCACCAGAGGTGGAGGGGATGGGCTCCTTCTCGATGGCCTCAGAGTAGGAGAAGCTTGGCCTCTTGGAGATGGGCTCTTCCTCTTCATCTTCATCCCTGTGGCACCTGGACCTCCCTCTGGGGCTTGCTGCTCGCTGCTGAGGAACCTCCACAGGTGGAGCAGGAGGGGCCCACGGGCGCAAGTCGGACCAGAAGTCCTCTGGAGGAAGACGCTGGTCGTCCTCTTCACGCTCCGTGTCCTCGTCGTCCTCTTTGCAACTCACCTGCGTCCTCCTCGTCTGACGAGTAGTCAGGGAAAGGTTCCTCCGGAGCGTCCAGGGGGTCCCGAGCCGCTGAAACATATTGACAACATCAACATTTTCCTCACACACTAAAGTGCTCTTGTTTTGTCAAAGTCACGAGTCAAACACAGCAGTCCACGTCATCATGAAGATAAAAAAGCTGGAAAGCACCAGAGGAGTCTGGATCAGGAGGACATTTTCTATGCTCAAAAAATGTCCTAAGTATTTGAGCGGACTATTATCCGTTATTATTATAGATCCAGGCTATTATCGTACATAATCAAGACTTAATGTAGTATTACACGATTCCAAAGTGCCTTCTGCAGCACTACAGTGCACCAGACAGCGCACCACTCTTACCTCCATCAATGAGAAACACTCAGATAGACCTGTGTACAACATCTCCAGCAATGTCTGATGTGCTTCAATGATTACATGTCTATCTGTGACTGTGCTCATGAACGTGTATGATGCTGATACATGTTGACGCCCACAAACACACACTTTACTGCCTTCCTGATCAACCATTGTGCCATCAGCAGCTGTTTTTACATATTACCAAACGAAAAGAGAAAAGTCCAGCTTCTGTGACCAAGCTCTTTGCAGTAGCCCAGCACATGCTATGCTAGCACAAACACAAACACGTGGCTCACTGAAACAGCCACACAACTGTTTATTTCACGGCGTGTTTGTTTATTTTATCAATATTTCATTATAATTTCAGTGATATTACCTCCAGGGAACAGGCAGAGGGAGTCTGCGGTGTGGGAAGGGCGACTCTTCCTTCTCAAAGATGTTTTCAGACCTTGGAGCTGCTCTAGCACCAGTCCCTCCTGATCCTCCTGCAGGTGCTGGGTCCAAAGAAGATGGCAGCTCTGTCAACGGTATCACAACCTTGGTCTTGGGCTTCGGGCAACATGGGGTTAAGTGTCTTGCTCAAGGACACAATAACAGCAAACATTAGTGGGGGCAGTTGGGGTAGGTTTAGTGGGGGAATTGAACCCACAACTTTCAGGCTGTAAGGCCAATGCTCTACCAACTGAGCCACTGTCACCCCCTTAGTGTTTGTAATACATTTAATACAGTCCCTGTGCTCCTCAGAGTCCCAGCAGCAGACGAGTCCCTGTGCTCCTCAGAGTCCCAGCAGCAGACCAGTCCCTGTGCTCCTCAGAGTCCCAGCAGCAGACCAGTCCCTGTGCTCCTCAGAGTCCCAGCAGCAGACCAGTCCCTGTGCCCCTCAGAGTCCCAGCAGCAGACCAGTCCCTGTGCCCCTCAGAGTCCCAGCAGCAGACCAGTCCCTGTGCTCCTCAGAGTCCCAGCAGCAGACCAGTCCCTGTGCTCCTCAGAGTCCCAGCAGCAGACCAGTCCCTGTGCTCCTCAGAGTCCCAGCAGCAGACCAGTCCCTGTGCCCCTCAGAGTCCCAGCAGCAGACCAGTCCCTGTGCTCCTCAGAGTCCCAGCAGCAGGCCAGTCCCTGTGCTCCTCAGAGCTTGTTCCCAGATATAACCTGTAAAGTTGCCTTGAAGCCTGGTGAAATCACTTGTCTCCAATGTAGATGGAATATTTAATACCATTTTGTAGAACTTTTCAGGCAAAACTATAGCAGTGAACGAAGCCAAATCCATAACGTTTTAGCCAGCCATGCTTTATTCTAATAAATAGTATGTGCTTGCTTCAGTTTTGATGAGCTTTATCAGAGCTCTCAGGTTCTATATTAGAAATACTTCAATTCTAGTCACACTTTGTCCTGTGCTTTCTACATTCAACTGTATTCAAGCCCTGTGGAGAGAGAGGTGACCACACTTATGAACAGATAGATTGATCCGAACAGTAAGAACAGCAGTAATATTTGTAATGTTGATTGGAATTTTGATACAATGCAGTGGAGCTGTAGTACATTGCAAGACACATACAAACACACCTTTTATTACAAAAGCATTATTGTTTAGTGCAAAGAGCAAAAATCCCTGAGTGATTAGTATTTACATTATATGCTTTACAAACCTCATACATTCACTATTTATGATCATGTTGGCCCTTAAAAAATAGATATTATGCAAAAATTATAAAACATACTATATTTTAGAATGTTAAATAATATCTTGAGTAGAAAATATGGTGGAATGGCTATCTGCCTCCTTATTTACCCCTTTGCTACCACCAGAGGGAGGTGTAGAATGTATCTTTTCTCTCATATTTGAAAATGGCCAGCTGCAAACCCACATTATGAATGAATTAATGAATGAAATGTTTTTATTTCGAGTTCAATATACACAACTGAGATTTACAATACACATTTATTTTAAATAACTAAGTATCAACTCGAAAAAGGAGTGAGAAGAAGTAAAACTTATATACTCCCACCCCTGTAGGCTATATCTCGTAGTCATCAGTAGATTTTTCTGCTTTTTGCAAATTAGCAAACGTACTTCACCTTAACCTATGCTAGAAGATACAAATAATAGTAATGATAATAAAATAAATAATGATACATTTATAGTCTCTCTCTCTGTCTATACCAAAAATACACATATATACACTATACATACACATACACACATATACATACATACATACATACATACATACATAAACACATGTACATACATACATATACA